TGTATTCAAACCACTGCAAGGAAATCTGGCCTCCGTTCACATTAGGGCTTCTCCCTGTGTATTCCCCTTGAGGCAGCAAACTCGGGGTCCCTCCCACATAACTATTGCTGAGAGAAGCCTCCTCCTGAGGTGCTTCTGGAAAGTTGGCATACGTCTTGAGCCTAAGCCAGGGAATCAGCTCTCATCTCGAGATGATTTGGGGTACACGGAGCATTCCTCGAGTTGCTGTGCTGAAGTTGGTGTTCCTCTAGACTTGGGACAGTGTTCTCGGGGCATCTCTGGAGTTGCCTGAAGGAAGTCGAGCCACCGGTCGTGTTGAATGGGGAACGGGGAATGGCTCTGGAGTCAATGCAGGGGAATCGGGCCTCATCTCGAGTTGATTTGGGGCACATGGAGCAGCTTTGCGTTGCTGGGGTGACCTCAGGGTCCGTCTAGACTGGTGACAGTGTTCTTGGGGACTGTCTCGAGATCCATTAAGCAAGTCGAAGCTCCTGACTTGTTTGAATGGGATCACGGAATAGCTCTGCATGCACTGCAGGGGAATGGGGCCTCATCTCGCCTCTAGGGGGGAGTCTCATGGTTTTTCTCGAGTTGCGGCGGGGACCTGGGGTATGTTCTCGACTTACGGCGGGGATGGCCCTTCAAAACACGAGTTTCTTCAGTGACGTCAGGACTCCTGTCTAGTAACGAGGGACACCTCAGGAATCTCTTCGAGGCTTGGCAGGGCAAAAGGGACGCTTCTCGAGGTGAGGGAGGCACCCAAGGACCCTTTCCAGTAGCCACAGGGATTTTGGGATTCCTATCAGTATTCAAGAGGAGTCAGGCATCGTCACCTTTTGAAGCAATGAACTCCGCGTGCCTCTCGAGGTGTCAGCGGGATGTGAGGCATTCCGTCAAAATGAGGCAGGGACCTAGGGCTTTCTCTAAGGTCTCCACAGGGGATTCAGACATCCCTTCAAGTTGTGAGATGAAAGACAAGCCTGTATTCAATCTATTGCATGGAAATCCGGACTCCTTTCAAGTTAGGGCTTCTCGCTGTATATTCCCCTTGAGGCAGCAAACTCGGAGTCCCTCCCACATACCTATTGCTGAGAAGCCTCCTCCTGAGGTGCTTCTGGAAAGTTGGCATACGTCTTGAGCCTAAGCCAGGGAATCAGCTCTCATCTCGAGACGATTTGTGGTACACGGAGCATTCCTCGAGTTGCTGTGCTGAAGTTGGTGTTCCTCTAGACTTGGGAAAGTGTTCTCTGGGCATCTCTGGAGTTGCCTGAAGGAAGTCGAGCCACCGGTCTTGTTGAATGGGGAACGGGGAATGGCTCTGGAGTCAATGCAGGGGAATCGGGCCTCATCTCGAGTTGATTTGGGGCACATGGAGCAGCTTTGCGTTGCTGGGGTGACCTCAGGATCCGTCTAGACTCGTGACAGTGTTCTTGGGGACTGTCTCGAGATCCATTAAGCAAGTCGAAGCTCCTGACTTGTTTGAATGGGATCACGGAATACCTCTGCATGCACTGCAGGGGAATGGGGCCTCATCTCGCCTCTAGGGGGGAGTCTCATGGTTTTTCTCGAGTTGCGGCGGGGACCTGGGGTATGTTCTCGACTTACGGCGGGGATGGCCCTTCAAAACACAAGTTTCTTCAGTGACGTCAGGACTCCTGCCTAGTAACGAGGGACACCTCAGGAATCTCTTCGAGGCTTGGCAGGGCAAAAGGGACGCTTCTCGAGGTGAGGCAGGGCACCCAAGGACCCTTTCCAGTAGCCACAGGGATTTTGGGATTCCTATCAGTATTCAAGAGGAGTCAGGCATCGTCAACTTTTGAAGCAATGAACTCAGCGTGCCTCTCGAGGTGTCAGCGGGATGTGAGGCATTCCGTCAAAATGAGGCAGGGACCTAGGGCTTTCTCTAAGGTCTCCACAGGGGATTCAGACATCCCTTCAAGTTGTGAGATGAAAGACAAGCCTGTATTCAATCTATTGCTTGGAAATCCGGACTCCTTTCAAGTTAGGGCTTCTCGCTGTATATTCCCCTTGAGACAGCATACTCGGAGTCCCTCCCACATACCTATTGCTGAGAAGCCTCCTCCTGAGGTGCTTCTGGAAAGTTGGCATACGTCTTGAGCCTAAGCCAGGGAATCAGCTCTCATCTCGAGATGATTTGGGGTACACGGAGCATTCCTCGAGTTGCTGTGCTGAAGTTGGTGTTCCTCTAGACTTGGGACAGTGTTCTCGGGGCATCTCTGGAGTTGCCTGAAGGAAGGCGAGCCACCGGTCGTGTTGAACGGGGAACGGGGAATGGCTCTGGAGTCAATGCAGGGGAATCGGGCCTCATCTCGGGTTGATTTGGGGCACATGGAGCTGCTTTGCTTTGATGGGGTGACCTCAGAGTCCGTCTAGACTGGTGACAGTGTTCTTGGGGACTGTCTCGAGATCCATTAGGCAAGTCGAAGCTCCTGACTTGTTTGAATGGGATCACAGAATAGCTCTGCATGCACTGCAGGGGAATGGGGCCTCATCTCGCCTCTAGGGGGAAGTCTCATCGTTTTTCTCGAGTTGCGGCGGGGACCTGGGGTATGTTCTCGACTTACGGCGGGGATGGCCCTTCAAAACACGAGTTTCTTCAGTGACGTCAGGACTCCTGTCGAGTAATGAGGGACACCTCAGCAATCTCTTCGAGGCTTGGCAGGGCAAAAGGACACTTCTCGAGGTGAGCCAGGGCACCCAAGGACCCTTTCCAGTAGCCACAGGGATTTTGGGATTCCTATAAGTATTCAAGAGGAGTCAGGCATCGTCACCTTTTGAAGCAATGAACTCCGCCTGCCTCTCGAGATGTCAGCGGGATGTGAGGCATTCCCTCAAAATGATGCAGGGATCTAGGGCTTTCTCTAAGGTCTCCACAGGGGATTCAGACATCCCTTCATGTTGTGAGATGAAAGACAATCCTGTATTCAAGCTACTGCAAGGAAATCTGGCCTCCTTTCAAGTTAGGGCTTCTCGATGTATATTCCTCTTGAGGCAGCAAACTCGGAGTCCCTCCCACATACCTATTGCTGAGAAGCCTCCTCCTGAGGTGCTTCTGGAAAGTTGGCATACGTCTTGAGCCTAAGCCAGGGAATCAGCTCTCATCTCGAGACGATTTGGGGTACACGGAGCATTCCTCGAGTTGCTGTGCTGAAGTTGGTATTCCTCTAGACTTGGGACAGTGTTCTCGGGGCATCTCTGGAGTTGCCTGAAGGAAGTCGAGCCACCGGTCGTGTTGAATGGGGAACAGGGAATGGCTCTGGAGTCAATGCAGGGGAATCCGGCCTCATCTCGAGTTGATTTGGGGCACATGGAGCTGCTTTGCATTGCTGGGTGACCTCAGGGTCTGTCTAGACTGGTGACAGTGTTCTTGGGGACTGTCTCGAGGTCCATTAAGCAAGTCGAAGCTCCTGACTTGTTTGAAGGGGATCACGGAATAGCTCTGCATGCACTGCAGGGGAATGGGGCCTCATCTCGCCTCTAGGGGGAAGTCTCACGGTTTTTCTCGAGTTGCGGCGGGCACCTGGGGTATGTTCTCGACTTAAGGCGGGGATGGCCCTTCAAAACACGAGTTTCTCCAGTGACGTCAGGACTCCTGCCTAGTAACGAGGGACACCTCAGGAATCTCTTCGAGGCTTGGCAGGGCAAAAGGGACGCTTCTCGAGGTGAGGCAGGGCACCCAAGGACCCTTTACAGTAGCCACAGGGATTTTGGGATTCCTATCAGTATTCAAGAGGAGTCAGGCATCGTCACCTTTTGAAGCAATGAACTCCGCGTGCCTCTCGAGGTGTCAGCGGGATGTGAGGCATTCCGTCAAAATGAGGCAGGGACCTAGGGCTTTCTCTAAGGTCTCCACAGGGGATTCAGACATCCCTTCAAGTTGTGAGATGAAAGACAAGCCTGTATTCAATCTATTGCATGGAAATCCGGACTCCTTTCAAGTTAGGGCTTCTCGCTGTATATTCCCCTTGAGGCAGCAAACTCGGAGTCCCTCCCACATACCTATTGCTGAGAAGCCTCCTCCTGAGGTGCTTCTGGAAAGTTGGCATACGTCTTGAGCCTAAGCCAGGGAATCAGCTCTCATCTCGAGACGATTTGGGGTACACGGAGCATTCCTCGAGTTGCTGTGCTGAAGTTGGTGTTCCTCTAGACTTGGGAAAGTGTTCTCTGGGCATCTCTGGAGTTGCCTGAAGGAAGTCGAGCCACCGGTCTTGTTGAATGGGGAACGGGGAATGGCTCTGGAGTCAATGCAGGGGAATCGGGCCTCATCTCGAGTTGATTTGGGGCACATGGAGCAGCTTTGCGTTGCTGGGGTGACCTCAGGGTCCGTCTAGACTCGTGACAGTGTTCTTGGGGACTGTCTCGAGATCCATTAAGCAAGTCGAAGCTCCTGACTTGTTTGAATGGGATCACGGAATAGCTCTCCATGCACTGCAGGGGAATGGGGCCTCATCTCGCCTCTAGGGGGGACTCTCATGGTTTTTCTCGAGTTGCGGCGGGGACCTGGGGTATGTTCTCGATTAACGGCGGGGATGGCCCTTCAAAACACGAGTTTCTTCAGTGACGTCAGGACTCCTGCCTAGTAACGAGGGACACCTCAGGAATCTCTTCGAGGCTTGGCAGGGCAAAAGGGACGCTTCTCGAGGTGAGGGAGGGCACCCAAGGACCCTTTCCAGTAGCCACAGGGATTTTGGGATTCCTATCAGTATTCAAGAGGAGTCAGGCATCGTCACCTTTTGAAGCAATGAACTCCGCGTGCCTCTGGAGGTGTCAGGGGGATGTGAGGTATTCCGTCAAAATGAGGCAGGGACCTAGGGCTTCCTCTAAGGTCTCCACAGGGGATTCAGACATTCCTTCATGTTTTCAGATCAAAGACGAGCCTGTATTCAACCCACTGCAAGGAAATCTGGCCTCCGTTCACATTAGGGCTTCTCCCTGTGTATTCCCCTTGAGGCAGCAAACTCGGGGTCCCTCCCACATACCTATTGCTGAGAGAAGCCTCCTCCTGAGGTGCTTCTGGAAAGTTGGCATACGTCTTGAGCCTAAGCCAGGGAATCAGCTCTCATCTCGAGATGATTTGGGGTACACGGAGCATTCCTCGAGTTGCTGTGCTGAAGTTGGTGTTCCTCTAGACTTGGGACAGTGTTCTCGGGGCATCTCTGGAGTTGCCTGAAGGAAGTCGAGCCACCGGTCGTGTTGAATGGGGAACGGGGAATGTCTCTGGAGTCAATGCAGGGGAATCGGGCCTCATCTCGAGTTGATTTGGGGCACATGGAGCAGCTTTGCGTTGCTGGGGTGACCTCAGGGTCCGTCTAGACTGGTGACAGTGTTCCTGGGGACTCTCTCGAGATCCACTAAGCAAGTCGAAGCTCCTGACTTGTTTGAATGGGATCACGGAATAGCTCTGCATGCACTGCAGGGGAATGGGGCCTCATCTCGCCTCTAGGGGGAAGTCTCATGGTTTTTCTCGAGTTGCGGCGGGGACCTGGGGTATGTTCTCGACTTACGGCGGGGATGGCCCTTCAAAACACGAGTTTCTCCAGTGACGTCAGAACTCGTGCCTAGTAACGAGGGACACCTCAGGAATCTCTTCGAGGCTTGGCAGGGCAAAAGGGACGCTTCTCGAGGTGCGGCAGGGCACCCAAGGACACTTTCCAGTAGCCACAGGGATTTTGGGATTCCTATCAGTATTCAAGAGGAGTCAGGCATGGTCACCTTTTGAAGCAATGAACTCCGCGTGCCTCTCGAGGTGTCAGCGGGATGTGAGGCATTCCGTCAAAATGAGGCAGGGACCTAGGGCTTTCTCTAAGGTCTCCACAGGGGATTCAGACATCCCTTCATGTTGTGAGATGAAAGACAAGCCTGTATTCAAGCTACTGCAAGGAAATCTGGCCTCCTTTCAAGTTAGGGCTTCTCGATGTATGTTCCTCTTGAGGCAGCAAACTCGGAGTCCCTCCCACATACCTATTGCTGAGAAGCCTCCTCCTGAGGTGCTTCTGGAAGGTTGGCATACGTCTTGAGCCTAAGCCAGGGAATCAGCTCTCATCTCGAGACGATTTCGGGTACACGGAGCATTCCTCGAGTTGCTGTGCTGAAGTTGGTGTTCCTCTAGACTTGGGACAGTGTTCTCGGGGCATCTCTGGAGTTGCCTGAAGGAAGTCGAGCCACCGGTCGTGTTGAATGGGGAACGGGGAATGGCTCTGGAGTCAATGCAGGGGAATCCGGCCTCATCTCGAGTTGATTTGGGGCACATGGAGCTGCTTTGCATTGCTGGGTGACCTCAGGGTCCGTCTAGACTGGTGACAGTGTTCTTGGGGACTCTCTCGAGATCCATTAAGCAAGTCGAAGCTCCTGACTTGTTTGAATGGGATCACGGAATAGCTCTGCATGCACTGCAGGGGAATGGGGCCTCATCTCGCCTCTAGGGGGAAGTCTCACGGTTTTTCTCGAGTTGCGGCGGGGACCTGGGGTATGTTCTCGACTTACGGCGGGGATGGCCCTTCAAAACACGAGTTTCTCCAGTGACGTCAGGACTCCTGCCTAGTAACGAGGGACACCTCAGGAATCTCTTCGAGGCTTGGCAGGGCAAAAGGAACGCTTCTCGAGGTGCAGCAGGGCACCCAAGGACCCTTTCCAGTAGCCACAGGGATTTTGGGATTCCTATCAGTATTCAAGAGGAGTCAGGCATCGTCACCTTTTGAAGCAATGAACTCCGCGTGCCTCTCGAGGTGTCATCGGGATGTGAGGCATTCCGTCAAAATGAGGCAGGGACCTAGGGCTTTCTCTAAGGTCTCCACAGGGGATTCAGACATCCCTTCATGTTGTGAGATGAAAGACGAGCCTGTATTCAAGCCACTGCAAGGAAATCCGGCCTCCTTTCAAGTTAGGGCTTCTCGCTGTATATTCCACTTGAGGCAGGAAACTCGGGGTCCCTCCCACATACCTATTGCTGAGAGAAGCCTCCTCCTGAGGTGCTTCTGGAAAGTTGGCATACGTCTTGAGCCTAAGCCAGGGAATCAGCTCTCATCTCGAGATGATTTGGGGTACACAGAGCATTCCTCGAGTTGCTGTGCTGAAGTTGGTGTTCCTCTAGACTTGGGAAAGTGTTCTCTGGGCATCTCTGGAGTTGCCTGAAGGAAGTCGTGCCACCGGTCGTGTTGAATGGGGAACGGGGAATGGCTCTGGAGTCAATGCAGGGGAATCGGGCCTCATCTCGAGTTGATTTGGGGCACATGGAGCAGCTTTGCGTTGCTGGGGTGACCTCAGGGTCCGTCTAGACTGGTGACAGTGTTCTTGGGGACTGTCTCGAGATCCATTAAGCAAGTCGAAGCTCCTGACTTGTTTGAATGGGATCACGGAATAGCTCTGCATGCACTGCAGGGGAATGGGGCCTCATCTCGCCTCTAGGGGGAAGTCTCATGGTTTTTCTCGAGTTGCGGCGGGGACCTGGGGTATGTTCTCGACTTACGGCGGGGATGGCCCTTCAAAACACGAGTTTCTCCAGTGACCTCAGGACTCCTGCCTAGTAACGAGGGACACCTCAGGAATCTCTTCGAGGCTTGGCAGGGCAAAAGGGACGCTTCTCAAGGTGAGGCTGGGCACCCAAGGACCCTTTCCAGTAGCCACAGGGATTTTGGGATTCCTATCAGTATTCAAGAGGAGTCAGGCATCGTCACCTTTTGAAGCAATGAACTCCGCGTGCCTCTCGAGGTGTCAGCGGGATGTGAGGCATTCCGTCAAAATGAGGCAGGGACCTAGGGCTTTCTCTAAGGACTCCACAGGGGATTCAGACATCCCTTCATGTTGTGAGATGAAAGACAAGCCTGTATTCAAGCTACTGCAAGGAAATCTGGCCTCCTTTCAAGTTAGGGCTTCTCGATGTATATTCCTCTTGAGGCAGCAAACTCGGAGTCCCTACCACATACCTATTGCTGAGAAGCCTCCTCCTGAGGTGCTTCTGGAAAGTTGGCATACGTCTTGAGCCTAAGCCAGGGAATCAGCTCTCATCTCGAGATGATTTGGGGTACACGGAGCATTCCTCGAGTTGCTGTGCTGAAGTTGGTGTTCCTCTAGACTTGGGACAGTGTTCTCGGGGCATCTCTGGAGTTGCCTGAAGGAAGTCGAGCCACCGGTCGTGTTGAATGGGGAACGGGGAATGGCTCTGGAGTCAATGCAGGGGAATCGGGCCTCATCTCGAGTTGATTTGGGGCACATGGAGCAGCTTTGCGTTGCTGGGGTGACCTCAGGGTCCGTCTAGACTGGTGACAGTGTTCTTGGGGACTGTCTCGAGATCCATTAAGCAAGTGGAAGCTCCTGACTTGTTTGAATGGGATCACGGAATAGCTCTGCATGCACTGCAGGGGAATGGGGCCTCATCTCGCCTCTAGGGGGAAGTCTCATGGTTTTTCTCGAGTTGCGGCGGGGACCTGGGGTATGTTGTCGACTTACGGCAGGGATGGCCCTTCAAAACACGAGTTTCTCCAGTGACGTCAGGACTCCTGCCTAGTAACGAGGGACACCTCAGGAATCTCTTCGAGGCTTGGCAGGGCAAAAGGGACGCTTCTCAAGGTGAGGCTGGGCACCCAAGGACCCTTTCCAGTAGCCACAGGGATTTTGGGATTCCTATCAGTATTCAAGAGGAGTCAGGCATGGTCACCTTTTGAAGCAATGAACTCCGCGTGCCTCTCGAGGTGTCAGCGGGATGTGAGGCATTCCGTCAAAATGAGGCAGGGACCTAGGGCTTTCTCTAAGGACTCCACAGGGGATTCAGACATCCCTTCATGTTGTGAGATGAAAGACAAGCCTGTATTCAAACTACTGCAAGGAAATCTGGCCTCCTTTCAAGTTAGGGCTTCTCGATGTATATTCCTCTTGAGGCAGCAAACTCGGAGTCCCTCCCACATACCTATTGCTGAGAAGCCTCCTCCTGAGGTGCTTCTGGAAAGTTGGCATACGTCTTGAGCCTAAGCCAGGGAATCAGCTCTCATCTCGAGATGATTTGGGGTACACGGAGCATTCCTCGAGTTGCTGTGCTGAAGTTGGTGTTCCTCTAGACTTGGGAAAGTGTTCTCTGGGCATCTCTGGAGTTGCCTGAAGGAAGTCGAGCCACCGGTCGTGTTGAATGGGGAACGGGGAATGGCTCTGGAGTCAATGCAGGGGAATTGGGCCTCATCTCGAGTTGATTTGGGGCACATGGAGCAGCTTTGCGTTTCTGGGGTGACCTCAGGGTCCGTCTAGACTGGTGACAGTGTTCTTGGGGACTGTCTCGAGATCCATTAAGCAAGTGGAAGCTCCTGACTTGTTTGAATGGGATCACGGAATAGCTCTGCATGCACTGCAGGGGAATGGGGCCTCATCTCGCCTCTAGGGGGAAGTCTCATGGTTTTTCTCGAGTTGCGACGGGGACCTGGGGTATGTTGTCGACTTACGGCAGGGATGGCCCTTCAAAACACGAGTTTCTCCAGTGACGTCAGGACTCCTGCCTAGTAACGAGGGCCACCTCAGGAATCTCTTCGAGGCTTGGCAGGGCAAAAGGGACGCTTCTCAAGGTGAGGCTGGGCACCCAAGGACCCTTTCCAGTAGCCACAGGGATTTTGGGATTCCTATCAGTATTCAAGAGGAGTCAGGCATGGTCACCTTTTGAAGCAATGAACTCCGCGTGCCTCTCGAGGTGTCAGCGGGATGTGAGGCATTCCGTCAAAATGAGGCAGGGACCTAGGGCTTTCTCTAAGGACTCCAGAGGGGATTCAGACATCCCTTCATGTTGTGAGATGAAAGACAAGCCTGTATTCAAGCTACTGCAAGGAAATCTGGCCTCCTTTCAAGTTAGGGCTTCTCGATGTATATTCCTCTTGAGGCAGCAAACTCGGAGTCCCTCCCACATACCTATTGCTGAGAAGCCTCCTCCTGAGGTGCTTCTGGAAAGTTGGCATACGTCTTGAGCCTAAGCCAGGGAATCAGCTCTCATCTCGAGACGATTTGGGGTACACGGAGCATTCCTCGAGTTGCTGTGCTGAAGTTGGTGTTCCTCTAGACTTGGGACAGTGTTCTCGGGGCATCTCTGGAGTTGCCTGAAGGAAGTCGAGCCACCGGTCGTGTTGAATGGGGAACGGGGAATGGCTCTGGAGTCAATGCAGGGGAATCCGGCCTCATCTCGAGTTGATTTGGGGCACATGGAGCTGCTTTGCATTGCTGGGTGACCTCAGGGTCCGTCTAGACTGGTGACAGTGTTCTTGGGGACTGTCTCGAGATCCATTAAGCAAGTCGAAGCTCCTGACTTGTTTGAATGGGATCACGGAATAGTTCTGCATGCACTGCAGGGGAATGGGGCCTCATCTCGCCTCTAGGAGGAAGTCTCACGGTTTTTCTCGAGTTGCGGCAGGCACCTGGGGTATGTTCTCGACTTACGGCGGGGATGGCCCTTCAAAACACGAGTTTCTCCAGTGACGTCAGGACTCCTGCCTAGTAACGAGGGACACCTCAGGAATCTCTTCGAGGCTTGGCAGGGCAAAAGGGACGCTTCTCGAGGTGAGGCAGGGCACCCAAGGACCCTTTCCAGTAGCCACAGGGATTTTGGGATTCCTATCAGTATTCAAGAGGAGTCAGGCATCGTCACCTTTTGAAGCAATGAACTCCGCGTGCCTCTCGAGGTGTCAGCGGGATGTGAGGCATTCCGTCAAAATGAGGCAGGGACCTAGGGCTTTCTCTAAGGTCTCCACAGGGGATTCAGACATCCCTTCAAGTTGTGAGATGAAAGACAAGCCTGTATTCAATCTATTGCATGGAAATCCGGACTCCTTTCAAGTTAGGGCTTCTCGCTGTATATTCCCCTTGAGGCAGCAAACTCGGAGTCCCTCCCACATACCTATTGCTGAGAAGCCTCCTCCTGAGGTGCTTCTGGAAAGTTGGCATACGTCTTGAGCCTAAGCCAGGGAATCAGCTCTCATCTCGAGACGATTTGGGGTACACGGAGCATTCCTCGAGTTGCTGTGCTGAAGTTGGTGTTCCTCTAGACTTGGGAAAGTGTTCTCTGGGCATCTCTGGAGTTGCCTGAAGGAAGTCGAGCCACCGGTCTTGTTGAATGGGGAACGGGGAATGGCTCTGGAGTCAATGCAGGGGAATCGGGCCTCATCTCGAGTTGATTTGGGGCACATGGAGCAGCTTTGCATTGCTGGGGTGACCTCAGGGTCCGTCTAGACTCGTGACAGTGTTCTTGGGGACTGTCTCGAGATCCATTAAGCAAGTCGAAGCTCCTGACTTGTTTGAATGGGATCACGGAATAGCTCTGCATGCACTGCAGGGGAATGGGGCCTCATCTCGCCTCTAGGGGGGAGTCTCATGGTTTTTCTCGAGTTGCGGCGGGGACCTGGGGTATGTTCTCGACTTACGGCGGGGATGGCCCTTCAAAACACGAGTTTCTTCAGTGACGTCAGGACTCCTGCCTAGTAACGAGGGACACCTCAGGAATCTCTTCGAGGCTTGGCAGGGCAAAAGGGACGCTTCTCGAGGTGAGGGAGGGCACCCAAGGACCCTTTCCAGTAGCCACAGGGATTTTGGGATTCCTATCAGTATTCAAGAGGAGTCAGGCATCGTCACCTTTTGAAGCAATGAACTCCGCGTGCCTCTGGAGGTGTCAGGGGGATGTGAGGTATTCCGTCAAAATGAGGCAGGGACCTAGGGCTTCCTCTAAGGTCTCCACAGGGGATTCAGACATTCCTTCATGTTTTCAGATCAAAGACGAGCCTGTATTCAACCCACTGCAAGGAAATCTGGCCTCCGTTCACATTAGGGCTTCTCCCTGTGTATTCCCCTTGAGGCAGCAAACTCGGGGTCCCTCCCACATACCTATTGCTGAGAGAAGCCTCCTCCTGAGGTGCTTCTGGAAAGTTGGCATACGTCTTGAGCCTAAGCCAGGGAATCAGCTCTCATCTCGAGATGATTTGGGGTACACGGAGCATTCCTCGAGTTGCTGTGCTGAAGTTGGTGTTCCTCTAGACTTGGGACAGTGTTCTCGGGGCATCTCTGGAGTTGCCTGAAGGAAGTCGAGCCACCGGTCGTGTTGAATGGGGAACGGGGAATGTCTCTGGAGTCAATGCAGGGGAATCGGGCCTCATCTCGAGTTGATTTGGGGCACATGGAGCAGCTTTGCGTTGCTGGGGTGACCTCAGGGTCCGTCTAGACTGGTGACAGTGTTCTTGGGGACTGTCTCGAGATCCACTAAGCAAGTCGAAGCTCCTGACTTGTTTGAATGGGATCACGGAATAGCTCTGCATGCACTGCAGGGGAATGGGGCCTCATCTCGCCTCTAGGGGGAAGTCTCATTGTTTTTCTCGAGTTGCGGCGGGGACCTGGGGTATGTTCTCGACTTACGGCGGGGATGGCCCTTCAAAACACGAGTTTCTCCAGTGACGTCAGAACTCGTGCCTAGTAACGAGGGACACCTCAGGAATCTCTTCGAGGCTTGGCAGGGCAAAAGGGACGCTTCTCGAGGTGAGTCAGGGCACCCAAGGACACTTTCCAGTAGCCACAGGGATTTTGGGATTCCTATCAGTATTCAAGAGGAGTCAGGCATGGTCACCTTTTGAAGCAATGAACTCCGCGTGCCTCTCGAGGTGTCAGCGGGATGTGAGGCATTCCGTCAAAATGAGGCAGGGACCTAGGGCTTTCTCTAAGGTCTCCACAGGGGATTCAGACATCCCTTCATGTTGTGAGATGAAAGACAAGCCTGTATTCAAGCTACTGCAAGGAAATCTGGCCTCCTTTCAAGTTAGGGCTTCTCGATGTATGTTCCTCTTGAGGCAGCAAACTCGGAGTCCCTCCCACATACCTATTGCTGAGAAGCCTCCTCCTGAGGTGCTTCTGGAAGGTTGGCATACGTCTTGAGCCTAAGCCAGGGAATCAGCTCTCATCTCGAGACGATTTGGGGTACACGGAGCATTCCTCGAGTTGCTGTGCTGAAGTTGGTGTTCCTCTAGACTTGGGACAGTGTTCTCGGGGCATCTCTGGAGTTGCCTGAAGGAAGTCGAGCCACCGGTCGTGTTGAATGGGAAACGGGGAATGGCTCTGGAGTCAATGCAGGGGAATCCGGCCTCATCTCGAGTTGATTTGGGGCACATAGAGCTGCTTTGCATTGCTGGGTGACCTCAGGGTCCGTCTAGACTGGTGACAGTGTTCTTGGGGACTCTCTCGAGATCCATTAAGCAAGTCGAAGCTCCTGACTTGTTTGAATGGGATCACGGAATAGCTCTGCATGCACTGCAGGGGAATGGGGCCTTATCTCGCCTCTAGGGGGAAGTCTCACGGTTTTTCTCGAGTTGCGGCGGGGACCTGGGTTATGTTAGCGACTTACGGCGGGGATGGCCCTTCAAAACACGAGTTTCTCCAGTGACGTCAGGACTCCTGCCTAGTAACGAGGGACACCTCAGGAATCTCTTCGAGGCTTGGCAGGGCAAAAGGAACGCTTCTCGAGGTGCGGCAGGGCACCCAAGGACCCTTTCCAGTAGCCACAGGGATTTTGGGATTCCTATCAGTATTCAAGAGGAGTCAGGCATCGTCACCTTTTGAAGCAATGAACTCCGCGTGCCTCTCGAGGTGTCATCGGGATGTGAGGCATTCCGTCAAAATGAGGCAGGGACCTAGGGCTTTCTCTAAGGTCTCCACAGGGGATTCAGACATCCCTTCATGTTGTGAGATGAAAGACGAGCCTGTATTCAAGCCACTGCAAGGAAATCCGGCCTCCTTTCAAGTTAGGGCTTCTCGCTGTATATTCCACTTGAGGCAGCAAACTCGGGGTCCCTCCCACATACCTATTGCTGAGAGAAGCCTCCTCCTGAGGTGCTTCTGGAAAGTTGGCATACGTCTTGAGCCTAAGCCAGGGAATCAGCTCTCATCTCGAGATGATTTGGGGTACACAGAGCATTCCTCGAGTTGCTGTGCTGAAGTTGGTGTTCCTCTAGACTTGGGAAAGTGTTCTCTGGGCATCTCTGGAGTTGCCTGAAGGAAGTCGAGCCACCGGTCGTGTTGAATGGGGAACGGGGAATGGCTCTGGAGTCAATGCAGGGGAATTGGGCCTCATCTCGAGTTGATTTGGGGCACATGGAGCAGCTTTGCGTTGCTGGGGTGACCTCAGGGTCCGTCTAGACTGGTGACAGTGTTCTTGGGGACTGTCTCGAGATCCATTAAGCAAGTCGAAGCTCCTGACTTGTTTGAATGGGATCACGGAATAGCTCTGCATGCACTGCAGGGGAATGGGGCCTCATCTCGCCTCTAGGGGGAAGTCTCATGGTTTTTCTCGAGTTGCGGCGGGGACCTGGGGTATGTTGTCGACTTACGCCAGGGATGGCCCTTCAAAACACGAGTTTCTCCAGTGACGTCAGGACTCCTGCCTAGTAACGAGGGACACCTCAGGAATCTCTTCGAGGCTTGGCAGGGCAAAAGGGACGCTTCTCAAGGTGAGGCTGGGCACCCAAGGACCCTTTCCAGTAGCCACAGGGATTTTGGGATTCCTATCAGTATTCAAGAGGAGTCAGGCATCGTCACCTTTTGAATCAATGAACTCCGCGTGCCTCTCGAGGTGTCAGCGGGATGTGAGGCATTCCGTCAAAATGAGGCAGGGACCTAGGGCTTTCTCTAAGGACTCCACAGGGGATTCAGACATCCCTTCATGTTGTGAGATGAAAGACAAGCCTGTATTCAAGCTACTGCAAGGAAATCTGGCCTCCTTTCAAGTTAGGGCTTCTCGATGTATATTCCTCTTGAGGCAGCAAACTCGGAGTCCCTCCCACATACCTATTGCTGAGAAGCCTCCTCCTGAGGTGCTTCTGGAAAGTTGGCATACGTCTTGAGCCTAAGCCAGGGAATCAGCTCTCATCTCGAGACGATTTGGGGTACACGGAGCATTCCTCGAGTTGCTGTGCTGAAGTTGGTGTTCCTCTAGACTTGGGACAGTGTTCTCTGGGCATCTCTGGAGTTGCCTGAAGGAAGTCGAGCCACCGGTCGTGTTGAATGGGGAACGGGGAATGGCTCTGGAGTCAATGCAGGGGAATCCGGCCTCATCTCGAGTTGATTTGGGGCACATGGAGCTGCTTTGCATTGCTGGGTGACCTCAGGGTCCGTCTAGACTGGTGACAGTGTTCTTGGGGACTGTCTCGAGATCCATTAAGCAAGTCGAAGCTCCTGACTTGTTTGAATGGGATCACGGAATAGCTCTGCATGCACTGCAGGGGAATGGGGCCTCATCTCGCCTCTAGGAGGAAGTCTCACGGTTTTTCTCGAGTTGCGGCGGGCACCTGGGGTATGTTCTCGACTTACGGCGGGGATGGCCCTTCAAAACACGAGTTTCTCCAGTGACGTCAGGACTCCTGCCTAGTAACGAGGGACACCTCAGGAATCTCTTCGAGGCTTGGCAGGGCAAAAGGGACGCTTCTCGAGGTGAGGCAGGGCACCCAAGGACCCTTTCCAGTAGCCACAGGGATTTTGGGATTCCTATCAGTATTCAAGAGGAGTCAGGCATCGTCACCTTTTGAAGCAATGAACTCCGCGTGCCTCTCGAGGTGTCAGCGGGATGTGAGGCATTCCGTCAAAATGAGGCAGGGACCTAGGGCTTTCTCTAAGGTCTCCACAGGGGATTCAGACATCCCTTCAAGTTGTGAGATGAAAGACAAGCCTGTATTCAATCTATTGCATGGAAATCCGGACTCCTTTCAAGTTAGGGCTTCTCGCTGTATATTCCCCTTGAGGCAGCAAACTCGGAGTCCCTCCCACATACCTATTGCTGAGAAGCCTCCTCCTGAGGTGCTTCTGGAAAGTTGGCATACGTCTTGAGCCTAAGCCAGGGAATCAGCTCTCATCTCGAGACGATTTGGGGTACACGGAGCATTCCTCGAGTTGCTGTGCTGAAGTTGGTGTTCCTCTAGACTTGGGAAAGTGTTCTCTGGGCATCTCTGGAGTTGCCTGAAGGAAGTCGAGCCACCGGTCTTGTTGAATGGGGAACGGGGAATGGCTCTGGAGTCAATGCAGGGGAATCGGGCCTCATCTCGAGTTGATTTGGGGCACATGGAGCAGCTTTGCGTTGCTGGGGTGACCTCAGGGTCCGTCTAGACTGGTGACAGTGTTCTTGGGGACTGTCTCGAGATCCATTAAGCAAGTCGAAGCTCCTGACTTGTTTGAATGGGATCACGGAATAGCTCTGCATGCACTGCAGTGGAATGGGGCCTCATCTCGCCTCTAGGGGGGAGTCTCATGGTTTTTCTCGAGTTGCGGCGGGGACCTGGGGTATGTTCTCGACTTACGGCGGGGATGGCCCTTCAAAACACGAGTTTCTTCAGTGACGTCAGGACTCCTGCCTAGTAACGAGGGACACCTCAGGAATCTCTTCGAGGCTTGGCAGGGCAAAAGGGACGCTTCTCGAGGTGAGGAGGGCACCCAAGGACCCTTTCCAGTAGCCACAGGGATTTTGGGATTCCTATGAGTATTCAAGAGGAGTCAGGCATCGTCACCTTTTGAAGCAATGAACTCCGCGTGCCTCTCGAGGTGTCAGCGGGATGTGAGGCATTCCGTCAAAATGAGGCAGGGACCTAGGGCTTTCTCTAAGGTCTCCACAGGGGATTCAGACATCCCTTCAAGTTGTGAGATGAAAGACAAGCCTGTATTCAATCTATTGCATGGAAATCCGGACTCCTTTCAAGTTAGGGCTTCTCGCTGTATATTCCCCTTGAGGCAGCAAACTCGGAGTCCCTCCCACATACCTATTGCTGAGAAGCCTCCTCCTGAGGTGCTTCTGGGAACTTGGCATACGTCTTGAGCCTAAGCCAGGGAATCAGCTCTCATCTCGAGATGATTTGGGGTACACGGAGCATTCCTCGAGTTGCTGTGCTGAAGTTGGTGTTCCTCTAGACTTGGGACAGTGTTCTCGGGGCATCTCTGGAGTTGCCTGAAGGAAGTCGAGCCACCGGTCGTGTTGAATGGGGAACAGGGAATGGCTCTGGAGTCAATGCAGGGGAATCCGGCCTCATCTCGAGTTGATTTGGGGCACATGGAGCTGCTTTGCATTGCTGGGTGACATCAGGGTCCGTCTAGACTGGTGACAGTGTTCTTGGGGACTGTCTCGAGATCCATTAAGCAAGTCGAAGCTCCTGACTTGTTTGAAGGGGATCACGGAATAGCTCTGCATGCACTGCAGGGGAATGGGGCCTCATCTCGCCTCTAGGGGGAAGTCTCACGGTTTTTCTCGAGTTGCGGCGGGGACCTGGGGTATGTTCTCGACTTACGGCGGGGATGGCCCTTCAAAACACGAGTTTCTCCAGTGACGTCAGGACTCCTGCCTAGTAACGAGGGACACCTCAGGAATCTCTTCGAGGCTTGGCAGGGCAAAAGGGACGCTTCTCGAGGTGAGGCAGGGCACCCAAGGACCCTTTTCAGTAGCCACAGGGATTTTGGGATTCCTATCAGTATTCAAGAGGAGTCAGGCATCGTCACCTTTTGAAGCAATGAACTCCGCGTGCCTCTCGAGGTGTCAGGGGGATGTGAGGTATTCCGTCAAAATGAGGCAGGGACCTAGGGCTTTCTCTAAGGTCTCCACAGGGGATTCAGACATCCCTTCATGTTGTGAGATGAAAGACAAGCCTGTATTCAAGCTACTGCAAGGAAATCTGGCCTCCTTTCAAGTTAGGGCTTCTCGCTGTATATTCCTCTTGAGGCAGCAAACTCGGAGTCCCTCCCACATACCTATTGCTGAGAAGCCTCCTCCTGAGGTGCTTCTCGAAGGTTGGCATACGTCTTGAGCCTAAGCCAGGGAATCAGCTCTCATCTCGAGACGATTTGGGGTACACGGAGCATTCCTCGAGTTGCTGTGCTGAAGTTGGTGTTCCTCTAGACATGGGACAGTGTTCTCGGGGCATCTCTGGAGTTGCCTGAAGGAAGTCGAGCCACCGGTCGTGTTGAATGGGGAACAGGGAATGGCTCTGGAGTCAATGCAGGGGAATCCGGCCTCATCTCGAGTTGATTTGGGGCACATGGAGCTGCTTTGCATTGCTGGGTGACCTCAGGGTCCGTCTAGACTGGTGACAGTGTTCTTGGGGACTGTCTCGAGATCCATTAAGCAAGTCGAAGCTCCTGACTTGTTTGAATGGGATCACGGAATAGCTCTGCATGCACTGCAGGGGAATGGGGCCTCATCTCGCCTCTAGGGGGAAGTCTCATGGTTTTTCTCCAGTTGCGGCGGGGACCTGGGGTATGTTCTCGACTTACGGCGGGGATGGCCCTTCAAAACACGAGTTTCTCCAGTGACGTCAGGACTCCTGCCTAGTAACGAGGGACACCTCAGGAATCTCTTCAAGGCTTGGCAGGGCAAAAGGAACGCTTCTCGAGGTGCGGCAGGGCACCCAAGGACCCTTTCCAGTAGCCACAGGGATTTTGGGATTCCTATCAGTATTCAAGAGGAGTCAGGCATCGTCACCTTTTGAAGCAATGAACTCCGCGTGCCTCTCGAGGTGTCAGCGGGATGTGAGGCATTCCGTCAAAATGAGGCAGGGACCTAGGGCTTTCTCTAAGGTCTCCACAGGGGATTCAGACATCCCTTCATGTTGTCAGATCAAAGACGAGCCTGTATTCAAGCCACTGCAAGGAAATCCGGCCTCCTTTCAAGTTAGGGCTTCTCGCTGTATATTCCACTTGAGGCAGCAAACTCGGGGTCCCTCCCACATACCTATTGCTGAGAAGCCTCCTCCTGAGGTGCTTCTGGAAAGTTGGCATACGTCTTGAGCCTAAGCCAGGGAATCAGCTCTCATCTCGAGACGATTTGGGGTACACGGAGCATTCCTCGAGTTGCTGTGCTGAAGTTGGTGTTCCTCTAGACTTGGGACAGTGTTCTCGGGGCATCTCTGGAGTTGCCTGAAGGAAGTCGAGCCACCGGTCGTGTTGAATGGGGAACGGGGAATGGCTCTGGAGTCAATGCAGGGGAATCCGGCCTCATCTCGAGTTGATTTGGGGCACATGGAGCTGCTTTGCATTGCTGGGTGACCTCAGGGTCCGTCTAGACTGGTGACAGTGTTCTTGGGGACTGTCTCGAGATCCATTAAGCAAGTCGAAGCTCCTGACTTGTTTGAATGGGATCACGGAATAGCTCTGCATGCACTGCAGGGGAATGGGGCCTCATCTCGCCTCTAGGGGGAAGTCTCACGGTTTATCTCGAGTTGCGGCGAGCACCTGGGGTATGTTCTCGACTTACGGCGGGGATGGCCCTTCAAAACACGAGTTTCTCCAGTGACGTCAGGACTCCTGCCTAGTAACGAGGGACACCTCAGGAATCTCTTCGAGGCTTGGCAGGGCAAAAGGGACGCTTCTCGAGGTGAGGCAGGGCACCCAAGGACCCTTTACAGTAGCCACAGGGATTTTGGGATTCCTATCAGTATTCAAGAGGAGTCAGGCATCGTCACCTTTTGAAGCAATGAACTCCGCGTGCCTCTCGAGGTGTCAGCGGGATGAGAGGCATTTCGTCAAAATGAGGCAGGGACCTAGGGCTTTCTCTAAGGTCTCGACAGGGGATTCAGACATCCCTTCCTGTTGTCAGATCAAAGACGAGCCTGTATTCAAGCCACTGCAAGGAAATCCGGCCTCCTTTCAAGTTAGGGCTTCTCGCTGTATATTCCCCTTGAGGCAGCAAACTCGGGGTCCCTCCCACATACCTATTGCTGAGAGAAGCCTCCTCCTGAGGTGCTTCTGGAAAGTTGGCATACGTCTTGAGCCTAAGCCAGGGAATCAGCTCACATCTCGAGATGATTTGGGGTACACGGAGCATTCCTCGAGTTGCTTTGCTGAAGTTGGTGTTCCTCTAGACTTGGGAAAGTGTTCTCTGGGCATCTCTGGAGTTGCCTGAAGGAAGTCGAGCCACCGGTCTTGTTGAATGGGGAACGGGGAATGGCTCTGGAGTCAATGCAGGAGAATCGGGCCTCATCTCGAGTTGAATTGGGGCACATGGAGCAGCTTTGCGTTGCTGGGGTGACCTCAGGGTCTGTCTAGACTGGTGACAGTGTTCTTGGGGACTGTCTCGAGATCCATTAAGCAAGTCGAAGCTCCTGACTTGTTTGAATGGGATCACGGAATAGCTCTCCATGCACTGCAGGTTAATGGGGCCTCATCTCGCCTCTAGGGGGAAGTCTCATGGTTTTTCTCGAGTTGCGGCGGGGACCTGGGGTATGTTCTCGACTTACGGCGGGGATGGCCCTTCAAAACACGAGTTTCTTCAGTGACGTCAGGACTCCTGCCTAGTAACGAGGGACACCTCAGGAATCTCTTCGAGGCTTGGCAGGGCAAAAGGGACGCTTCTCGAGGTGAGGCAGGGCACCCAAGGACCCTTTCCAGTAGCCACAGGGATTTTGGGATTCCTATCAGTATTCAAGAGGAGTCAGGCATCGTCACCTTTTGAAGCAATGAACTCCGCGTGCCTCTCGAGGAGTCAGCGGGATGTGAGGCATTCCGTCAAAATGAGGCAGGGACCTAGGTCTTTCTCTAAGGTCTCCACAGGGGATTCAGACATCCCTTCATGTTGTGAGATGAAAGACAAGCCTGTATTCAATCTACTGCAAGGAAATCTGGCCTCCTTTCAAGTTAGGGCTTCTCGATGTATATTCCTCTTGAGGCAGCAAACTCGGAGTCCCTCCCACATACCTATTGCTGAGAAGCCTCCTCCTGAGGTGCTCCTGGAAAGTTGGCATACGTCTTGAGCCTAAGCCAGGGAATCAGCTCTCATCTCGAGACGACTTGGGGTACACGGAGCATTCCTCGAGTTGCTGTGCTGAAGTTCGTGTTCCTCTAGACTTGGGACAGTGTTCTCTGGGCATCTCTGGAGTTGCCTGAAGGAAGTCGAGCCACCGGTCGTGTTGAATGGGGAACGGGGAATGGCTCTGGAGTCAATGCAGGGGAATCCGGCCTCATCTCGTGTTGATTTTGGGCACATGGAGCTGCTTTGCATTGCTGGGTGACCTCAGGGTCCGTCTAGACTGGTGACAGTGTTCTTGGGGACTGTCTCGAGATCCATTAAGCAAGTCGAACCTCCTGACTTGTTTGAATGGGATCACAGAATAGCTCTGCATGCACTGCAGGGGAATGGGGCCTCATCTCGCCTCTAGGGGGAAGTCTCACGGTTTTTCTCGAGTTGCGGCGGGGACCTAGGGTATGTTCTCGACTTACGGCGGGGATGGCCCTTTAAAACACGAGTTTCTCCAGTGACGTCAGGACTCATGCCTAGTAACGAGGGACACCTCAGGAATCTCTTCGAGGCTTGGCAGGGCAAAAGGGACGCTTCTCGAGGTGAGGCAGGACACCCAAGGACCCTTTTCAGTAGCCACAGGGATTTTGGGATTCCTATCAGTATTCAAGAGGAGTCAGGCATCGTCACCTTTTGAAGCAATGAACTCCGCGTGCCTCTCGAGGTGTCAGCGGGATGTGAGTCATTCCGTCAAAATGAGGCAGGGACCTAGGGCTTTCTCTAAGGTCTCCACAGGGGATTCAGACATCCCTTCATGTTGTCAGATCAAAGACGAGCCTGTATTCAAGGCACTGCAAGGAAATCCGGCCTCCTTTCAAGTTAGGGCTTCTCGCTGTATATTCCCCTTGAGGCAGCAAACTCGGGGTCCCTCCCACATACCTATTGCTGAGAGAAGCCTCCTCCTGAGGTGCTTCTGGAAAGTTGGCATACGTCTTGAGCCTAAGCCAGGGAATCAGCTCTCATCTCGAGATGATTTGGGGTACACGGAGCATTCCTCGAGTTGCTTTGCTGAAGTTGGTGTTCCTCTAGACTTGGGAAAGTGTTCTCGGGGCATCTCTGGAGTTGCCTGAAGGAAGTCGAGCCACCGGTCTTGTTGAATGGGGAACGGGGAATGGCTCTGGAGTCAATGCAGGGGAATCGGGCCTCATCTCGAGTTGATTTGGGACACATGGAGCAGCTTTGCGTTGCTGGGGTGACCTCAGGGTCCGTCTAGACTGGTGACAGTGTTCTTGGGGACTGTCTCGAGATCCATTAAGCAAGTCGAAGCTCCTGACTTGTTTGAATGGGATCACGGAATAGCTCTGCATGCACTGCAGGGGAATGGGGCCTCATCTCGCCTCTAGGGGGAAGTCTCATGGTTTTTCTCGAGTTGCGGCGGGGACCTGGGGTATGTTCTCGACTTACGGCGGGGATGGCCCTTCAAAACACGAGTTTCTCCAGTGACGTCAGGACTCCTGCCTAGTAACGAGGGCCACCTCAGGAATCTTTTCGAGGCTTGGCAGGGCAAAAGGGACGCTTCTCGAGGTGAGGCAGGGCACCCAAGGACCCTTTCCAGTAGCCACAGGGATTTTGGGATTCCTATCAGTATTCAAGAGGAGTCAGGCATCGTCACCTTTTGAAGCAATGAACTCCGCGTTCCTCTCGAGGTGTCAGCGGGATGTGAGGCATTCCGTCAAAATGAGGCAGGGACCTACGGCTTTCTCTAAGGTCTCCAAGGGGATTCAGACATACCTTCATGTTGTGAGATGAAAGACAAGCCTGTATTCAAGCTACTGCAAGGAAATCTGGCCTCCTTTCAAGTTAGGGCTTCTCGATGTATATTCCTCTTGAGGCAGCAAACTCGGAGTCCCTCCCACATACCGATTGCTGAGAAGCCTCCTCCTGAGGTGCTTCTGGAAAGCTGGCATACGTCTTGAGCCTAAGCCAGGGAAGCAGCTCTCATCTCGAGACGATTTGGGGTACACGGAGCATTCCTCGAGTTGCTGTGCTGAAGTTCGTGTTCCTCTAGACTTGGGACAGTGTTCTCGGGGCATCTCTGGAGTTGCCTGAAGGAAGTCGAGCCACCGCTCGTGTTGAATGGGGAACGGGGAATGGCTCTGGAGTCAATGCAGGGGAATCCGGCCTCATCTCGAGTTGATTTGGGGCACATGGAGCTGTTTTGCATTGCTGGGTGACCTCAGGGTCCGTCTAGACTGGTGACAGTGTTCTTGGGGACTGTCTCGAGATCCATTAAGCAAGTCGAAGCTCCTGACTTGTTTGAATGGGATCACGGAATAGCTCTGCATGCACTGCAGGGGAATGGGGCCTCATCTCGCCTCTAGGGGGAAGTCTCACGGTTTTTCTCGAGTTGCGGCGGGGACCTAGGGTATGTTCTCGACTTACGGCGGGGATGGCCCTTTAAAACACGAGTTTCTCCAGTGACGTCAGGACTCATGCCTAGTAACGAGGGACACCTCAGGAATCTCTTCGAGGCTTGGCAGGGCAAAAGGGACGCTTCTCGAGGTGAGGCAGGACACCCAAGGACCCTTTTCAGTAGCCACAGGGATTTTGGGATTCCTATCAGTATTCAAGAGGAGTCAGGCATCGTCACCTTTTGAAGCAATGAACTCCGCGTGCCTCTCGAGGTGTCAGCGGGATGTGAGTCATTCCGTCAAAATGAGGCAGGGACCTAGGGCTTTCTCTAAGGTCTCCACAGGGGATTCAGACATCCCTTCATGTTGTCAGATCAAAGACGAGCCTGTATTCAAGGCACTGCAAGGAAATCCGGCCTCCTTTCAAGTTAGGGCTTCTCGCTGTATATTCCCCTTGAGGCAGCAAACTCGGGGTCCCTCCCACATACCTATTGCTGAGAGAAGCCTCCTCCTGAGGTGCTTCTGGAAAGTTGGCATACGTCTTGAGCCTAAGCCAGGGAATCAGCTCTCATCTCGAGATGATTTGGGGTACACGGAGCATTCCTCGAGTTGCTTTGCTGAAGTTGGTGTTCCTCTAGACTTGGGAAAGTGTTCTCGGGGCATCTCTGGAGTTGCCTGAAGGAAGTCGAGCCACCGGTCTTGTTGAATGGGGAACGGGGAATGGCTCTGGAGTCAATGCAGGGGAATCGGGCCTCATCTCGAGTTGATTTGGGACACATGGAGCAGCTTTGCGTTGCTGGGGTGACCTCAGGGTCCGTCTAGACTGGTGACAGTGTTCTTGGGGACTGTCTCGAGATCCATTAAGCAAGTCGAAGCTCCTGACTTGTTTGAATGGGATCACGGAATAGCTCTGCATGCACTGCAGGGGAATGGGGCCTCATCTCGCCTCTAGGGGGAAGTCTCATGGTTTTTCTCGAGTTGCGGCGGGGACCTGGGGTATGTTCTCGACTTACGGCGGGGATGGCCCTTCAAAACACGAGTTTCTCCAGTGACGTCAGGACTCCTGCCTAGTAACGAGGGCCACCTCAGGAATCTTTTCGAGGCTTGGCAGGGCAAAAGGGACGCTTCTCGAGGTGAGGCAGGGCACCCAAGGACCCTTTCCAGTAGCCACAGGGATTTTGGGATTCCTATCAGTATTCAAGAGGAGTCAGGCATCGTCACCTTTTGAAGCAATGAACTCCGCGTTCCTCTCGAGGTGTCAGCGGGATGTGAGGCATTCCGTCAAAATGAGGCAGGGACCTACGGCTTTCTCTAAGGTCTCCAAGGGGATTCAGACATACCTTCATGTTGTGAGATGAAAGACAAGCCTGTATTCAAGCTACTGCAAGGAAATCTGGCCTCCTTTCAAGTTAGGGCTTCTCGATGTATATTCCTCTTGAGGCAGCAAACTCGGAGTCCCTCCCACATACCGATTGCTGAGAAGCCTCCTCCTGAGGTGCTTCTGGAAAGCTGGCATACGTCTTGAGCCTAAGCCAGGGAAGCAGCTCTCATCTCGAGACGATTTGGGGTACACGGAGCATTCCTCGAGTTGCTGTGCTGAAGTTCGTGTTCCTCTAGACTTGGGACAGTGTTCTCGGGGCATCTCTGGAGTTGCCTGAAGGAAGTCGAGCCACCGGTCGTGTTGAATGGGGAACGGGGAATGGCTCTGGAGTCAATGCAGGGGAATCCGGCCTCATCTCGAGTTGATTTGGGGCACATGGAGCTGTTTTGCATTGCTGGGTGACCTCAGGGTCCGTCTAGACTGGTGACAGTGTTCTTGGGGACTGTCTCGAGATCCATTAAGCAAGTCGAAGCTCCTGACTTGTTTGAATGGGATCACGGAATAGCTCTGCATGCACTGCAGGGGAATGGGGCCTCATCTCGCCTCTAGGGGGAAGTCTCACGGTTTTTCTCGAGTTGCGGCGGGGACCTGGGGTATGTTCTCGACTTACGGCGGGGATGGCCCTTCAAAACACGAGTTTCTCCAGTGACGTCAGGACTCCTGCCTAGTAACGAGGGACACCTCAGGAATCTCTTCGAGGCTTGGCAGGGCAAAAGGGACGCTTCTGGAGGTGAGGCAGGGCACCCAAGGACCCTTTTCAGTAGCCACAGGGATTTTGGGATTCCTATCAGTATTCAAGAGGAGTCAGGCATCGTCACCTTTTGAAGCAATGAACTCCGCGTGCCTCTCGAGGTGTCAGCGGGATGTGAGGCATTCCGTCAAAATGAGGCAGGGACCTAGGGCTTTCTCTAAGGTCTCCACTGGGTTTCAGACATCCCTTCATGTTGTCAGATCAAAGACGAGCCTGTATTCAAGCCACTGCAAGGAAATCCGGCCTCCTTTCAAGTTAGGGCTTCTCGCTGTATATTCCCCTTGAGGCAGCAAACTCGGGGTCCCTCCCACATACCTATTGCTGAGAGAAGCCTCCTCCTGAGGTGCTTCTGGGAAGTTGGCATACGTCTTGAGCCTAAGCCAGGGAATCAGCTCTCATCTCGAGACGATTTGGGGTACACGGAGCATTCCTCGAGTTGCTTTGCTCAAGTTGGTGTTCCTCTAGACTTGGGACAGTGTTCTCGGGGCATCTCTGGAGTTGCCTGAAGGAAGTCGAGCCACCGGTCTTGTTGAATGGGGAACGGGGAATGGCTCTGGAGTCAATGCAGGGGAATCGGGCCTCATCTCGAGTTGATTTGGGGCACATGGAGCAGCGTTGCGTTGCTGGGGTGACCTCAGGGTCCGTCTAGACTGGTGACAGTGTTCTTGGGGACTGTCTCGAGATCCATTAAGCATGTCGAAGCTCCTGACTTGTTTGAATGGGATCACGGAATAGCTCTGCATGCACTGCAGGGGAATGGGGCCTCATCTCGCCTCTAGGGGGAAGTCTCATGGTTTTTCTCGAGTTGCGGCGGGGACCTGGGGTATGTTCTCGACTTACGGCGGGGATGGCCCTTCAAAACACGAGTTTCTCCAGTGACGTCAGGACTCCTGCCTAGTAACGAGGGCCACCTCAGGAATCTCTTCGAGGCTTGGCAGGGCAAAAGGGACGCTTCTCGAGGTGAGGCAGGGCACCCAAGGACCCTTTCCAGTAGCCACAGGGATTTTGGGATTCCTATCAGTATTCAAGAGGAGTCAGGCATCGTCACCTTTTGAAGCAATGAACTCCGCGTGCCTCTCGAGGTGTCAGCGGGATGTGAGGCATTCCGTCAAAATGAGGCAGGGACCTAGGGCTTTCTCTAAGGTCTCCACAGGGGATTCAGACATCCCTTCATGTTGTCAGATCAAAGACGAGCCTGTATTCAAGCCACTGCAAGGAAATCCGGCCTCCTTTCAAGTTAGGGCTTCTCGCTGTATATTCCCCTTGAGGCAGCAAACTCGGGGTCCCTCCCACATACCTATTGCTGAGAGAAGCCTCCTCCTGAGGTGCTTCTGGAAAGTTGGCATACGTCTTGAGCCTAAGCCAGGGAATCAGCTCTCATCTCGAGATGATTTGGGGTACACGGAGCATTCCTCGAGTTGCTTTGCTGAAGTTGGTGTTCCTCTAGACTTGGGACAGTGTTCTCGGGGCATCTCTGGAGTTGCCTGAAGGAAGTCGAGCCACCGCTCGTGTTGAATGGGGAACGGGGAATGGCTCTGGAGTCAATGCAGGGGAATCCGGCCTCATCTCGAGTTGATTTGGGGCACATGGAGCTGCTTTGCATTGCTGGGTGACCTCAGGGTCCGTCTAGACTGGTGACAGTGTTCTTGGGGACTGTCTCGAGATCCATTAAGCAAGTCGAAGCTCCTGACTTGTTTGAATGGGATCACGGAATAGCTCTGCATGCACTGCAGGGGAATGGGGCCTCATCTCGCCTCTAGGGGGAAGTCTCACGGTTTATCTCGAGTTGCGGCGAGCACCTGGGGTATATTCTCGACTTACGGCGGGGATGGCCCTTCAAAACACGAGTTTCTCCAGTGACGTCAGGACTCCTGCCTAGTAACGAGGGACACCTCAGGAATCTCTTCGAGGCTTGGCAGGGCAAAAGGGACGCTTCTCGAGGTGAGGCAGGGCACCCAAGGACCCTTTTCAGTAGCCACAGGGATTTTGCGATTCCTATCAGTATTCAAGAGGAGTCAGGCATCGTCACCTTTTGAAGCAATGAACTCCGCGTGCCTCTCGAGGTGTCAGCGGGATGTGAGGCATTTCGTCAAAATGAGGCAGGGACCTTGGGCTTTCTCTAAGGTCTCCACAGGGGATTCAGACATCCCTTCCTGTTGTCAGATCAAAGACGAGCCTGTATTCAAGCCACTGCAAGGAAATCCAGCCTCCTTTCAAGTTAGGGCTTCTCGCTGTATATTCCCCTTGAGGCAGCAAACTCGGGGTCCCTCCCACATACCTATTGCTGAGAGAAGCCTCCTCCTGAGGTGCTTCTGGGAAGTTGGCATACGTCTTGAGCCTAAGCCAGGGAATCAGCTCACATCTCGAGATGATTTGGGGTACACGGAGCATTCCTCGAGTTGCTTTGCTGAAGTTGGTGTTCCTCTAGACTTGGGAAAGTGTTCTCTGGGCAACTCTGGAGTTGCCTGAAGGAAGTCGAGCCACCGGTCTTGTTGAATGGGGAACGGGGAATGGCTCTGGAGTCAATGCAGGAGAATCGGGCCTCATCTCGAGTTGATTTGGGGCACATGGAGCAGCTTTGCGTTGCTGGGGTGACCTCAGGGTCTGTCTAGACTGGTGACAGTGTTCTTGGGGACTGTCTCGAGATCCATTAAGCAAGTCGAAGCTCCTGACTTGTTTGAATGCGATCACAGAATAGCTCTGCATGCACTGCAGGGGAATGGGGCCTCATCTCGCCTCTAGGGGGAAGTCTCATGGTTTTTCTCGAGTTGCGGCGGGGACCTGGGGTATGTTCTCGACTTACGGCGGGGATGGCCCTTCAAAACACGAGTTTCTTCAGTGACGTCAGGACTCCTGTCTAGTAATGAGGGACACCTCAGCAATCTCTTCGAGGCTTGGCAGGGCAAAAGGGACGCTTCTCGAGGTGAGCCAGGGCACCCAAGGACCCTTTCCAGTAGCCACAGGGATTTTGGGATTCCTATAAGTATTCAAGAGGAGTCAGGCATCGTCACCTTTTGAAGCAATGAACTCCGCGTGCCTCTCGAGATGTCAGCGGGATGTGAGGCATTCCGTCAAAATGATGCAGGGATCTAGGGCTTTCTCTAAGGTCTCCACAGGGGATTCAGACATCCCTTCATGTTGTGAGATGAAAGACAATCCTGTATTCAAGCTACTGCAAGGAAATCTGGCCTCCTTTCAAGTTAGGGCTTCTCGATGTATATTCCTCTTGAGGCAGCAAACTCGGAGTCCCTCCCACATACCTATTGCTGAGAAACCTCCTCCTGAGGTGCTTCTGGAAAGTTGGCATACGTCTTGAGCCTAAGCCAGGGAATCAGCTCTCATCTCGATACGATTTGGGGTACACGGAGCATTCCTCGAGTTGCTTTGCTGAAGTTGGTGTTCCTCTAGACTTGGGACAGTGTTCTCGGGGCATCTCTGGAGTTGCCTGAAGGAAGTCGAGCCACCGGTCGTGTTGAATGGGGAACAGGGAATGGCTCTGGAGTCAATGCAGGGGAATCCGGCCTCATCTCGAGTTGATTTGGGGCACATGGAGCTGCTTTGCATTGCTGGGTGACCTCAGGATCCGTCTAGACTCGTGACAGTGTTCTTGGGGACTGTCTCGAGATCCATTAAGCAAGTCGAAGCTCCTGACTTGTTTGAAGGGGATCACGGAATAGCTCTGCATGCACTGCAGTTGAATGGGGCCTCATCTCGCCTCTAGGGGGAAGTCTCATGGTTTTTCTCGAGTTGCGGCGGGGACCTGGGGTATGTTCTCGACTTACGGCGGGGATGGCCCTTCAAAACACGAGTTTTTCCAGTGACGTCAGGACTCCTGCCTAGTAACGAGGGACACCTCAGGAATCTCTTCGAGGCTTGGCAGGGCAAAAGGGACGCTTCTCGAGGTGAGTCAGGGCACCCAAGGACCCTTTTCCGTAGCCACAGGGATTTTGGGATTCCTATCAGTATTCAAGAGGAGTCAGGCATGGTCACCTTTTGAAGCAATGAACTCCGCGTGCCTCTGGAGGTGTCAGCGGGATGTGAGGCATTCCGTCAAAATGAGGCAGGGACCTAGGGCTTTCTCTAAGGTCTCCACAGGGGATTCAGACATCCCTTCATGTTGTGAGATGAAAGACAAGCCTGTATTCAAGCTACTGCAAGGAAATCTGGCCTCCTTTCAAGTTAGGGCTTCTCGATGTATACTCCTCTTGAGGCAGCAAACTCGGAGTCCCTCCCACATACCTATTGCTGAGAAGCCTCCTCCTGAGGTGCTTCTGGAAGATTGGCATACGTCTTGAGCCTAAGCCAGGGAATCAGCTCTCATCTCGAGACAATTTGGGGTACACGGAGCATTCCTCGAGTTGCTGTGCTGAAGTTGGTGTTCCTCTAGACATGGGACAGTGTTCTCGGGGCATCTCTGGAGTTGCCTGAAGGAAGTCGAGCCACCGGTCGTGTTGAATGGGGAACAGGGAATGGCTCTGGAGTCAATGCAGGGGAATCCGGCCTCATCTCGAGTTGATTTGGGGCACATGGAGCTGCTTTCCATTGCTGGGTGACCTCAGGGTCCGTCTAGACTGGTGACAGTGTTCTTGGGGACTGTCTCGAGATCCATTAAGCAAGTCGAAGCTCCTGACTTGTTTGAATGGGATCACGGAATAGCTCTGCATGCACTGCAGGGGAATGGGGCCTCATCTCGCCTCTAGGGGGAAGTCTCACGGTTTTTCTCGAGTTGCGGCGGGCACCTGGGGTATGTTCTCGACTTACGGCGGGGATGGCCCTTCAAAACACGAGTTTCTCCAGTGACGTCAGAACTCGTGCCTAGTAACGAGGGACACCTCAGGAATCACTTCGAGGCTTGGCAGGGCAAAAGGGACGCTTCTCGAGGTGAAGCAGGGCACCCAAGGACACTTTCCAGTAGCCACAGGGATTTTGGGATTCCTATCAGTATTCAAGAGGAGTCAGGCATGGTCACCTTTTGAAGCAATGAACTCCGCGTGCCTCTCGAGGTGTCAGCGGGATGTGAGGCATTCCGTCAAAATGAGGCAGGGACCTAGGGCTTTCTCTAAGGTCTCCACAGGGGATTCAGACATCCCTTCATGTTGTGAGATGAAAGACAAGCCTGTATTCAAGCTACTGCAAGGAAATCTGGCCTCCTTTCAAGTTAGGGCTTCTCGATGTATGTTCCTCTTGAGGCAGCAAACTCGGAGTCCCTCCCACATACCTATTGCTGAGAAGCCTCCTCCTGAGGTGCTTCTGGAAGGTTGGCATACGTCTTGAGCCTAAGCCAGGGAATCAGCTCTCATCTCGAGAAGATTTGGGGTACACGGAGCATTCCTCGAGTTGCTGTGCTGAAGTTGGTGTTCCTCTAGACTTGGGACAGTGTTCTCGGGGCATCTCTGGAGTTGCCTGAAGGAAGTCGAGCCACCGGTCGTGTTGAATGGGGAACGGGGAATGGCTCTGGAGTCAATGCAGGGGAATCCGGCCTCATCTCGAGTTGATTTGGGGCACATGGAGCTGCTTTGCATTGCTGGGTGACCTCAGGGTCCGTCTAGACTGGTGACAGTGTTCTTGGGGACTGTCTCGAGATCCATTAAGCAAGTCGAAACTCCTGACTTGTTTGAATGGGATCACGGAATAGCTCTGCATGCACTGCAGGGGAATGGGGCCTCATCTCGCCTCTAGGGGGAAGTCTCACGGTTTTTCTCGAGTTGCGGCGGGGACCTGGGGTATGTTCTCGACTTACGGCGGGGATGGCCCTTCAAAACACGAGTTTCTCCAGTGACGTCAGGACTCCTGCCTAGTAACGAGGGACACCTCAGGAATCTCTTCGAGGCTTGGCAGGGTAAAAGGAACGCTTCTCGAGGTGCGGCAGGGCACCCAAGGACCCTTTCCAGTAGCCACAGGGATTTTGGGATTCCTATCAGTATTCAAGAGGAGTCAGGCATCGTCACCTTTTGAAGCAATGAACTCCGCGTGCCTCTCGAGGTGTCAGCGGGATGTGAGGCATTCCGTCAAAATGAGGCAGGGACCTAGGGCTTTCTCTAAGGTCTCCACAGGGGATTCAGACATCCCTTCATGTTGTCAGATCAAAGACGAGCCTGTATTCAAGCCACTGCAAGGAAATCCGGCCTCCTTTCAAGTTAGGGCTTCTCGCTGTATATTCCACTTGAGGCAGCAAACTCGGGGTCCCTCCCACATACCTATTGCTGAGAGAAGCCTCCTCCTGAGGTGCTTCTGGAAAGTTGGCATACGTCTTGAGCCTAAGCCAGGGAATCAGCTCTCATCTCGAGATGATTTGGGGTACACAGAGCATTCCTCGAGTTGCTGTGCTGAAGTTGGTGTTCCTCTAGACTTGGGAAAGTGTTCTCTGGGCATCTCTGGAGTTGCCTGAAGGAAGTCGTGCCACCGGTCGTGTTGAATGGGGAACGGGGAATGGCTCTGGAGTCAATGCAGGGGAATCGGGCCTCATCTCGAGTTGATTTGGGGCACATGGAGCAGCTTTGCGTTGCTGGGGTGACCTCAGGGTCCGTCTAGACTGGTGACAGTGTTCTTGGGGACTGTCTCGAGATCCATTAAGCAAGTCGAAGCTCCTGACTTGTTTGAATGGGATCACGGAATAGCTCTGCATGCACTGCAGGGGAATGGGGCCTCATCTCGCCTCTAGGGGGAAGTCTCATGGTTTTTCTCGAGTTGCGGCGGGGACCTGGGGTATGTTCTCGACTTACGGCGGGGATGGCCCTTCAAAACACGAGTTTCTCCAGTGACGTCAGGACTCCTGCCTAGTAACGAGGGACACCTCAGGAATCTCTTCGAGGCTTGGCAGGGCAAAAGGGACGCTTCTCAAGGTGAGCCAGGGCACCCAAGGACCCTTTCCAGTAGCCACAGGGATTTTGGGATTCCTATCAATATTCAAGAGGAGTCAGGCATCGTCACCTTTTGAAGCAATGAACTCCGCGTGCCTCTCGAGGTGTCAGCGGGATGTGAGGCATTCCGTCAAAATGAGGCAGGGACCTAGGGCTTTCTCTAAGGACTCCACAGGGGATTCAGACATCCCTTCATGTTGTGAGATGAAAGACAAGCCTGTATTCAAACTACTGCAAGGAAATCTGGCCTCCTTTCAAGTTAGGGCTTCTCGATGTATATTCCTCTTGAGGCAGCAAACTCGGAGTCCCTCCCACATACCTATTGCTGAGAAGCCTCCTCCTGAGGTGCTTCTGGAAAGTTGGCATACGTTTTGAGCCTAAGCCAGGGAATCAGCTCTCATCTCGAGATGATTTGGGGTACACGGAGCATTCCTCGAGTTGCTGTGCTGAAGTTGGTGTTCCTCTAGACTTGGGAAAGTGTTCTCTGGGCATCTCTGGAGTTGCCTGAAGGAAGTCGAGCCACCGGTCGTGTTGAATGGGGAACGGGGAATGGCTCTGGAGTCAATGCAGGGGAATTGGGCCTCATCTCGAGTTGATTTGGGGCACTTGGAGCAGCTTTGCGTTGCTGGGGTGACCTCAGGGTCCGTCTAGACTGGTGACAGTGTTCTTGGGGACTGTCTCGAGATCCATTAAGCAAGTGGAAGCTCCTGACTTGTTTGAATGGGATCACGGAATAGCTCTGCATGCACTGCACGGGAATGGGGCCTCATCTCGCCTCTAGGGGGAAGTCTCATGGTTTTTCTCGAGTTGCGACGGGGACCTGGGGTATGTTGTCGACTTACGGCAGGGATGGCCCTTCAAAACACGAGTTTCTCCAGTGACGTCAGGACTCCTGCCTAGTAACGAGGGACACCTCAGGAATCTCTTCGAGGCTTGGCAGGGCAAAAGGGACGCATCTCAAGGTGAGGCTCGGCACCCAAGGACCCTTTCCAGTAGCCACAGGGATTTTGGGATTCCTATCAGTATTCAAGAGGAGTCAGGCATGGTCACCTTTTGAAGCAATGAACTCCGCGTGCCTCTCGAGGTGTCAGCGGGATGTGAGGCATTCCGTCAAAATGAGGCAGGGACCTAGGGCTTTCTCTAAGGACTCCACAGGGGATTCAGACATCCCTTCATGTTGTGAGATGAAAGACAAGCCTGTATTCAAGCTACTGCAAGGAAATCGGGCCTCCTTTCAAGTTAGGGCTTCTCGATGTATATTCCTCTTGAGGCAGCAAACTCGGAGTCCCTCCCACATACCTATTGCTGAGAAGCCTCCTCCTGAGGTGCTTCTGGAAAGTTGGCATACGTCTTGAGCCTAAGCCAGGGAATCAGCTCTCATCTCGAGACGATTTGGGGTACACGGAGCATTTCTCGAGTTGCTGTGCTGAAGTTGGTGTTCCTCTAGACTTGGGACAGTGTTCTCGGGGCATCTCTGGAGTTGCCTGAAGGAAGTCGAGCCACCGGTCGTGTTGAATGGGGAACGGGGAATGGCTCTGGAGTCAATGCAGGGGAATCCGGCCTCATCTCGAGTTGATTTGGGGCACATGGAGCTGCTTTGCATTGCTGGGTGACCTCAGGGTCCGTCTAGACTGGTGACAGTGTTCTTGGGGACTGTCTCGAGATCCATTAAGCAAGTCGAAGCTCCTGACTTGTTTGAATGGGATCACGGAATAGCTCTGCATGCACTGCAGGGGAATGGGGCCTCATCTCGCCTCTAGGAGGAAGTCTCACGGTTTTTCTCGAGTTGCGGCAGGCACCTGGGGTATGTTCTCGACTTACGGCGGGGTTGGCCCTTCAAAACACGAGTTTCTCCAGTGACGTCAGGACTCCTGCCTAGTAACGAGGGACACCTCAGGAATCTCTTCGAGGCTTGGCAGGGCAAAAGGGACGCTTCTCGAGGTGAGGCAGGGCACCCAAGGACCCTTTCCAGTAGCCACAGGGATTTTGGGATTCCTATCAGTATTCAAGAGGAGTCAGGCATCGTCACCTTTTGAAGCAATGAACTCCGCGTGCCTCTCGAGGTGTCAGCGGGATGTGAGGCATTCCGTCAAAATGAGGCAGGGACCTAGGGCTTTCTCTAAGGTCTCCACAGGGGATTCAGACATCCCTTCAAGTTGTGAGATGAAAGACAAGCCTGTATTCAATCTATTGCATGGAAATCCGGACTCCTTTCAAGTTAGGGCTTCTCGCTGTATATTCCCCTTGAGGCAGCAAACTCGGAGTCCCTCCCACATACCTATTGCTGAGAAGCCTCCTCCTGAGGTGCTTCTGGAAAGTTGGCATACGTCTTGAGCCTAAGCCAGGGAATCAGCTCTCATCTCGAGACGATTTGGGGTACACGGAGCATTCCTCGAGTTGCTCTGCTGAAGTTGGTGTTCCTCTAGACTTGGGAAAGTGTTCTCTGGGCATCTCTGGAGTTGCCTGAAGGAAGTCGAGCCACCGGTCTTGTTGAATGGGGAACGGGGAATGGCTCTGGAGTCAATGCAGGGGAATCGGGCCTCATCTCGAGTTGATTTGGGGCACATGGAGCAGCTTTGCGTTGCTGGGGTGACCTCAGGGTCCGTCTAGACTCGTGACAGTGTTCTTGGGGACTGTCTCGAGATCCATTAAGCAAGTCGAAGCTCCTGACTTGTTTGAATGGGATCACGGAATAGCTCTCCATGCACTGCAGGGGAATGGGGCCTCATCTCGCCTCTAGGGGGGACTCTCATGGTTTTTCTCGAGTTGCGGCGGGGACCTGGGGTATGTTCTCGATTAACGGCGGGGATGGCCCTTCAAAACACGAGTTTCTTCAGTGACGTCAGGACTCCTGCCTAGTAACGAGGGACACCTCAGGAATCTCTTCGAGGCTTGGCAGGGCAAAAGGGACGCTTCTCGAGGTGAGGGAGGGCACCCAAGGACCCTTTCCAGTAGCCACAGGGATTTTGGGATTCCTATCAGTATTCAAGAGGAGTCAGGCATCGTCACCTTTTGAAGCAATGAACTCCGCGTGCCTCTGGAGGTGTCAGGGGGATGTGAGGTATTCCGTCAAAATGAGGCAGGGACCTAGGGCTTCCTCTAAGGTCTCCACAGGGGATTCAGACATTCCTTCATGTTTTCAGATCAAAGACGAGCCTGTATTCAACCCACTGCAAGGAAATCTGGCCTCCGTTCACATTAGGGCTTCTCCCTGTGTATTCCCCTTGAGGCAGCAAACTCGGGGTCCCTCCCACATACCTATTGCTGAGAGAAGCCTCCTCCTGAGGTGCTTCTGGAAAGTTGGCATACGTCTTGAGCCTAAGCCAGGGAATCAGCTCTCATCTCGAGATGATTTGGGGTACACGGAGCATTCCTCGAGTTGCTGTGCTGAAGTTGGTGTTCCTCTAGACTTGGGACAGTGTTCTCGGGGCATCTCTGGAGTTGCCTGAAGGAAGTCGAGCCACCGGTCGTGTTGAATGGGGAACGGGGAATGTCTCTGGAGTCAATGCAGGGGAATCGGGCCTCATCTCGAGTTGATTTGGGGCACATGGAGCAGCTTTGCGTTGCTGGGGTGACCTCAGGGTCCGTCTAGACTGGTGACAGTGTTCTTGGGGACTCTCTCGAGATCCACTAAGCAAGTCGAAGCTCCTGACTTGTTTGAATGGGATCACGGAATAGCTCTGCATGCACTGCAGGGGAATGGGGCCTCATCTCGCCTCTAGGGGGAAGTCTCATGGTTTTTCTCGAGTTGCGGCGGGGACCTGGGGTATGTTCTCGACTTACGGCGGGGATGGCCCTTCAAAACACGAGTTTCTCCAGTGACGTCAGAACTCGTGCCTAGTAACGAGGGACACCTCAGGAATCTCTTCGAGGCTTGGCAGATCAAAAGGGACGCTTCTCGAGGTGCGGCAGGGCACCCAAGGACACTTTCCAGTAGCCACAGGGATTTTGGGATTCCTATCAGTATTCAAGAGGAGTCAGGCATGGTCACCTTTTGAAGCAATGAACTCCGCGTGCCTCTCGAGGTGTCAGCGGGATGTGAGGTATTCCGTCAAAATGAGGCAGGGACCTAGGGCTTTCTCTAAGGTCTCCACAGGGGATTCAGACATCCCTTCATGTTGTGAGATGAAAGACAAGCCTGTATTCAAGCTACTGCAAGGAAATCTGGCCTCCTTTCAAGTTAGGGCTTCTCGATGTATGTTCCTCTTGAGGCAGCAAACTCGGAGTCCCTCCCACATACCTATTGCTGAGAAGCCTCCTCCTGAGGTGCTTCTGGAAGGTTGGCATACGTCTTGAGCCTAAGCCAGGGAATCAGCTCTCATCTCGAGACGATTTGGGGTACACGGAGCATTCCTCGAGTTGCTGTGCTGAAGTTGGTGTTCCTCTAGACTTGGGACAGTGTTCTCGGGGCATCTCTGGAGTTGCCTGAAGGAAGTCGAGCCACCGGTCGTGTTGAATGGGGAACGGGGAATGGCTCTGGAGTCAATGCAGGGGAATCCGGCCTCATCTCGAGTTGATTTGGGGCACATGGAGCTGCTTTGCATTGCTGGGTGACCTCAGGGTCCGTCTAGACTGGTGACAGTGTTCTTGGGGACTCTCTCGAGATCCATTAAGCAAGTCGAAGCTCCTGACTTGTTTGAATGGGATCACGGAATAGCTCTGCATGCACTGCAGGGGAATGGGGCCTCATCTCGCCTCTAGGGGGAAGTCTCATGGTTTTTCTCGAGTTGCGGCGGGGACCTGGGGTATGTTCTCGACTTACGGCGGGGATGGACCTTCAAAACACGAGTTTCTCCAGTGACGTCAGGACTCCTGCCTAGTAACGAGGGACACCTCAGGAATCTCTTCGAGGCTTGGCAGGGCAAAAGGAACGCTTCTCGAGGTGAGGCTGGGCACCCAAGGACCCTTTCCAGTAGCCACAGGGATTTTGGGATTCCTATCAGTATTCAAGAGGAGTCAGGCATCGTCACCTTTTGAAGCAATGAACTCCGCGTGCCTCTCGAGGTGTCAGCGGGATGTGAGGCATTCCGTCAAAATGAGGCAGGGACCTAGGGCTTTCTCTAAGGACTCCACAGGGGATTCAGACATCCCTTCATGTTGTGAGATGAAAGACAAGCCTGTATTCAAGCTACTGCAAGGAAATCTGGCCTCCTTTCAAGTTAGGGCTTCTCGATGTATATTCCTCTTGAGGCAGCAAACTCGGAGTCCCTACCACATACCTATTGCTGAGAAGCCTCCTCCTGAGGTGCTTCTGGAAAGTTGGCATACGTCTTGAGCCTAAGCCAGGGAATCAGCTCTCATCTCGAGATGATTTGGGGTACACGGAGCATTCCTCGAGTTGCTGTGCTGAAGTTGGTGTTCCTCTAGACTTGGGACAGTGTTCTCGGGGCATCTCTGGAGTTGCCTGAAGGAAGTCGAGCCACCGGTCGTGTTGAATGGGGAACGGGGAATGGCTCTGGAGTCAATGCAGGGGAATCGGGCCTCATCTCGAGTTGATTTGGGGCACATGGAGCAGCTTTGCGTTGCTGGGGTGACCTCAGGGTCCGTCTAGACTGGTGACAGTGTTCTTGGGGACTGTCTCGAGATCCATTAAGCAAGTGGAAGCTCCTGACTTGTTTGAATGGGATCACGGAATAGCTCTGCATGCACTGCAGGGGAATGGGGCCTCATCTCGCCTCTAGGGGGAAGTCTCATGGTTTTTCTCGAGTTGCGGCGGGGACCTGGGGTATGTTGTCGACTTACGGCAGGGATGGCCCTTCAAAACACGAGTTTCTCCAGTGACGTCAGGACTCCTGCCTAGTAACGAGGGACACCTCAGGAATCTCTTCGAGGCTTGGCAGGGCAAAAGGGACGCTTCTCAAGGTGAGGCTGGGCACCCAAGGACCCTTTCCAGTAGCCACAGGGATTTTGGGATTCCTATCAGTATTCAAGAGGAGTCAGGCATGGTCACCTTTTGAAGCAATGAACTCCGCGTGCCTCTCGAGGTGTCAGCGGGATGTGAGGCATTCCGTCAAAATGAGGCAGGGACCTAGGGCTTTCTCTAAGGACTCCACAGGGGATTCAGACATCCCTTCATGTTGTGAGATGAAAGACAAGCCTGTATTCAAACTACTGCAAGGAAATCTGGCCTCCTTTCAAGTTAGGGCTTCTCGATGTATATTCCTCTTGAGGCAGCAAACTCGGAGTCCCTCCCACATACCTATTGCTGAGAAGCCTCCTCCTGAGGTGCTTCTGGAAAGTTGGCATACGTCTTGAGCCTAAGCCAGGGAATCAGCTCTCATCTCGAGATGATTTGGGGTACACGGAGCATTCCTCGAGTTGCTGTGCTGAAGTTGGTGTTCCTCTAGACTTGGGAAAGTGTTCTCTGGGCATCTCTGGAGTTGCCTGAAGGAAGTCGAGCCACCGGTCGTGTTGAATGGGGAACGGGGAATGGCTCTGGAGTCAATGCAGGGGAATTGGGCCTCATCTCGAGTTGATTTGGGGCACATGGAGCAGCTTTGCGTTGCTGGGGTGACCTCAGGGTCCGTCTAGACTGGTGACAGTGTTCTTGGGGACTGTCTCGAGATCCATTAAGCAAGTGGAAGCTCCTGACTTGTTTGAATGGGATCACGGAATAGCTCTGAATGCACTGCAGGGGAATGGGGCCTCATCTCGCCTCTAGGGGGAAGTCTCATGGTTTTTCTCGAGTTGCGACGGGGACCTGGGGTATGTTGTCGACTTACGGCAGGGATGGCCCTTCAAAACACGAGTTTCTCCAGTGACGTCAGGACTCCTGCCTAGTAACGAGGGCCACCTCAGGAATCTCTTCGAGGCTTGGCAGGGCAAAAGGGACGCTTCTCAAGGTGAGGCTGGGCACCCAAGGACCCTTTCCAGTAGCCACAGGGATTTTGGGATTCCTATCAGTATTCAAGAGGAGTCAGGCATGGTCACCTTTTGAAGCAATGAACTCCGCGTGCCTCTCGAGGTGTCAGCGGGATGTGAGGCATTCCGTCAAAATGAGGCAGGGACCTAGGGCTTTCTCTAAGGACTCCACAGGGGATTCAGACATCCCTTCATGTTGTGAGATGAAAGACAAGCCTGTATTCAAGCTACTGCAAGGAAATCTGGCCTCCTTTCAAGTTAGGGCTTCTCGATGTATATTCCTCTTGAGGCAGCAAACTCGGAGTCCCTCCCACATACCTATTGCTGAGAAGCCTCCTCCTGAGGTGCTTCTGGAAAGTTGGCATACGTCTTGAGCCTAAGCCAGGGAATCAGCTCTCATCTCGAGACGATTTGGGGTACACGGAGCATTCCTCGAGTTGCTGTGCTGAAGTTGGTGTTCCTCTAGACTTGGGACAGTGTTCTCGGGGCATCTCTGGAGTTGCCTGAAGGAAGTCGAGCCACCGGTCGTGTTGAATGGGGAACGGGGAATGGCTCTGGAGTCAATGCAGGGGAATCCGGCCTCATCTCGAGTTGATTTGGGGCACATGGAGCTGCTTTGCATTGCTGGGTGACCTCAGGGTCCGTCTAGACTGGTGACAGTGTTCTTGGGGACTGTCTCGAGATCCATTAAGCAAGTCGAAGCTCCTGACTTGTTTGAATGGGATCACGGAATAGTTCTGCATGCACTGCAGGGGAATGGGGCCTCATCTCGCCTCTAGGAGGAAGTCTCACGGTTTTTCTCGAGTTGCGGCAGGCACCTGGGGTATGTTCTCGACTTACGGCGGGGATGGCCCTTCAAAACACGAGTTTCTCCAGTGACGTCAGGACTCCTGCCTGGTAACGAGGGACACCTCAGGAATCTCTTCGAGGCTTGGCAGGGCAAAAGGGACGCTTCTCGAGGTGAGGCAGGGCACCCAAGGACCCTTTCCAGTAGCCACAGGCATTTTGGGATTCCTATCAGTATTCAAGAGGAGTCAGGCATCGTCACCTTTTGAAGCAATGAACTCCGCGTGCCTCTCGAGGTGTCAGCGGGATGTGAGGCATTCCGTCAAAATGAGGCAGGGACCTAGGGCTTTCTCTAAGGTCTCCACAGGGGATTCAGACATCCCTTCAAGTTGTGAGATGAAAGACAAGCCTGTATTCAATCTATTGCATGGAAATCCGGACTCCTTTCAAGTTAGGGCTTCTCGCTGTATATTCCCCTTGAGGCAGCAAACTCGGAGTCCCTCCCACATACCTATTGCTGAGAAGCCTCCTCCTGAGGTGCTTCTGGAAAGTTGGCATACGTCTTGAGCCTAAGCCAGGGAATCAGCTCTCATCTCGAGACGATTTGGGGTACACGGAGCATTCCTCGAGTTGCTGTGCTGAAGTTGGTGTTCCTCTAGACTTGGGAAAGTGTTCTCTGGGCATCTCTGGAGTTGCCTGAAGGAAGTCGAGCCACCGGTCTTGTTGAATGGGGAACGGGGAATGGCTCTGGAGTCAATGCAGGGGAATCGGGCCTCATCTCGAGTTGATTTGGGGCACATGGAGCAGCTTTGCATTGCTGGGGTGACCTCAGGGTCCGTCTAGACTCGTGACAGTGTTCTTGGGGACTGTCTCGAGATCCATTAAGCAAGTCGAAGCTCCTGACTTGTTTGAATGGGATCACGGAATAGCTCTGCATGCACTGCAGGGGAATGGGGCCTCATCTCGCCTCTAGGGGGGAGTCTCATGGTTTTTCTCGAGTTGCGGCGGGGACCTGGGGTATGTTCTCGACTTACGGCGGGGATGGCCCTTCAAAACACGAGTTTCTTCAGTGACGTCAGGACTCCTGCCTAGTAACGAGGGACACCTCAGGAATCTCTTCGAGGCTTGGCAGGGCAAAAGGGACGCTTCTCGAGGTGAGGGAGGGCACCCAAGGACCCTTTCCAGTAGCCACAGGGATTTTGGGATTCCTATCAGTATTCAAGAGGAGTCAGGCATCGTCACCTTTTGAAGCAATGAACTCCGCGTGCCTCTGGAGGTGTCAGGGGGATGTGAGGTATTCCGTCAAAATGAGGCAGGGACCTAGGGCTTCCTCTAAGGTCTCCACAGGGGATTCAGACATTCCTTCATGTTTTCAGATCAAAGACGAGCCTGTATTCAACCCACTGCAAGGAAATCTGGCCTCCGTTCACATTAGGGCTTCTCCCTGTGTATTCCCCTTGAGGCAGCAAACTCGGGGTCCCTCCCACATACCTATTGCTGAGAGAAGCCTCCTCCTGAGGTGCTTCTGGAAAGTTGGCATACGTCTTGAGCCTAAGCCAGGGAATCAGCTCTCATCTCGAGATGATTTGGGGTACACGGAGCATTCCTCGAGTTGCTGTGCTGAAGTTGGTGTTCCTCTAGACTTGGGACAGTGTTCTCGGGGCATCTCTGGAGTTGCCTGAAGGAAGTCGAGCCACCGGTCGTGTTGAATGGGGAACGGGGAATGTCTCTGGAGTCAATGCAGGGGAATCGGGCCTCATCTCGAGTTGATTTGGGGCACATGGAGCAGCTTTGCGTTGCTGGGGTGACCTCAGGGTCCGTCTAGACTGGTGACAGTGTTCTTGGGGACTGTCTCGAGATCCACTAAGCAAGTCGAAGCTCCTGACTTGTTTGAATGGGATCACGGAATAGCTCTGCATGCACTGCAGGGGAATGGGGCCTCATCTCGCCTCTAGGGGGAAGTCTCATTGTTTTTCTCGAGTTGCGGCGGGGACCTGGGGTATGTTCTCGACTTACGGCGGGGATGGCCCTTCAAAACACGAGTTTCTCCAGTGACGTCAGAACTCGTGCCTAGTAACGAGGGACACCTCAGGAATCTCTTCGAGGCTTGGCAGGGCAAAAGGGACGCTTCTCGAGGTGAAGCAGGGCACCCAAGGACACTTTCCAGTAGCCACAGGGATTTTGGGATTCCTATCAGTATTCAAGAGGAGTCAGGCATGGTCACCTTTTGAAGCAATGAACTCCGCGTGCCTCTCGAGGTGTCAGCGGGATGTGAGGCATTCCGTCAAAATGAGGCAGGGACCTAGGGCTTTCTCTAAGGTCTCCACAGGGGATTCAGACATCCCTTCATGTTGTGAGATGAAAGACAAGCCTGTATTCAAGCTACTGCAAGGAAATCTGGCCTCCTTTCAAGTTAGGGCTTCTCGATGTATGTTCCTCTTGAGGCAGCAAACTCGGAGTCCCTCCCACATACCTATTGCTGAGAAGCCTCCTCCTGAGGTGCTTCTGGAAGGTTGGCATACGTCTTGAGCCTAAGCCAGGGAATCAGCTCTCATCTCGAGACGATTTGGGGTACACGGAGCATTCCTCGAGTTGCTGTGCTGAAGTTGGTGTTCCTCTAGACTTGGGACAGTGTTCTCGGGGCATCTCTGGAGTTGCCTGAAGGAAGTCGAGCCACCGGTCGTGTTGAATGGGGAACGGGGAATGGCTCTGGAGTCAATGCAGGGGAATCCGGCCTCATCTCGAGTTGATTTGGGGCACATGGAGCTGCTTTGCATTGCTGGGTGACCTCAGGGTCCGTCTAGACTGGTGACAGTGTTCTTGGGGACTCTCTCGAGATCCATTAAGCAAGTCGAAGCTCCTGACTTGTTTGAATGGGATCACGGAATAGCTCTGCATGCACTGCAGGGGAATGGGGCCTCATCTCGCCTCTAGGGGGAAGTCTCACGGTTTTTCTCGAGTTGCGGCGGGGACCTGGGGTATGTTAGCGACTTACGGCGGGGATGGCCCTTCAAAACACGAGTTTCTCCAGTGACGTCAGGACTCCTGCCTAGTAACGAGGGACACCTCAGGAATCTCTTCGAGGCTTGGCAGGGCAAAAGGAACGCTTCTCGAGGTGCGGCAGGGCACCCAAGGACCCTTTCCAGTAGCCACAGGGATTTTGGGATTCCTATCAGTATTCAAGAGGAGTCAGGCATCGTCACCTTTTGAAGCAATGAACTCCGCGTGCCTCTCGAGGTGTCATCGGGATGTGAGGCATTCCGTCAAAATGAGGCAGGGACCTAGGGCTTTCTCTAAGGTCTCCACAGGGGATTCAGACATCCCTTCATGTTGTGAGATGAAAGACGAGCCTGTATTCAAGCCACTGCAAGGAAATCCGGCCTCCTTTCAAGTTAGGGCTTCTCGCTGTATATTCCAATTGAGGCAGCAAACTCGGGGTCCCTCCCACATACCTATTGCTGAGAGAAGCCTCCTCCTGAGGTGCTTCTGGAAAGTTGGCATACGTCTTGAGCCTAAGCCAGGGAATCAGCTCTCATCTCGAGATGATTTGGGGTACACAGAGCATTCCTCGAGTTGCTGTGCTGAAGTTGGTGTTCCTCTAGACTTGGGAAAGTGTTCTCTGGACATCTCTGGAGTTGCCTGAAGGAAGTCGTGCCACCGGTCGTGTTGAATGGGGAACGGGGAATGGCTCTGGAGTCAATGCAGGGGAATCGGGCCTCATCTCGAGTTGATTTGGGGCACATGGAGCAGCTTTTCGTTGCTGGGGTGACCTCAGGGTCCGTCTAGACTGGTGACAGTGTTCTTGGGGACTGTCTCGAGATCCATTAAGCAAGTCGAAGCTCCTGACTTGTTTGAATGGGATCACGGAATAGCTCTGCATGCACTGCAGGGGAATGGGGCCTCATCTCGCCTCTAGGGGGGAGTCTCATGGTTTTTCTCGAGTTGCGGCGGGGACCTGGGGTATGTTCTCGACTTACGGCGGGGATGGCCCTTCAAAACACGAGTTTCTCCAGTGACCTCAGGACTCGTGCCTAGTAACGAGGGACACCTCAGGAATCTCTTCGAGGCTTGGCAGGGCAAAAGGGACGCTTCTCAAGGTGAGGCAGGGCACCCAAGGACCCTTTCCAGTAGCCACAGGGATTTTGGGATTCCTATCAGTATTCAAGAGGAGTCAGGCATCGTCACCTTTTGAAGCAATGAACTCCGCGTGCCTCTCGAGGTGTCAGCGGGATGTGAGGCATTCCGTCAAAATGAGGCAGGGACCTAGGGCTTTCTCTAAGGACTCCACAGGGGATTCAGACATCCCTTCATGTTGTGAGATGAAAGACAAGCCTGTATTCAAGCTACTGCAAGGAAATCTGGCCTCCTTTGAAGTTAGGGCTTCTCGATGTATATTCCTCTTGAGGCAGCAAACTCGGAGTCCCTCCCACATACCTATTGCTGAGAAGCCTCCTCCTGAGGTGCTTCTGGAAAGTTGGCATACGTCTTGAGCCTAAGCCAGGGAATCAGCTCTCATCTCGAGATGATTTGGGGTACACGGAGCATTCCTCGAGTTGCTGTGCTGAAGTTGGTGTTCCTCTAGACTTGGGAAAGTGTTCTCTGGGCATCTCTGGAGTTGCCTGAAGGAAGTCGAGCCACCGGTCGTGTTGAATGGGGAACGGGGAATGGCTCTGGAGTCAATGCAGGGGAATTGGGCCTCATCTCGAGTTGATTTGGGGCACATGGAGCAGCTTTGCGTTGCTGGGGTGACCTCAGGGTCCGTCTAGACTGGTGACAGTGTTCTTGGGGACTGTCTCGAGATCCATTAAGCAAGTCGAAGCTCCTGACTTGTTTGAATGGGATCACGGAATAGCTCTGCATGCACTGCAGGGGAATGGGGCCTCATCTCGCCTCTAGGGGGAAGTCTCATGGTTTTTCTCGAGTTGCGGCGGGGACCTGGGGTATGTTGTCGACTTACGCCAGGGATGGCCCTTCAAAACACGAGTTTCTCCAGTGACGTCAGGACTCCTGCCTAGTAACGAGGGACACCTCAGGAATCTCTTCGAGGCTTGGCAGGGCAAAAGGGACGCTTCTCAAGGTGAGGCTGGGCACCCAAGGACCCTTTCCAGTAGCCACAGGGATTTTGGGATTCCTATCAGTATTCAAGAGGAGTCAGGCATCGTCACCTTTTGAATCAATGAACTCCGCGTGCCTCTCGAGGTGTCAGCGGGATGTGAGGCATTCCGTCAAAATGAGGCAGGGACCTAGGGCTTTCTCTAAGGACTCCACAGGGGATTCAGACATCCCTTCATGTTGTGAGATGAAAGACAAGCCTGTATTCAAGCTACTGCAAGGAAATCTGGCCTCCTTTCAAGTTAGGGCTTCTCGATGTATATTCCTCTTGAGGCAGCAAACTCGGAGTCCCTCCCACATACCTATTGCTGAGAAGCCTCCTCCTGAGGTGCTTCTGGAAAGTTGGCATACGTCTTGAGCCTAAGCCAGGGAATCAGCTCTCATCTCGAGACGATTTGGGGTACACGGAGCATTCCTCGAGTTGCTGTGCTGAAGTTGGTGTTCCTCTAGACTTGGGACAGTGTTCTCGGGGCATCTCTGGAGTTGCCTGAAGGAAGTCGAGCCACCGGTCGTGTTGAATGGGGAACGGGGAATGGCTCTGGAGTCAATGCAGGGGAATCCGGCCTCATCTCGAGTTGATTTGGGGCACATGGAGCTGCTTTGCATTGCTGGGTGACCTCAGGGTCCGTCTAGACTGGTGACAGTGTTCTTGGGGACTGTCTCGAGATCCATTAAGCAAGTCGAAGCTCCTGACTTGTTTGAATGGGATCACGGAATAGCTCTGCATGCACTGCAGGGGAATGGGGCCTCATCTCGCCTCTAGGAGGAAGTCTCACGGTTTTTCTCGAGTTGCGGCGGGCACCTGGGGTATGTTGTCGACTTACGGCGGGGATGGCCCTTCAAAACACGAGTTTCTCCAGTGACGTCAGGACTCCTGCCTAGTAACGAGGGACACCTCAGGAATCTCTTCGAGGCTTGGCAGGTCAAAAGGGACGCTTCTCGAGGTGAGGCAGGGCACCCAAGGACCCTTTCCAGTAGCCACAGGGATTTTGGGATTCCTATCAGTATTCAAGAGGAGTCAGGCATCGTCACCTTTTGAAGCAATGAACTCAGCGTGCCTCTCGAGGTGTCAGCGGGATGTGAGGCATTCCGTCAAAATGAGGCAGGGACCTAGGGCTTTCTCTAAGGTCTCCACAGGGGATTCAGACATCCCTTCAAGTTGTGAGATGAAAGACAAGCCTGTATTCAATCTATTGCTTGGAAATCCGGACTCCTTTCAAGTTAGGGCTTCTCGCTGTATATTCCCCTTGAGGCAGCATACTCGGAGTCCCTCCCACATACCTATTGCTGAGAAGCCTCCTCCTGAGGTGCTTCTGGAAAGTTGACATACGTCTTGAGCCTAAGCCAGGGAATCAGCTCTCATCTCGAGATGATTTGGGGTACACGGAGCATTCCTCGAGTTGCTGTGCTGAAGTTGGTGTTCCTCTAGACTTGGGACAGTGTTCTCGGGGCATCTCTGGAGTTGCCTGAAGGAAGGCGAGCCACCGGTCGTGTTGAACGGGGAACGGGGAATGGCTCTGGAGTCAATGCAGGGGAATCGGGCCTCATCTCGGGTTGTTTTGGGGCACATGGAGCTGCTTTGCTTTGATGGGGTGACCTCAGAGTCCGTCTAGACTGGTGACAGTGTTCTTGGGGACTGTCTCGAGATCCATTAGGCAAGTCGAAGCTCCTGACTTGTTTGAATGGGATCACAGAATAGCTCTGCATGCACTGCAGGGGAATGGGGCCTCATCTCGCCTCTAGGGGGAAGTCTCATCGTTTTTCTCGAGTTGCGGCGGGGACCTGGGGTATGTTCTCGACTTACGGCGGGGATGGCCCTTCAAAACACGAGTTTCTTCAGTGACGTCAGGACTCCTGTCTAGTAATGAGGGACACCTCAGGAATCTCTTCGAGGCTTGGCAGGGCAAAAGGGACGCTTCTCGAGGTGAGCCAGGGCACCCAAGGACCCTTTCCAGTAGCCACAGGGATTTTGGGATTCCTATAAGTATTCAAGAGGAGTCAGGCATCGTCACCTTTTGAAGCAATGAACTCCGCGTGCCTCTCGAGATGTCAGCGGGATGTGAGGCATTCCGTCAAAATGATGCAGGGATCTAGGGCTTTCTCTAAGGACTCCACAGGGGATTCAGACATCCCTTCATGTTGTGAGATGAAAGACAATCCTGTATACAAGCTACTGCAAGGAAATCTGGCCTCCTTTCAAGTTAGGGCTTCTCGATGTATATTCCTCTTGAGGCAGCAAACTCGGAGTCCCTCCCACATACCTATTGCTGAGAAGCCTCCTCCTGAGGTGCTTCTGGAAAGTTGGCATACGTCTTGAGCCTAAGCCAGGGAATCAGCTCTCATCTCGAGACGATTTGGGGTACACGGAGCATTCCTCGAGTTGCTGTGCTGAAGTTGGTGTTCCTCTAGACTTGGGACAGTGTTCTCGGGGCATCTCTGGAGTTGCCTGAAGGAAGTCGAGCCACCGGTCTTGTTGAATGGGGAACAGGGAATGGCTCTGGAGTCAATGCAGGGGAATCCGGCCTCATCTCGAGTTGATTTGGGGCACATGGAGCTGCTTTGCATTGCTGGGTGACATCAGGGTCCGTCTAGACTGGTGACAGTGTTCTTGGGGACTGTCTCGAGATCCATTAAGCAAGTCGAAGCTCCTGACTTGTTTGAATGGGATCACGGAATAGCTCTGCATGCACTGCAGGGGAATGGGGCCTCATCTCGCCTCTAGGGGGAAGTCTCACGGTTTTTCTCGAGTTGCGGCGGGGACCTGGGGTATGTTCTCGACTTACGGCGGGGATGGCTCTTCAAAACACGAGTTTCTTCAGTGACGTCAGGACTCCTGCCTATTAACGAGGGACACCTCAGGAATCTCTTCGAGGCTTGGCAGGGCAAAAGGGACGCTTCTCGAGGTGAGGCAGGGCACCCAAGGACCCTTTCCAGTAGCCACAGGGATTTTGGGATTCCTATCAGTATTCAAGAGGAGTCAGGCATCGTCACCTTTTGAAGCAATGAACTCAGCGTGCCTCTCGAGGTGTCAGCGGGATGTGAGGCATTCCGTCAAAATGAGGCAGGGACCCAGGGCTTTATCTAAGGTCTCCACAGGGGATTCAGACATCCCTTCATGTTGTGAGATGAAAGACGAGCCTGTATTCAAGCCACTGCAAGGAAATCTGGCCTCCTTTCAAGTTAGGGCTTCTCGATGTATATTCCTCTTGAGGCAGCAAACTCGGAGTCCCTCCCACATACCTATTGCTGAGAAGCCTCCTCCTGAGGTGCTTCTGGAAAGTTGGCATACGTCTTGAGCCTAAGCCAGGGAATCAGCTCTCATCTCGAGACGACTTGGGGTACACGGAGCATTCCTCGAGTTGCTGTGCTGAAGTTCGTGTTCCTCTAGACTTGGGACAGTGTTCTCTGGGCATCTCTGGAGTTGCCTGAAGGAAGTCGAGCCACCGGTCGTGTTGAATGGGGAACGGGGAATGGCTCTGGAGTCAATGCAGGGGAATCCGGCCTCATCTCGAGTTGATTTGGGGCACATGGAGCTGCTTTGCATTGCTGGGTGACCTCAGGGTCCGTCTAGACTGGTGACAGTGTTCTTGGGGACTGTCTCGAGATCCATTAAGCAAGTCGAATCTCCTGACTTGTTTGAATGGGATCACAGAATAGCTCTGCATGCACTGCAGGGGAATGGGGCCTCATCTCGCCTCTAGGGGGAAGTCTCACGGTTTTTCTCGAGTTGCGACGGGGACCTGGGGTATGTTCTCGACTTACGGCGGGGATGGCCCTTCAAAACACGAGTTTCTCCAGTGACGTCAGGACTCCTGCCTAGTAACGAGGGACACCTCAAGAATCTCTTCGAGGCTTGGCAGGGCAAAAGGGACGCTTCTCGAGGTGAGGCAGGACACCCAAGGACCCTTTTCAGTAGCCACAGGGATTTTGGGATTCCTATCAGTATTCAAGAGGAGTCAGGCATCGTCACCTTTTGAAGCAACGAACTCCGCGTGCCTCTCGAGGTGTCAGCGGGATGTGAGGCATTCCGTCAAAATGAGGCAGGGACCTAGGGCTTTCTCTAAGGTCTCCACAGGGGATTCAGACATCCCTTCATGTTGTCAGATCAAAGACGAGCCTGTATTCAAGCCACTGCAAGGAAATCCGGCCTCCTTTCAAGTTAGGGCTTCTCGCTGTATATTCCCCTTGAGGCAGCAAACTCGGGGTCCCTCCCACATACCTATTGCTGAGAGAAGCCTCCTCCTGAGGTGCTTCTTGAAAGTTGGCATATGTCTTGAGCCTAAGCCAGGGAATCAGCTCTCATCTCGAGATGATTTGGGGTACACGGAGCATTCCTCGAGTTGCTTTGCTGAAGTTGGTGTTCCTCTAGACTTGGGAAAGTGTTCTCTGGGCATCTCTGGAGTTGCCTGAAGGAAGTCGAGCCACCGGTCTTGTTGAATGGGGAACGGGGAATGGCTCTGGAGTCAATGCAGGGGAATCGGGCCTCATCTCGAGTTGATTTGGGACACATGGAGCAGCTTTGCGTTGCTGGGGTGACCTCAGGGTCCGTCTAGACTGGTGACAGTGTTCTTGGGGACTGTCTCGAGATCCATTAAGCAAGTCGAAGCTCCTGACTTGTTTGAATGGGATCACGGAATAGCTCTGCATGCACTGCAGGGGAATGGGGCCTCATCTCGCCTCTAGGGGGAAGTCTCATGGTTTTTCTCGAGTTGCGGCGGGGACCTGGGGTATGTTCTCGACTTACGGCGGGGATGGCCCTTCAAAACACGAGTTTCTCCAGTGACGTCAGGACTCCTGCCTAGTAACGAGGGCCACCTCAGGAATCTCTTCGAGGCTTGGCAGGGCCATAGGGACGCTTCTCGAGGTGAGGCAGGGCACCCAAGGACCCTTTCCAGTAGCCACAGGGATTTTGGGATTCCTATCAGTATTCAAGAGGAGTCAGGCATCGTCACCTTTTGAAGCAATGAACTCCGCGTTCCTCTCGAGGTGTCAGCGGGATGTGAGGCATTCCGTCAAAATGAGGCAGGGACCTACGGCTTTCTCTAAGGTCTCCAAGGGGATTCAGACATCCCTTCATGTTGTGAGATGAAAGACAAGCCTTTATTCAAGCTACTGCAAGGAAATCTGGCCTCCTTTCAAGTTAGGGCTTCTCGATGTATATTCCTCTTGAGGCAGCAAACTCGGAGTCCCTCCCACATACCGATTGCTGAGAAGCCTCCTCCTGAGGTGCTTCTGGAAAGCTGGCATACGTCTTGAGCCTAAGCCAGGGAATCAGCTCTCATCTCGAGACGATTTAGGGTACACGGAGCATTCCTCGAGTTGCTGTGCTGAAGTTGGTGTTCCTCTAGACTTGGGACAGTGTTCTCGGGGCATCTCTGGAGTTGCCTGAAGGAAGTCGAGCCACCGGTCGTGTTGAATGGGGAACGGGGAATGGCTCTGGAGTCAATGCAGGGGAATCCGGCCTCATCTCGAGTTGATTTGGGGCACATGGAGCTGCTTTGCATTGCTGGGTGACCTCAGGGTCCGTCTAGACTGGTGACAGTGTTCTTGGGGACTGTCTCGAGATCCATTAAGCAAGTCGAAGCTCCTGACTTGTTTGAATGGGATCACGGAATAGCTCTGCATGCACTGCAGGGGAATGGGGCCTCATCTCGCCTCTAGGGGGAAGTCTCACGGTTTTTCTCGAGTTGCGGCGGGGACCTGGGGTATGTTCTCGACTTACGGCGGGGATGGCCCTTCAAAACACGAGTTTCTCCAGTGACGTCAGGACTCCTGCCTAGTAACGAGGGACACCTCAGGAATCTCTTCGAGGCTTGGCAGGGCAAAAGGGACGCTTCTCGAGGTGAGGCAGGGCACCCAAGGACCCTTTTCAGTAGCCACAGGGATTTTGGGATTCCTATCAGTATTCAAGAGGAGTCAGGCATCGTCACCTTTTGAAGCAATGAACTCCGCGTGCCTCTCGAGGTGTCAGCGGGATGTGAGGCATTCCGTCAAAATGAGGCAGGTACCTAGGGCTTTCTCTAAGGTCTCCACTGGGTTTCAGACATCCCTTCATGTTGTCAGATCAAAGACGAGCCTGTATTCAAGCCACTGCAAGGAAATCCGGCCTCCTTTCAAGTTAGGGCTTCTCGCTGTATATTCCCCTTGAGGCAGCAAACTCGGGGTCCCTCCCACATACCTATTGCTGAGAGAAGCCTCCTCCTGAGGTGCTTCTGGGAAGTTGGCATACCTCTTGAGCCTAAGCCAGGGAATCAGCTCTCATCTCGAGACGATTTCGGGTACACGGAGCATTCCTCGAGTTGCTGTGCTGAAGTTCGTGTTCCTCTAGACTTGGGACAGTGTTCTCGGGGCATCTCTGGAGTTGCCTGAAGGAAGTCGAGCCACAGGTCGTGTTGAATGGGGAACGGGGAATGGCTCTGGAGTCAATGCAGGGGAATCGGGCCTCATCTCGAGTTGATTTGGGGCACATGGAGCAGCGTTGCGTTGCTGGGGTGACCTCAGGGTCCGTCTAGACTGGTGACAGTGTTCTTGGGGACTGTCTCGAGATCCATTAAGCAAGTCGAAGCTCCTGACTTGTTTGAATGGGATCACGGAATAGCTCTGCATGCACTGCAGGGGAATGGGGCCTCATCTCGCCTCTAGGGGGAAGTCTCATGGTTTTTCTCGAGTTGCGGCGGGGACCTGGGGTATGTTCTCGACTTACGGCGGGGATGGCCCTTCAAAACACGAGTTTCTCCAGTGACGTCAGGACTCCTGCCTAGTAACGAGGGACACCTCAGGAATCTCTTCGAGGCTTAGCAGGGCAAAAGGGACGCTTTTCCAGGTGAGGCAGGGCACCCAAGGACCCTTTCCAGTAGCCACAGGGATTTTGGGATTCCTATCAGTATTCAAGAGGAGTCAGGCATCGTCACCTTTTGAAGCAATGAACTCCGCGTGCCTCTCGAGGTGTCAGCGGGATGTGAGGCATTCCGTCAAAATGAGGCAGGGACCTAGGTCTTTCTCTAAGGTCTCCACAGGGGATTCAGACATCCCTTCATGTTGTGAGATGAAAGACAAGCCTGTATTCAAGCTACTGCAAGGAAATCTGGCCTCCTTTCAAGTTAGGGCTTCTCGATGTATATTCCTCTTGAGGCAGCAAACTCGGAGTCCCTCCCACATACCTATTGCTGAGAAGCCTCCTCCTGAGGTGCTTCTGGAAAGTTGGCATACGTCTTGAGCCTAAGCCAGGGAATCAGCTCTCATCTCGAGACGACTTGGGGTACACGGAGCATTCCTCGAGTTGCTGTGCTGAAGTTCGTGTTCCTCTAGACTTGGGACAGTGTTCTCTGGGCATCTCTGGAGTTGCCTGAAGGAAGTCGAGCCACCGGTCGTGTTGAATGGGGAACGGGGAATGGCTCTGGAGTCAATGCAGGGGAATCCGGCCTCATCTCGAGTTGATTTGGGGCACATGGAGCTGCTTTGCATTGCTGGGTGACCTCAGGGTCCGTCTAGACTGGTGACAGTGTTCTTGGGGACTGTCTCGAGATCCATTAAGCAAGTCGAATCTCCTGACTTGTTTGAATGGGATCACAGAATAGCTCTGCATGCACTGCAGGGGAATGGGGCCTCATCTCGCCTCTAGGGGGAAGTCTCACGGTTTTTCTCGAGTTGCGGCGGGGACCTGGGGTATGTTCTCGACTTACGGCGGGGATGGCCCTTCAAAACACGAGTTTCTCCAGTGACGTCAGGACTCCTGCCTAGTAACGAGGGACACCTCAGGAATCTCTTCGAGGCTTGGCAGGGCAAAAGGGACGCTTCTCGAGGTGAGGCAGGACACCCAAGGACCCTTTTCAGTAGCCACAGGGATTTTGGGATTCCTATCAGTATTCAAGAGGAGTCAGGCATCGTCACCTTTTGAAGCAATGAACTCCGCGTGCCTCTCGAGGTGTCAGCGGGATGTGAGGCATTCCGTCAAAATGAGGCAGGGACCTAGGGCTTTCTCTAAGGTCTCCACAGGGGATTCAGACATCCCTTCATGTTGTCAGATCAAAGACGAGCCTGTATTCAAGCCACTGCAAGGAAATCCGGCCTCCTTTCAAGTTAGGGCTTCTCGATGTATATTCCTCTTGAGGCAGCAAACTCGGAGTCCCTCCCACATACCTATTGCTGAGAAGCCTCCTCCTGAGGTGCTTCTGGAAAGTTGGCATACGTCTTGAGCCTAAGCCAGGGAATCAGCTCTCATCTCGAGACGATTTAGGGTACACGGAGCATTCCTCGAGTTGCTGTGCTGAAGTTGGTGTTCCTCTAGACTTGGGACAGTGTTCTCGGGGCATCTCTGGAGTTGCCTGAAGGAAGTCGAGCCACCGGTCGTGTTGAATGGGGAACGGGGAATGGCTCTGGAGTCAATGCAGGGGAATCCGGCCTCATCTCGAGTTGATTTGGGGCACATGGAGCTGCTTTGCATTGCTGGGTGACCTCAGGGTCCGTCTAGACTGGTGACAGTGTTCTTGGGGACTGTCTCGAGATCCATTAAGCAAGTCGAAGCTCCTGACTTGTTTGAATGGGATCACGGAATAGCTCTGCATGCACTGCAGGGGAATGGGGCCTCATCTCGCCTCTAGGGGGAAGTCTCACGGTTTTTCTCGAGTTGCGGCGGGGACCTGGGATATGTTCTCGACTTACGGCGGGGATGGCCCTTCAAAACACGAGTTTCTCCAGTGACGTCAGGACTCCTGCCTAGTAACGAGGGACACCTCAGGAATCTCTTCGAGGCTTGGCAGGGCAAAAGGGACGCTTCTCGAGGTGAGGCAGGGCACCCAAGGACCCTTTTCAGTAGCCACAGGGATTTTGGGATTCCTATCAGTATTCAAGAGGAGTCAGGCATCGTCACCTTTTGAAGCAATGAACTCCGCGTGCCTCTCGAGGTGTCAGCGGGATGTGAGGCATTCCGTCAAAATGAGGCAGGGACCTAGGGCTTTCTCTAAGGTCTCCACTGGGTTTCAGACATCCCTTCATGTTGTCAGATCAAAGACGAGCCTGTATTCAAGCCACTGCAAGGAAATCCGGCCTCCTTTCAAGTTAGGGCTTCTCGCTGTATATTCCCCTTGAGGCAGCAAACTCGGGGTCCCTCCCACATACCTATTGCTGAGAGAAGCCTCCTCCTGAGGTGCTTCTGGGAAGTTGGCATACCTCTTGAGCCTAAGCCAGGGAATCAGCTCTCATCTCGAGACGATTTCGGGTACACGGAGCATTCCTCGAGTTGCTGTGCTGAAGTTCGTGTTCCTCTAGACTTGGGACAGTGTTCTCGGGGCATCTCTGGAGTTGCCTGAAGGAAGTCGAGCCACCGGTCGTGTTGAATGGGGAACGGGGAATGGCTCTGGAGTCAATGCAGGGGAATCGGGCCTCATCTCGAGTTGATTTGGGGCACATGGAGCAGCGTTGCGTTGCTGGGGTGACCTCAGGGTCCGTCTAGACTGGTGACAGTGTTCTTGGGGACTGTCTCGAGATCCATTAAGCAAGTCGAAGCTCCTGACTTGTTTGAATGGGATCACGGAATAGCTCTGCATGCACTGCAGGGGAATGGGGCCTCATCTCGCCTCTAGGGGGAAGTCTCATGGTTTTTCTCGAGTTGCGGCGGGGACCTGGGGTATGTTCTCGACTTACGGCGGGGATGGCCCTTCAAAACACGAGTTTCTCCAGTGACGTCAGGACTCCTGCCTAGTAACGAGGGACACCTCAGGAATCTCTTCGAGGCTTAGCAGGGCAAAAGGGACGATTTTCGAGGTGAGGCAGGGCACCCAAGGACCCTTTCCAGTAGCCACAGGGATTTTGGGATTCCTATCAGTATTCAAGAGGAGTCAGGCATCGTCACCTTTTGAAGCAATGAACTCCGCGTGCCTCTCGAGGTGTCAGCGGGATGTGAGGCATTCCGTCAAAATGAGGCAGGGACCTAGGTCTTTCTCTAAGGTCTCCACAGGGGATTCAGACATCCCTTCATGTTGTGAGATGAAAGACAAGCCTGTATTCAAGCTACTGCAAGGAAATCTGGCCTCCTTTCAAGTTAGGGCTTCTCGATGTATATTCCTCTTGAGGCAGCAAACTCGGAGTCCCTCCCACATACCTATTGCTGAGAAGCCTCCTCCTGAGGTGCTTCTGGAAAGTTGGCATACGTCTTGAGCCTAAGCCAGGGAATCAGCTCTCATCTCGAGACGACTTGGGGTACACGGAGCATTCCTCGAGTTGCTGTGCTGAAGTTCGTGTTCCTCTAGACTTGGGACAGTGTTCTCTGGGCATCTCTGGAGTTGCCTGAAGGAAGTCGAGCCACCGGTCGTGTTGAATGGGGAACGGGGAATGGCTCTGGAGTCAATGCAGGGGAATCCGGCCTCATCTCGAGTTGATTTGGGGCACATGGAGCTGCTTTGCATTGCTGGGTGACCTCAGGGTCCGTCTAGACTGGTGACAGTGTTCTTGGGGACTGTCTCGAGATCCATTAAGCAAGTCGAATCTCCTGACTTGTTTGAATGGGATCACAGAATAGCTCTGCATGCACTGCAGGGGAATGGGGCCTCATCTCGCCTCTAGGGGGAAGTCTCACGGTTTTTCTCGAGTTGCGGCGGGGACCTGGGGTATGTTCTCGACTTACGGCGGGGATGGCCCTTCAAAACACGAGTTTCTCCAGTGACGTCAGGACTCCTGCCTAGTAACGAGGGACACCTCAGGAATCTCTTCGAGGCTTGGCAGGGCAAAAGGGACGCTTCTCGAGGTGAGGCAGGACACCCAAGGACCCTTTTCAGTAGCCACAGGGATTTTGGGATTCCTATCAGTATTCAAGAGGAGTCAGGCATCGTCACCTTTTGAAGCAATGAACTCCGCGTGCCTCTCGAGGTGTCAGCGGGATGTGAGGCATTCCGTCAAAATGAGGCAGGGACCTAGGGCTTTCTCTAAGGTCTCCACAGGGGATTCAGACATCCCTTCATGTTGTCAGATCAAAGACGAGCCTGTATTCAAGCCACTGCAAGGAAATCCGGCCTCCTTTCAAGTTAGGGCTTCTCGCTGTATATTCCCCTTGAGGCAGCAAACTCGGGGTCCCTCCCACATACCTATTGCTGAGAGAAGCCTCCTCCTGAGGTGCTTCTGGAAAGTTGGCATACGTCTTGAGCCTAAGCCAGGGAATCAGCTCTCATCTCGAGATGATTTGGGGTACACGGAGCATTCCTCGAGTTGCTTTGCTGAAGTTGGTGTTCCTCTGGACTTGGGAAAGTGTTCTCGGGGCATCTCTGGAGTTGCCTGAAGGAAGTCGAGCCACCGGTCGTGTTGAATGGGGAACGGGGAATGGCTCTGGAGTCAATGCAGGGGAATCGGGCCTCATCTCGAGTTGATTTGGGGCACATGGAGCTGCTTTGCATTGCTGGGTGACCTCAGGGTCCGCCTAGACTGGTGACAGTGTTCTTGGGGACTGTCTCGAGATCCATTAAGCAAGTCGAAGCTCCTGACTTGTTTGAATGGGATCACGGAATAGCTCTGCATGCACTGCAGGGGAATGGGGCCTCATCTCGCCTCTAGGGGGAAGTCTCACGGTTTTTCTCGAGTTGCGGCGGGGACCTGGGGTATGTTCTCGACTTACGGCGGGGATGGCCCTTCAAAACACGAGTTTCTCCAGTGACGTCAGGACTCCTGCCTAGTAACGAGGGACACCTCAGGAATCTCTTCGAGGCTTGGCAGGGCAAAAGGGACGCTTCTCGAGGTGAGGCAGGGCACCCAAGGACCCTTTTCAGTAGCCACAGGGATTTTGGGATTCCTATCAGTATTCAAGAGGAGTCAGGCATCGTCACCTTTTGAAGCAATGAACTCCGCGTGCCTCTCGAGGTGTCAGCGGGATGTGAGGCATTCTGTCAAAATGAGGCAGGGACCTAGGGCTTTCTCTAAGGTCTCCACTGGGTTTCAGACATCCCTTCATGTTGTCAGATCAAAGACGAGCCTCTATTCAAGCCACTGCAAGGAAATCCGGCCTCCTTTCAAGTTAGGGCTTCTCGCTGTATATTCCCCTTGAGGCAGCAAACTCGGGGTCCCTACCACATACCTATTGCTGAGAGAAGCCTCCTCCTGAGGTGCTTCTGGAAAGTTGGCATACGTCTTGAGCCTAAGCCAGGGAATCAGCTCTCATCTCGAGATGATTTGCTGTACACGGAGCATTCCTCGAGTTGCTGTGCTGAAGTTGGTGTTCCTCTAGCCTTGGGACAGTGTTCTCGGGGAATCTCTGGAGTTGCCTGAAGGAAGTCGAGCCACCGGTCGTCTTGAATGGGGAAAGGGGAATGGCTCTGGAGTCAATGCAGGGGAATCGGGCCTCATCTCGTGTTGATTTGGGGCACATGGAGCAGATTTGCGTTGCTGGGGTGACCTCAGGGTCCGTCTAGACTGGTGACAGTGTTCTTGGGGACTGTCTCGAGATCCATTAAGCAAGTCGAAGCTCCTGATTCGTTTGAATGGGATCACGGAATAGCCCTGCACGCACTGCAGCGGAATGGGGCCTCATCTCGCCTCTAGGGGGAAGTCTCACGGTTTTTCTCGAGTTGCGGCGGGGACCTGGGGTATGTTCTCGACTTACGGCGGGGATGGCCCTTCAAAACACGAGTTTCTCCAGTGACGTCTGGACTCCTGCCTAGTAACGAGGGACACCTCAGCAATCTCTTCGAGGCTTGGCAGGGCAAAAGGAACGCTTCTCGAGGTGAGGCAGGGCACCCAAGGACCCTTTCCAGTAGCCACAGGGATTTTGGGATTCCTATCAGTAATCAAGAGGAGTCAGGCATCGTCACCTTTTGAAGCAATGAACTCCGCGTGCCTCTCGAGGTGTCAGCGGGATGTGAGGCATTCCGTCAAAATGAGGCAGGGACCTACGGCTTTCTCTAAGGTCTCCACAGGGGATTCAGACATCCCTTCACGTTGTGAGATGAAAGACAAGCCTGTATTCAAGCTACTGCAAGGAAATCTGGCCTCCTTTCAAGTTAGGGCTTCTCGATGTATATTCCTCTTGAGGCAGCAAACTCGGAGTCCCTCCCACATACCTATTGCTGAGAAGCCTCCTCCTGAGGTGCTTCTGGAAAGTTGGCATACGTCTTGAGCCTAAGCCAGGGAATCAGCTCTCATCTCGAGACGATTTGGGGTACACGGAGCATTCCTCGAGTTGCTGTGCTGAAGTTGGTGTTCCTCTAGACTTGGGAAAGTGTTCTCTGGGCATCTCTGGAGTTGCCTGAAGGAAGTCGAGCCACCGGTCGTGTTGAATGGGGAACGGGGAATGGCTCTGGAGTCAATGCAGGGGAATCGGGCCTCATCTCGAGTTGATTTGGGGCACATGGAGCAGCTTTGCGTTGCTGGGGTGACCTCAGGGTCCGTCTAGACTGGTGACAGTGTTCTTGGGGACTGTCTCGAGATCCATTAAGCAAGTCGAATCTCCTGACTTGTTTGAATGGGATCACGGAATAGCTCTGCATGCACTGCAGGGGAATGGGGCCTCATCTCGCCTCTAGGGGGAAGTCTCACGGTTTTTCTCGAGTTGCGGCGGGGACCTGGGGTATGTTCTCGACTTACGGCGGGGATGGCACTTCAAAACACGAGTTTCTCCAGTGACGTCAGGACTCCTGCCTAGTAACGAGGGACACCTCAGGAATCTCTTCGAGGCTTGGCAGGGCAAAAGGGACGCTTCTCAAGGTGAGGCTGGGCACCCAAGGACCCTTTCCAGTAGCCACAGGGATTTTGGGATTCCTTTCAGTATTCAAGAGGAGTCAGGCATCGTCACCTTTTGAAGCAATGAACTCCGCGTGCCTCTCGAGGTGTCAGCGGGATGTGAGGCATTCCGTCAAAATGAGGCAGGGACCTAGGGCTTTCTCTAAGGACTCCACAGGGGATTCAGACATCCCTTCATGTTGTGAGATGAAAGACAAGCCTGTATTCAAGCTACTGCAAGGAAATCTGGCCTCCTTTCAAGTTAGGGCTTCTCGATGTATATTCCTCTTGAGGCAGCAAACTCGGAGTCCCTCCCACATACCTATTGCTGAGAAGCCTCCTCCTGAGGTGCTTCTGGAAAGTTGTCATACGTCTTGAGCCTAAGCCAGGGAATCAGCTCTCATCTCGAGACGATTTGGGGTACACGGAGCATTCCTCGAGTTGCTGTGCTGAAGTTGGTGTTCCTCTAGACTTGGGACAGTGTTCTCGGGGCATCTCTAGAGTTGCCTGAAGGAAGTCGAGCCACCGGTCGTGTTGAATGGGGAACGCGGAATGGCTCTGGAGTCAATGCAGGGGAATCCGGCCTCATCTCGAGTTGATTTGGGGCACATGGAGCTGCTTTGCATTGCTGGGTTACCTCAGGGTCCATCTAGACTGGTGACAGTGTTCTTGGGGACTGTCTCGAGATCCATTAAGCAAGTCGAAGCTCCTGACTTGTTTGAATGGGATCACGGAATAGCTCTGCATGCACTGCAGGGGAATGGGGCCTCATCTCGCCTCTAGGGGGAAGTCTCACGGTTTTTCTCGAGTTGCGGCGGGCACCTGGGGTATGTTCTCGACTTACGGCGGGGATGGCCCTTCAAAACACGAGTTTCTCCAGTGACGTCAGGACTCCTGCCTAGTAACGAGGGACACCTCAGGAATCTCTTCGAGGCTTGGCAGGGCAAAAGGGACGCTTCTCGAGGTGAGGCAGGGCACCCAAGGACCCTTTCCAGTAGCCACAGGGATTTTGGGATTCCTATCAGTATTCAAGAGGAGTCAGGCATCGTCACCTTTTGAAGCAATGAACTCCGCGTGCCTCTCGAGGTGTCAGCGGGATGTGAGGCATTCCGTCAAAATGAGGCAGGGACCTAGGGCTTTCTCTAAGGTCTCCACAGGGGATTCAGACATCCCTTCATGTTGTGAGATGAAAGACAAGCCTGTATTCAAGCTACTGCAAGGAAATCCGGCCTCCTTTCAAGTTAGGGCTTCTCGATGTATATTCCCCTTGAGGCAGCAAACTCGGAGTCCCTCCCACATACCTATTGCTGTGAAGCCTCCTCCTGAGGTGCTTCTGGAAAGTTGGCATACGTCTTGAGCCTAAGCCAGGGAATCAGCTCTCATCTCGAGACGATTTGGGGTACACAGAGCATTCCTCGAGTTGCTGTGCTGAAGTTGGTGTTCCTCTAGACTTGGGAAAGTGTTCTCTGGGCATCTCTGGATTTGCCTGAAGGAAGTCGAGCCACCGGTCTTGTTGAATGGGGAACGGGGAATGGCTCTGGAGTCAATGCAGGGGAATCGGGCCTCATCTCGAGTTGATTTGGGGCACATGGAGCAGCTTTGCGTTGCTGGGGTGACCTCAGGGTCCGTCTAGACTGGTGACAGTGTTCTTGGGGACTGTCTCGAGATCCATTAAGCAAGTCGAAGCTCCTGACTTGTTTGAATGGGATCACGGAATAGCTCTGCATGCACTGCAGGGGAATGGGGCCTCATCTCGCCTCTAGGGGGAAGTCTCACGGTTTTTCTCGAGTTGCGGCGGGGACCTGGGGTATGTTCTCGACTTACGGCGGGGATGGCCCTTCAAAACACGAGTTTCTCCAGTGACGTCAGGACTCCTGCCTAGTAACGAGGGACACCTCAGGAATCTCTTCGAGGCTTGGCAGGGCAAAATGGACGCTTCTCGAGGTGAGGCAGGACACCCAAGGACCCTTTTCAGTAGCCACAGGGATTTTGGGATTCCTATCAGTATTCAAGAGGAGTCAGGCATCGTCACCTTTTGAAGCAATGAACTCCGCGTGCCTCTCGAGGTGTCAGCGGGATGTGAGGCATTCCGTCAAAATGAGGCAGGGACCTAGGGCTTTCTCTAAAGTCTCCACAGGGGATTCAGACATCCCTTCATGTTGTCAGATCAAAGACGAGCCTGTATTCAAGCCACTGCAAGGAAATCCGGCCTACTTTCAAGTTAGGGCTTCTCGCTGTATATTCCCCTTGAGGCAGCAAACTCGGGGTCCCTCCCACATACCTATTGCTGAGAGAAGCCTCCTCCTGAGGTGCTTCTGGAAAGTTGGCATACGTCTTGAGCCTAAGCCAGGGAATCAGCTCTCATCTCGAGATGATTTGGGGTACACGGAGCATTCCTCGAGTTGCTTTGCTGAAGTTGATGTTCCTCTAGACTTGGGAAAGTGTTCTCGGGGCATCTCTGGAGTTGCCTGAAGGAAGTCGAGCCACCGGTCTTGTTGAATGGGGAACGGGGAATGGCTCTGGAGTCAATGCAGGGGAATCGGGCCTCATCTCGAGTTGATTTGGGGCACATGGAGCAGCTTTGCGTTGCTGGGGTGACCTCAGGGTCCGTCTAGACTGGTGACAGTGTTCTTGGGGACTGTCTCGAGATCCATTAAGCAAGTCGAAGCTCCTGACTTGTTTGAATGGGATCACGGAATAGCTCTGCATGCACTGCAGGGGAATGGGGCCTCATCTCGCTGTAGGGGGAAGTCTCACGGTTTTTCTCGAGTTGCGGCGGGGACCTGGGGTATGTTCTCGACTTACGGCGGGGATGGCCCTTCAAAACACGAGTTTCTCCAGTGACGTCAGGACTCCTGCCTAGTAACGAGGGCCACCTCAGGAATCTCTTCGAGGCTTTTCAGGGCAAAAGGGACGCTTCTCGAGGTGAGGAAGGGCACCCAAGGACCCTTTTCAGTAGCCACAGAGATTTTGGGATTCCTATCAGTATTCAAAAGGAGTCAGGCATCGTCCCCTTTTGAAGCAATGAACTCCGCGTGCCTCTCGAGGTGTCAGCGGGATGTGAGGCATTCCGTCAAAATGAGGCAGGGACCTAGGGCTTTCTCTAAGGTCTCCACTGGGTTTCAGACATCCCTTCATGTTGTCAGATCAAAGACGAGCCTGTATTCAAGCCACTGCAAGGAAATCCGGCCTCCTTTCAAGATAGGGCTTCTCGCTGTATATTCCCCTTGAGGCAGCAAACTCGGGGTCCCTCCCACATACCTATTGCTGAGAGAAGCCTCCTCCTGAGGTGCTTCTGGGAAGTTGGCATACGTCTTGAGCCTAAGCCAGGGAATCAGCTCTCATCTCGAGACGATTTGGGGTACACGGAGCATTCCTCGAGTTGCTGTGCTGAAGTTGGTGTTCCTCTAGACTTGGGACAGTGTTCTAGGGGCATCTCTAGAGTTGCCTGAAGGAAGTCGAGCCACCGGTCGTGTTGAATGGGGAACGGGGAATGGCTCTGGAGTCAATGCAGGGGAATCCGGCCTCATCTCGAGTTGATTTGGGGCACATGGAGCTGCTTTGCATTGCTGGGTGACCTCAGGGTCCGTCTAGACTGGTGACAGTGTTCTTGGGGACTGTCTCGAGATCCATTAAGCAAGTCGAAGCTCCTGATTCGTTTGAATGGGATCACGGAATAGCTCTGCATGCACTGCAGCGGAATGGGGCCTCATCTCGCCTCTAGGGGGAAGTCTCACGGTTTTTCTCGAGTTGCGGCGGGGACCTGGGGTATGTTCTCGACTTACGGCGGGGATGGCCCTTCAAAACACGAGTTTCTCCAGTGACGTCTGGACTCCTGCCTAGTAACGAGGGACACCTCAGCAATCTCTTCGAGGCTTGGCAGGGCAAAAGGAACGCTTCTCGAGGTGAGGCAGGGCACCCAAGGACCCTTTCCAGTAGCCACAGGGATTTTGGGATTCCTATCAGTATTCAAGAGGAGTCAGGCATCGTCACCTTTTGAAGCAATGAACTCCGCGTGCCTCTCGAGGTGTCAGCGGGATGTGAGGCATTCCGTCAAAATGAGGCAGGGACCTACGGCTTTCTCTAAGGTCTCCACAGGGGATTCAGACATCCCTTCACGTTGTGAGATGAAAGACAAGCCTGTATTCAAGCTACTGCAAGGAAATCTGGCCTCCTTTCAAGTTAGGGCTTCTCGATGTATATTCCTCTTGAGGCAGCAAACTCGGAGTCCCTCCCACATACCTATTGCTGAGAAGCCTCCTCCTGAGGTGCTTCTGGAAAGTTGGCATACGTCTTGAGCCTAAGCCAGGGAATCAGCTCTCATCTCGAGACGATTTGGGGTACACGGAGCATTCCTCGAGTTGCTGTGCTGAAGTTGGTGTTCCTCTAGACTTGGGAAAGTGTTCTCTGGGCATCTCTGGAGTTGCCTGAAGGAAGTCGAGCCACCGGTCGTGTTGAATGGGGAACGGGGAATGGCTCTGGAGTCAATGCAGGGGAATCGGGCCTCATCTCGAGTTGATTTGGGGCACATGGAGCAGCTTTGCGTTGCTGGGGTGACCTCAGGGTCCGTCTAGACTGGTGACAGTGTTCTTGGGGACTGTCTCGAGATCCATTAAGCAAGTCGAATCTCCTGACTTGTTTGAATGGGATCACGGAATAGCTCTGCATGCACTGCAGGGGAATGGGGCCTCATCTCGCCTCTAGGGGGAAGTCTCACGGTTTTTCTCGAGTTGCGGCGGGGACCTGGGGTATGTTCTCGACTTACGGCGGGGATGGCACTTCAAAACACGAGTTTCTCCAGTGACGTCAGGACTCCTGCCTAGTAACGAGGGACACCTCAGGAATCTCTTCGAGGCTTGGCAGGGCAAAAGGGACGCTTCTCAAGGTGAGGCTGGGCACCCAAGGACCCTTTCCAGTAGCCACAGGGATTTTGGGATTCCTTTCAGTATTCAAGAGGAGTCAGGCATCGTCACCTTTTGAAGCAATGAACTCCGCGTGCCTCTCGAGGTGTCAGCGGGATGTGAGGCATTCCGTCAAAATGAGGCAGGGACCTAGGGCTTTCTCTAAGGACTCCACAGGGGATTCAGACATCCCTTCATGTTGTGAGATGAAAGACAAGCCTGTATTCAAGCTACTGCAAGGAAATCTGGCCTCCTTTCAAGTTAGGTCTTCTCGATGTATATTCCTCTTGAGGCAGCAAACTCGGAGTCCCTCCCACATACCTATTGCTGAGAAGCCTCCTCCTGAGGTGCTTCTGGAAAGTTGTCATACGTCTTGAGCCTAAGCCAGGGAATCAGCTCTCATCTCGAGACGATTTGGGGTACACGGAGCATTCCTCGAGTTGCTGTGCTGAAGTTGGTGTTCCTCTAGACTTGGGACAGTGTTCTCGGGGCATCTCTAGAGTTGCCTGAAGGAAGTCGAGCCACCGGTCGTGTTGAATGGGGAACGCGGAATGGCTCTGGAGTCAATGCAGGGGAATCCGGCCTCATCTCGAGTTGATTTGGGGCACATGGAGCTGCTTTGCATTGCTGGGTTACCTCAGGGTCCATCTAGACTGGTGACAGTGTTCTTGGGGACTGTCTCGAGATCCATTAAGCAAGTCGAAGCTCCTGACTTGTTTGAATGGGATCACGGAATAGCTCTGCATGCACTGCAGGGGAATGGGGCCTCATCTCGCCTCTAGGGGGAAGTCTCACGGTTTTTCTCGAGTTGCGGCGGGCACCTGGGGTATGTTCTCGACTTACGGCGGGGATGGCCCTTCAAAACACGAGTTTCTCCAGTGACGTCAGGACTCCTGCCTAGTAACGAGGGACACCTCAGGAATCTCTTCGAGGCTTGGCAGGGCAAAAGGGACGCTTCTCGAGGTGAGGCAGGGCACCCAAGGACCCTTTCCAGTAGCCACAGGGATTTTGGGATTCCTATCAGTATTCAAGAGGAGTCAGGCATCGTCACCTTTTGAAGCAATGAACTCCGCGTGCCTCTCGAGGTGTCAGCGGGATGTGAGGCATTCCGTCAAAATGAGGCAGGGACCTAGGGCTTTCTCTAAGGTCTCCACAGGGGATTCAGACATCCCTTCATGTTGTGAGATGAAAGACAAGCCTGTATTCAAGCTACTGCAAGGAAATCCGGCCTCCTTTCAAGTTAGGGCTTCTCGATGTATATTCCCCTTGAGGCAGCAAACTCGGAGTCCCTCCCACATACCTATTGCTGTGAAGCCTCCTCCTGAGGTGCTTCTGGAAAGTTGGCATACGTCTTGAGCCTAAGCCAGGGAATCAGCTCTCATCTCGAGACGATTTGGGGTACACAGAGCATTCCTCGAGTTGCTGTGCTGAAGTTGGTGTTCCTCTAGACTTGGGAAAGTGTTCTCTGGGCATCTCTGGATTTGCCTGAAGGAAGTCGAGCCACCGGTCTTGTTGAATGGGGAACGGGGAATGGCTCTGGAGTCAATGCAGGGGAATCGGGCCTCATCTCGAGTTGATTTGGGGCACATGGAGCAGCTTTGCGTTGCTGGGGTGACCTCAGGGTCCGTCTAGACTGGTGACAGTGTTCTTGGGGACTGTCTCGAGATCCATTAAGCAAGTCGAAGCTCCTGACTTGTTTGAATGGGATCACGGAATAGCTCTGCATGCACTGCAGGGGAATGGGGCCTCATCTCGCCTCTAGGGGGGAGTCTCATGGTTTTTCTCGAGTTGCGGCGGGGACCTGGGTTATGTTCTCGACTTACGGCCGGGATGGCCCTTCAAAACACGAGTTTCTTCAGTGACGTCAGGACTCCTGCCTAGTAACGAGGGACACCTCAGGAATCTCTTCGAGGCTTGGCAGGGCAAAAGGGACGCTTCTCGAGGTGAGGCAGGGCACCCAAGGACCCTTTCCAGTAGCCACAGGGATTTTGGGATTCCTATCAGTATTCAAGAGGAGTCAGGCATCGTCACCTTTTGAAGCAATGAACTCCGCGTGCCTCTCGAGGTGTCAGCGGGATGTGAGGCATTCCGTCAAAATGAGGCAGGGACCTAGGGCTTTCTCTAAGGTCTCCACAGGGGATTCAGACATCCCTTCAAGTTGTGAGATGAAAGACAAGCCTGTATTCAATCTATTGCATGGAAATCCGGCCTCCTTTCAAGTTAGGGCTTCTCGCTGTATATTCCCCTTGAGGCAGCAAACTCGGAGTCCCTCCCACATACCTATTGCTGAGCAGCCTCCTCCTGAGGTGCTTCTGGAAAGTTGGCATACGTCTTGAGCCTAAGCCAGGGAATCAGCTCTCATCTCGAGACGATTTGGGGTACACGGAGCATTCCTCGAGTTGCTGTGCTGAAGTTGGTGTTCCTCTAGACTTGGGACAGTGTTCTCGGGGCATCTCTGGAGTTGCCTGAAGGAAGTCGAGCCACCGGTCGTGTTGAATGGGGAACGGGGAATGGCTCTGGAGTCAATGCAGGGGAATCCGGCCTCATCTCGAATTGATTTGTGGCACATGGAGCTGCTTTGCATTGCTGGGTGACCTCAGGGTCCGTCTAGACTGGTGACAGTGTTCTTGGGGACTGTCTCGAGATCCATTAAGCAAGTCGAAGCTCCTGACTTGTTTGAATGGGATCACGGAATAGCTCTGCATGCACTGCAGGGGAATGGGGCCTCATCTCGCCTCTAGGGGGAAGTCTCACGGTTTCTCTCGAGTTGCGGCGAGCACCTGGGGTATGTTCTCGACTTACGGCGGGGATGGCCCTTCAAAACACGAGTTTCTCCAGTGACGTCAGGACTCCTGCCTAGTAACGAGGGACACCTCAGGAATCTCTTCGAGGCTTGGCAGGGCAAAAGGGACGCTTCTCGAGGTGAGGCAGGGCACCCAAGGAACCTTTTCAGTAGCCACAGGGATTTTGGGATTCCTATCAGTATTCAAGAGGAGTCAGGCATCGTCACCTTTTGAAGCAATGAACTCCGCGTGCCTCTTGAGGTGTCAGCGGGATGTGAGGCATTCCGTCAAAATGAGGCAGGGACCTAGGGCTTTCTCTAAGGTCTCCACAGGGGATTCAGACATCCCTTCCTGTTGTCAGATCAAAGACGAGCCTGTATTCAAGCCACTGCAAGGAAATCCGGCATCCTTTCAAGTTAGGGCTTCGCGCTGTATATTCCCCTTGAGGCAGCAAACTCGGGGTCCCTCCCACATACCTATTGCTGAGAGAAGCCTCCTCCTGAGGTGCTTCTGGAAAGTTGGCATACGTCTTGAGCCTAAGCCAGGGAATCAGCTCACATCTCGAGATGATTTGGGGTACACGGAGCATTCCTCGAGTTGCTTTGCTGAAGTTGGTGTTCCTCTAGACTTCGGAAAGTGTTCTCTGGGCATCTCTGGAGTTGCCTGAATTAAGTCGAGCCACCGGTCTTGTTGAATGGGGAACGGGGAATGGCTCTGGAGTCAATGCAAGAGAATCGGGCCTCATCTCGAGTTGATTTGGGGCACATGGAGCAGCTTTGCGTTGCTGGGGTGACCTCAGGGTCCGTCTAGACTGGTGACAGTGTTCTTGGGGACTGTCTCGAGATCCATTAAGCAAGTCGAAGCTCCTGACTTGTTTGAATGGGATCACGGAATAGCTCTGCATGCACTGCAGGTTAATGGGGCCTCATCTCGCCTCTAGGGGGAAGTCTCATGGTTTTTCTCGAGTTGCGGCGGGGACCTGGGGTATGTTCTCGACTTACGGCGGGGATGGCCCTTCAAAACACGAGTTTCTTCAGTGACGTCAGGACTCCTGCCTAGTAACGAGGGACACCTCAGGAATCTCTTCGAGGCTTGGCAGGGCAAAAGGGACGCTTCTCGAGGTGAGGCAGGGCACCCAAGGACCCTTTCCAGTAGCCACAGGGATTTTGGGATTCCTATCAGTATTCAAGAGGAGTCAGGCATCGTCACCTTTTGAAGGAATGAACTCCGCGTGCCTCTCGAGGTGTCAGCGGGATGTGAGGCATTCAGTCAAAATGAGGCAGGGACCTAGGTCTTTCTCAAAGGTCTCCACAGGGGATTCAGACATCCCTTCATGTTGTGAGATGAAAGACAAGCCTGTATTCAAGCTACTGCAAGGAAATCTGGCCTCCTTTCAAGTTAGGGCTTCTCGATGTATATTCCTCTTGAGGCAGCAAACTCGGAGTCCCTCCCACATTCCTATTGCTGAGAAGCCTCCTCCTGAGGTGCTTCTGGAAAGTTGGCATACGTCTTGAGCCTAAGCCAGGGAATCAGCTCTCATCTCGAGACGGCTTGGGGTACACGGAGCATTCCTCGAGTTGCTGTGCTGAAGTTCGTGTTCCTCTACACTTGGGACAGTGTTCTCTGGGCATCTCTGGAGTTGCCTGAAGGAAGTCGAGCCACCGGTCGTGTTGAATGGGGAACGGGGAATGGCTCTGGAGTCAATGCAGGGGAATCCGGCCTCATCTCGAGTTGATTTGGGGCACATGGAGCTGCTTTGCATTGCTGGGTGACCTCAGGGTCCGTCTAGACTGGTGACAGTGTTCTTGGGGACTGTCTCGAGATCCATTAAGCAAGTCGAATCTCCTGACTTGTTTGAATGGGATCACGGAATAGCTCTGCATGCACTGCAGGGGAATGGGGCCTCATCTCGCTGTAGGGGGAAGTCTCACGGTTTTTCTCGAGTTGCGGCGGGGACCTGGGGTATGTTCTCGACTTACGGCGGGGATGGCCCTTCAAAACACGAGTTTCTCCAGTAACGTCAGGACTCCTGCCTAGTAACGAGGGACACCTCAGGAATCTCTTCGAGGCTTGGCAGGGCAAAAGGGACGCTTCTCGAGGTGAGGCAGGACACCCAAGGACCCTTTTCAGTAGCCACAGGGATTTTGGGATTCCTATCAGTATTCAAGAGGAGTCAGGCATCGTCACCTTTTGAAGCAATGAACTCCGCGTGCCTCTCGAGGTGTCAGCGGGATGTGAGGCATTCCGTCAAAATGAGGCAGGGACCTAGGGCTTTCTCTAAGGTCTCCACAGGGGATTCAGACATCCCTTCATGTTGTCAGATCAAAGACGAGCCTGTATTCAAGCCACTGCAAGGAAATCCGGCCTCCTTTCAAGTTAGGGCTTCTCGCTGTATATTCCCCTTGAGGCAGCAAACTCGGGGTCCCTCCCACATACCTATTGCTGAGAGAAGCCTCCTCCTGAGGTGCTTCTGGAAAGTTGGCATACGTCTTGAGCCTAAGCCAGGGAATCAGCTCTCATCTCGAGATGATTTGGGGTACACGGAGCATTCCTCGAGTTGCTTTGCTGAAGTTGGTGTTCCTCTAGACTTGGGAAAGTGTTCTCGGGGCATCTCTGGAGTTGCCTGAAGGAAGTCGAGCCACCGGTCTTGTTGAATGGGGAACGGGGAATGGCTCTGGAGTCAATGCAGGGGAATCGGGCCTCATCTCGAGTTGATTTGGGGCACATGGAGCAGCTTTGCGTTGCTGGGGTGACCTCAGGGTCCGTCTAGACTGGTGACAGTGTTCTTGGGGACTGTCTCGAGATCCATTAAGCAAGTCGAAGCTCCTGACTTGTTTGAATGGGATCACGGAATAGCTCTGCATGCACTGCAGGGGAATGGGGCCTCATCTCGCCTCTAGGGGGAAGTCTCATGGTTTTTCTCGAGTTGCGGCGGGGACCTAGGGTATGTTCTCGACTTAAGGCGGGGATGGCCCTTCAAAACACGAGTTTCTTCAGTGACGTCAGGACTCCTGCCTAGTAACGAGGGACACCTCAGGAATCTCTTCGAGGCTTGGCAGGGCAAAAGGGACGCTTCTCGAGGTGAGGCAGGGCACCCAAGGACCCTTTCCAGTAGCCACAGGGATTTTGGGATTCCTATCAGTATTCAAGAGGAGTCAGGCATCGTCACCTTTTGAAGCAATGAACTCCGCGTGCCTCTCGAGGTGTCAGCGGGATGTGAGGCATTCCGTCAAAATGAGGCAGGGACCTAGGGCTTTCTCTAAGGTCTCCACAGGGGATTCAGACATCCCTTCAAGTTGTGAGATGAAAGACAAGCCTGTATTCAATCTATTGCATGGAAATCCGGCCTCCTTTCAAGTTAGGGCTTCTCGCTGTATATTCCCCTTGAGGCAGCAAACTCGGAGTCCCTCCCACATACCTATTGCTGAGCAGCCTCCTCCTGAGGTGCTTCTGGAAAGTTGGCATACGTCTTGAGCCTAAGCCAGGGAATCAGCTCTCATCTCGAGACGATTTGGGGTACACGGAGCATTCCTCGAGTTGCTGTGCTGAAGTTGGTGTTCCTCTAGACTTGGGACAGTGTTCTCGGGGCATCTCTGGAGTTGCCTGAAGGAAGTCGAGCCACCGGTCGTGTTGAATGGGGAACGGGGAATGGCTCTGGAGTCAATGCAGGGGAATCCGGCCTCATCTCGAATTGATTTGGGGCACATGGAGCTGCTTTGCATTGCTGGGTGACCTCAGGGTCCGTCTAGACTGGTGACAGTGTTCTTGGGGACTGTCTCGAGATCCATTAAGCAAGTCGAAGCTCCTGACTTGTTTGAATGGGATCACGGAATAGCTCTGCATGCACTGCAGGGGAATGGGGCCTCATCTCGCCTCTAGGGGGAAGTCTCACGGTTTCTCTCGAGTTGCGGCGAGCACCTGGGGTATGTTCTCGACTTACGGCGGGGATGGCCCTTCAAAACACGAGTTTCTCCAGTGACGTCAGGACTCCTGCCTAGTAACGAGGGACACCTCAGGAATCTCTTCGAGGCTTGGCAGGGCAAAAGGGACGCTTCTCGAGGTGAGGCAGGGCACCCAAGGAACCTTTTCAGTAGCCACAGGGATTTTGGGATTCCTATCAGTATTCAAGAGGAGTCAGGCATCGTCACCTTTTGAAGCAATGAACTCCGCGTGCCTCTCGAGGTGTCAGCGGGATGTGAGGCATTCCGTCAAAATGAGACAGGGACCTAGGGCTTTCTCTAAGGTCTCCACAGGGGATTCAGACATCCCTTCCTGTTGTCAGATCAAAGACGAGCCTGTATTCAAGCCACTGCAAGGAAATCCGGCATCCTTTCAAGTTAGGGCTTCGCGCTGTATATTCCCCTTGAGGCAGCAAACTCGGGGTCCCTCCCACATACCTATTGCTGAGAGAAGCCTCCTCCTGAGGTGCTTCTGGAAAGTTGGCATACGTCTTGAGCCTAAGCCAGGGAATCAGCTCACATCTCGAGATGATTTGGGGTACACGGAGCATTCCTCGAGTTGCTTTGCTGAAGTTGGTGTTCCTCTAGACTTCGGAAAGTGTTCTCTGGGCATCTCTGGAGTTGCCTGAAGGAAGTCGAGCCACCGGTCTTGTTGAATGGGGAACGGGGAATGGCTCTGGAGTCAATGCAAGAGAATCGGGCCTCATCTCGAGTTGATTTGGGGCACATGGAGCAGCTTTGCGTTGCTGGGGTGACCTCAGGGTCCGTCTAGACTGGTGACAGTGTTCTTGGGGACTGTCTCGAGATCCATTAAGCAAGTCGAAGCTCCTGACTTGTTTGAATGGGATCACGGAATAGCTCTGCATGCACTGCAGGTTAATGGGGCCTCATCTCGCCTCTAGGGGGAAGTCTCATGGTTTTTCTCGAGTTGCGGCGGGGACCTGGGGTATGTTCTCGACTTACGGCGGGGATGGCCCTTCAAAACACGAGTTTCTTCAGTGACGTCAGGACTCCTGCCTAGTAACGAGGGACACCTCAGGAATCTCTTCGAGGCTTGGCAGGGCAAAAGGGACGCTTCTCGAGGTGAGGCAGGGCACCCAAGGACCCTTTCCAGTAGCCACAGGGATTTTGGGATTCCTATCAGTATTCAAGAGGAGTCAGGCATCGTCACCTTTTGAAGGAATGAACTCCGCGTGCCTCTCGAGGTGTCAGCGGGATGTGAGGCATTCCGTCAAAATGAGGCAGGGACCTAGGTCTTTCTCTAAGGTCTCCACAGGGGATTCAGACATCCCTTCATGTTGTGAGATGAAAGACAAGCCTGTATTCAAGCTACTGCAAGGAAATCTGGCCTCCTTTCAAGTTAGGGCTTCTCGATGTATATTCCTCTTGAGGCAGCAAACTCGGAGTCCCTCCCACATTCCTATTGCGGAGAAGCCTCCTCCTGAGGTGCTTCTGGAAAGTTGGCATACGTCTTGAGCCTAAGCCAGGGAATCAGCTCTCATCTCGAGACGGCTTGGGGTACACGGAGCATTCCTCGAGTTGCTGTGCTGAAGTTCGTGTTCCTCTAGACTTGGGACAGTGTTCTCTGGGCATCTCTGGAGTTGCCTGAAGGAAGTCGAGCCACCGGTCGTGTTGAATGGGGAACGGGGAATGGCTCTGGAGTCAATGCAGGGGAATCCGGCCTCATCTCGAGTTGATTTGGGGCACATGGAGATGCTTTGCATTGCTGGGGTGACCTCAGGGTCCGTCTAGACTGGTGACAGTGTTCTTGGGGACTGTCTCGAGATCCATTAAGCAAGTCGAATCTCCTGACTTGTTTGAATGGGATCACGGAATAGCTCTGCATGCACTGCAGGGGAATGGGGCCTCATCTCGCTGTAGGGGGAAGTCTCACGGTTTTTCTCGAGTTGCGGCGGGGACCTGGGGTATGTTCTCGACTTACGGCGGGGATGGCCCTTCAAAACACGAGTTTCTCCAGTAACGTCAGGACTCCTGCCTAGTAACGAGGGACACCTCAGGAATCTCTTCGAGGCTTGGCAGGGCAAAAGGGACGCTTCTCGAGGTGAGGCAGGACACCCAAGGACCCTTTTCAGTAGCCACAGGGATTTTGGGATTCCTATCAGTATTCAAGAGGAGTCAGGCATCGTCACCTTTTGAAGCAATGAACTCCGCGTGCCTCTCGAGGTGTCAGCGGGATGTGAGGCATTCCGTCAAAATGAGGCAGGGACCTAGGGCTTTCTCTAAGGTCTCCACAGGGGATTCAGACATCCCTTCATGTTGTCAGATCAAAGACGAGCCTGTATTCAAGCCACTGCAAGGAAATCCGGCCTCCTTTCAAGTTAGGGCTTCTCGCTGTATATTCCCCTTGAGGCAGCAAACTCGGGGTCCCTCCCACATACCTATTGCTGAGAGAAGCCTCCTCCTGAGGTGCTTCTGGAAAGTTGGCATACGTCTTGAGCCTAAGCCAGGGAATCAGCTCTCATCTCGAGATGATTTGGGGTACACGGAGCATTCCTCGAGTTGCTTTGCTGAAGTTGGTGTTCCTCTAGACTTGGGAAAGTGTTCTCGGGGCATCTCTGGAGTTGCCTGAAGGAAGTCGAGCCACCGGTCTTGTTGAATGGGGAACGGGGAATGGCTCTGGAGTCAATGCAGGGGAATCGGGCCTCATCTCGAGTTGATTTGGGGCACATGGAGCAGCTTTGCGTTGCTGGGGTGACCTCAGGGTCCATCTAGACTGGTGACAGTGTTCTTGGGGACTGTCTCGAGATCCATTAAGCAAGTCGAAGCTCCTGACTTGTTTGAATGGGATCACGGAATAGCTCTGCATGCACTGCAGGGGAATGGGGCCTCATCTCGCCTCTAGGGGGAAGTCTCATGGTTTTTCTCGAGTTGCGGCGGGGACCTAGGGTATGTTCTCGACTTAAGGCGGGGATGGCCCTTCAAAACACGAGTTTCTCCAGTGACGTCAGGACTCCTGCCTAGTAACGAGGGCCACCTCAGGAATCTCTTCGAGGCTTGGCAGGGCAAAAGGGACGCTTCTCGAGGTGAGGCAGGGCACCCAAGGACCCTTTCCAGTAGCCACAGGGATTTTGGGATTCCTATCAGTATTCAAGAGGAGTCAGGCATCGTCACCTTTTGAAGCAATGAACTCCGCGTGCCTCTCGAGGTGTCAGCGGGATGTGAGGCATTCCGTCAAAATGAGGCAGGGACCTAGGGCTTTCTCTAAGGTCTCCACAGGGGATTCAGACATCCCTTCAAGTTGTGAGATGAAAGACAAGCCTGTATTCAATCTATTGCATGGAAATCCGGCCTCCTTTCAAGTTAGGGCTTCTCGCTGTATATTCCCCTTGAGGCAGCAAACTCGGAGTCCCTCCCACATACCTATTGCTGAGCAGCCTCCTCCTGAGGTGCTTCTGGAAAGTTGGCATACGTCTTGAGCCTAAGCCAGGGAATCAGCTCTCATCTCGAGACGATTTGGGGTACACGGAGCATTCCTCGAGTTGCTGTGCTGAAGTTGGTGTTCCTCTAGACTTGGGACAGTGTTCTCGGGGCATCTCTGGAGTTGCCTGAAGGAAGTCGAGCCACCGGTCGTGTTGAATGGGGAACGGGGAATGGCTCTGGAGTCAATGCAGGGGAATCCGGCCTCATCTCGAATTGATTTCGGGCACATGGAGCTGCTTTGCATTGCTGGGTGACCTCAGGGTCCGTCTAGACTGGTGACAGTGTTCTTGGGGACTGTCTCGAGATCCATTAAGCAAGTCGAAGCTCCTGACTTGTTTGAATGGGATCACGGAATAGCTCTGCATGCACTGCAGGGGAATGGGGCCTCATCTCGCCTCTAGGGGGAAGTCTCACGGTTTCTCTCGAGTTGCGGCGAGCACCTGGGGTATGTTCTCGACTTACGGCGGGGATGGCCCTTCAAAACACGAGTTTCTCCAGTGACGTCAGGACTCCTGCCTAGTAACGAGGGACACCTCAGGAATCTCTTCGAGGCTTGGCAGGGCAAAAGGGACGCTTCTCGAGGTGAGGCAGGGCACCCAAGGAACCTTTTCAGTAGCCACAGGGATTTTGGGATTCCTATCAGTATTCAAGAGGAGTCAGGCATCGTCACCTTTTGAAGCAATGAACTCCGCGTGCCTCTCGAGGTGTCAGCGGGATGTGAGGCATTCCGTCAAAATGAGACAGGGACCTAGGGCTTTCTCTAAGGTCTCCACAGGGGATTCAGACATCCCTTCCTGTTGTCAGATCAAAGACGAGCCTGTATTCAAGCCACTGCAAGGAAATCCGGCATCCTTTCAAGTTAGGGCTTCGCGCTGTATATTCCCCTTGAGGCAGCAAACTCGGGGTCCCTCCCACATACCTATTGCTGAGAGAAGCCTCCTCCTGAGGTGCTTCTGGAAAGTTGGCATACGTCTTGAGCCTAAGCCAGGGAATCAGCTCACATCTCGAGATGATTTGGGGTACACGGAGCATTCCTCGAGTTGCTTTGCTGAAGTTGGTGTTCCTCTAGACTTCGGAAAGTGTTCTCTGGGCATCTCTGGAGTTGCCTGAAGGAAGTCGAGCCACCGGTCTTGTTGAATGGGGAACGGGGAATGGCTCTGGAGTCAATGCAAGAGAATCGGGCCTCATCTCGAGTTGATTTGGGGCACATGGAGCAGCTTTGCGTTGCTGGGGTGACCTCAGGGTCCGTCTAGACTGGTGACAGTGTTCTTGGGGACTGTCTCGAGATCCATTAAGCAAGTCGAAGCTCCTGACTTGTTTGAATGGGATCACGGAATAGCTCTGCATGCACTGCAGGTTAATGGGGCCTCATCTCGCCTCTAGGGGGAAGTCTCATGGTTTTTCTCGAGTTGCGGCGGGGACCTGGGGTATGTTCACGACTTACGGCGGGGATGGCCCTTCAAAACACGAGTTTCTTCAGTGACGTCAGGACTCCTGCCTAGTAACGAGGGACACCTCAGGAATCTCTTCGAGGCTTGGCAGGGCAAAAGGGACGCTTCTCGAGGTGAGGCAGGGCACCCAAGGACCCTTTCCAGTAGCCACAGGGATTTTGGGATTCCTATCAGTATTCAAGAGGAGTCAGGCATCGTCACCTTTTGAAGGAATGAACTCCGCGTGCCTCTCGAGGTGTCAGCGGGATGTGAGGCATTCCGTCAAAATGAGGCAGGGACCTAGGTCTTTCTCTAAGGTCTCCACAGGGGATTCAGACATCCCTTCATGTTGTGAGATGAAAGACAAGCCTGTATTCAAGCTACTGCAAGGAAATCTGGCCTCCTTTCAAGTTAGGGCTTCTCGATGTATATTCCTCTTGAGGCAGCAAACTCGGAGTCCCTCCCACATTCCTATTGCTGAGAAGCCTCCTCCTGAGGTGCTTCTGGAAAGTTGGCATACGTCTTGAGCCTAAGCCAGGGAATCAGCTCTCATCTCGAGACGGCTTGGGGTACACGGAGCATTCCTCGAGTTGCTGTGCTGAAGTTCGTGTTCCTCTAGACTTGGGACAGTGTTCTCTGGGCATCTCTGGAGTTGCCTGAAGGAAGTCGAGCCACCGGTCGTGTTGAATGGGGAACGGGGAATGGCTCTGGAGTCAATGCAGGGGAATCCGGCCTCATCTCGAGTTGATTTGGGGCACATGGAGATGCTTTGCATTGCTGGGTGACCTCAGGGTCCGTCTAGACTGGTGACAGTGTTCTTGGGGACTGTCTCGAGATCCATTAAGCAAGTCGAAGCTCCTGACTTGTTTGAATATGATCACGGAATAGCTCTGCATGCACTGCAGGGGAATGGGGCCTCATCTCGCCTCTAGGGGGAAGTCTCATGGTTTTTCTCGAGTTGCGGCGGGGACCTAGGGTATGTTCTCGACTTAAGGCGGGGATGGCCCTTCAAAACACGAGTTTCTCCAGTGACGTCAGGACTCCTGCCTAGTAACGAGGGCCACCTCAGGAATCTCTTCGAGGCTTGGCAGGGCAAAAGGGACGCTTCTCGAGGTGAGGCAGGGCACCCAAGGACCCTTTCCAGTAGCCACAGGGATTTTGGGATTCCTATCAGTATTCAAGAGGAGTCAGGCATCGTCACCTTTTGAAGCAATGAACTCCGCGTGCCTCTGGAGGTGTCAGGGGGATGTGAGGTATTCCGTCAAAATGAGGCAGGGACCTAGGGCTTCCTCTAAGGTCTCCACAGGGGATTCAGACATCCCTTCATGTTTTCAGATCAAAGACGAGCCTGTATTCAACCCACTGCAAGGAAATCTGGCCTCCGTTCACATTAGGGCTTCTCCCTGTGTATTCCCCTTGAGGCAGCAAACTCGGGGTCCCTCCCACATACCTATTGCTGAGAGAAGCCTCCTCCTGAGGTGCTTCTGGAAAGTTGGCATACGTCTTGAGCCTAAGCCAGGGAATCAGCTCTCATCTCGAGATGATTTGGGGTACACGGAGCATTCCTCGAGTTGCTGTGCTGAAGTTGGTGTTCCTCTAGACTTGGGACAGTGTTCTCGGGGCATCTCTGGAGTTGCCTGAAGGAAGTCGAGCCAACGGTCGTGTTGAATGGGGAACGGGGAATGTCTCTGGAGTCAATGCAGGGGAATCGGGCCTCATCTCGAGTTGATTTGGGGCACATGGAGCAGCTTTGCGTTGCTGGGGTGACCTCAGGGTCCGTCTAGACTGGTGACAGTGTTCTTGGGGACTGTCTCGAGATCCATTAAGCAAGTCGAAGCTCCTGACTTGTTTGAATGGGATCACGGAATAGCTCTGCATGCACTGCAGGGGAATGGGGCCTCATCTCGCCTCTAGGGGGAAGTCTCATGGTTTTTCTCGAGTTGCGGCGGGGACCTGGGGTATGTTCTCGACTTACGGCGGGGATGGCCCTTCAAAACACGAGTTTTTCCAGTGATGTCAGAACTCCTGCCTAGTAACGAGGGACACCTCAGGAATCTCTTCGAGGCTTGGCAGGGCAAAAGGGACGCTTCTCGAGGTGAGGCAGGGCACCCAAGACCCTTTCCAGTAGCCACAGGGATTTTGGGATTCCTATCAGTATTCAAGAGGAGTCAGGCATCGTCACCTTTTGAAGCAATGAACTCCGCGTGCCTCTCGAGGTGTCAGCGGGATGTGAGGCATTCCGTCAAAATGAGGCAGGGACCTAGGTCTTTCTCTAAGGTCTCCACAGGGGATTCAGACATCCCTTCATGTTGTGAGATGAAAGACAAGCCTGTATTCAAGCTACTGCAAGGAAATCTGGCCTCCTTTCAAGTTAGGGCTTCTCGATGTATATTCCTCTTGAGGCAGCAAACTCGGAGTCCCTCCCACATACCTATTGCTGAGAAGCCTCCTCCAGAGGTGCTTCTGGAAAGTTGGCATACGTCTTGAGCCTAAGCCAGGGAATCAGCTCTCATCTCGAGACGACTTGGGGTACACGGAGCATTCCTCGAGTTGCTGTGCTGAAGTTCGTGTTCCTCTAGACTTGGGACAGTGTTCTCTGGGCATCTCTGGAGTTGCCTGAAGGAAGTCGAGCCACCGGTCGTGTTGAATGGGGAACGGGGAATGGCTCTGGAGTCAATGCAGGGGAATCCGGCCTCATCTCGAGTTGATTTGGGGCACATGGAGCTGCTTTGCATTGCTGGGTGACCTCAGGGTCCGTCTAGACTGGTGACAGTGTTCTTGGGGACTGTCTCGAGATCCATTAAGCAAGTCGAATCTCCTGACTTGTTTGAATGGGATCACGGAATAGCTCTGCATGCACTGCAGGGGAATGGGGCCTCATCTCGCCTCTAGGGGGAAGTCTCACGGTTTTTCTCGAGTTGCGGCGGGGACCTGGGGTATGTTCTCGACTTACGGCGGGGATGGCCCTTCAAAACACGAGTTTCTCCAGTGACGTCAGGACTCCTGCCTAGTAACGAGGGACACCTAAGGAATCTCTTCGAGGCTTGGCAGGGCAAAAGGGACGCTTCTCGAGGTGAGGCAGGACACCCAAGGACCCTTTTCAGTAGCCACAGGGATTTTGGGATTCCTATCAGTATTCAAGAGGAGTCAGGCATCGTCACCTTTTGAAGCAATGAACTCCGCGTGCCTCTCGAGGTGTAAGCAGGATGTGAGGCATTCCGTCAAAATGAGGCAGGGACCTAGGGCTTTCTCTAAGGTCTCCACAGGGGATTCAGACATCCCTTCATGTTTTCAGATCAAAGACGAGCCTGTATTCAACCCACTGCAAGGAAATCTGGCCTCCGTTCACATTAGGGCTTCTCCCTGTGTATTCCCCTTGAGGCAGCAAACTCGGGGTCCCTCCCACATACCTATTGCTGAAAGAAGCCTCCTCCTGAGGTGCTTGTGGGAAGTTGGCATACGTCTTGAGCCTAAGCCAGGGAATCAGCTCTCATCTCGAGATGATTTGGGGTACACGGAGCATTCCTCGAGTTGCTGTCCTGAAGTTGGTGTTCCTCTAGACTTGGGACAGTGTTCTCGGGGCATCTCTGGAGTTGCCTGAAGGAAATCGAGCCAACGGTCGTGTTGAATGGGGAACGGGGAATGTCTCTGGAGTCAATGCAGGGGAATCGGGCCTCATCTCGAGTTGATTTGGGGCACATGGAGCAGCTTTGCGTTGCTGGGGTGACCTCAGGGTCCGTCTAGACTGGTGACAGTGTTCTTGGGGACTGTCTCGAGATCCATTAAGCAAGTCGAAGCTCCTGACTTGTTTGAATAGGATCACGGAATAGCTCTGCATGCACTGCAGGGGAATGGGGCCTCATCTCGCCTCTAGGGGGAAGTCTCATGGTTTTTCTCGAGTTGCGGCGGGAACCTGGGGTATGTTCTCGACTTACGGCGGGGATGGCCCTTCAAAACACGAGTTTCTCCAGTGACGTCAGAACTCCTGCCTAGTAACGAGGGACACCTCAGGAATCTCTTCGAGGCTTGGCAGGGCAAAAGGGACGCTTCTCGAGGTGAGGCAGGGCACCCAAGACCCTTTCCAGTAGCCACAGGGATTTTGGGATTCCTATCAGTATTCAAGAGGACTCAGGCATCGTCGCCTTTTGAAGCAATGAACTCCGCGTGCCTCTCGAGGTGTCAGCGGGATGTGAGGCATTCCGTCAAAATGAGGCAGGGACCTAGGTCTTTCTCTAAGGTCTCCACAGGGGATTCAGACATCCCTTCATGTTGTGAGATGAAAGACAAGCCTGTATTCAAGCTAGTGCAAGGAAATCTGGCCTCCTTTCAAGTTAGGGCTTCTCGCTGTATATTCCTCTTGAGGCAGCAAACTCGGAGTCCCTCCCACATACCTATTGCTGAGAAGCCTCCTCCTGAGGTGCTTCTGGAAAGTTGGCATACGTCTTGAGCCTAAGCCAGGGAATCAGCTCTCATCTCGAGACGACTTGGGGTACACGGAGCATTCCTCGAGTTGCTGTGCTGAAGTTCGTGTTCCTCTAGACTTGGGACAGTGTTCTCGGGGCATCTCTGGAGTTGCCTGAAGGAAGTCGAGCCACCGGTCGTGTTGAATGGGGAACGGGGAATGGCTCTGGAGTCAATGCAGGGGAATCCGGCCTCATCTCGAGTTGATTTGGGGCACATGGAGCTGCTTTGCATTGCTGGGTGACCTCAGGGTCCGTCTAGACTGGTGACAGTGTTCTTGGGGACTGTCTCGAGATCCATTAAGCAAGTAGAATCTCCTGACTTGTTTGAATGGGATCACGGAATAGCTCTGCATGCACTGCAGGGGAATGGGGCCTCATCTCGCCTCTAGGGGGAAGTCTCACGGTTTTTCTCGAGTTGCGGCGGGGACCTGGGGTATGTTCTCGACTTACGGCGGGGATGGCCCTTCAAAAAACGAGTTTCTCCAGTGACGTCAGGACTCCTGCCTAGTAACGAGGGACACCTCAGGAATCTCTTCGAGGCTTGGCAGGGCAAAAGGGACGCTTCTCGAGGTGAGGCAGGACACCCAAGGACCCATTTCAGTAGCCACAGGGATTTTGGGATTCCTATCAGTATTCAAGAGGAGTCAGGCATCGTCACCTTTTGAAGCAATGAACTCCGCGTGCCTCTCGAGGTGTCAGCGGGATGTGAGGCATTCCGTCAAAATGAGGCAGGGACCTAGGGCTTTCTCTAAGGTCTCCACAGGGGATTCAGACATCCCTTCATGTTGTCAGATCAAAGACGAGCCTGTATTCAAGCCACTGCAAGGAAATCCGGCCTCCTTTCAAGTTAGGGCTTCTCGCTGTATATTCCCCTTGAGGCAGCAAACTCGGGGTCCCTCCCACATACCTACTGCTGAGAGAAGCCTCCTCCTGAGGTGCTTCTGGAAAGTTGGCATACGTCTTGAGCCTAAGCCAGGGAATCAGCTCTCATCTCGAGATGATTTGGGGTACACGGAGCATTCCTCGAGTTGCTTTGCTGAAGTTGGTGTTCCTCTAGACTTGGGACAGTGTTCTCGGGGCATCTCTGGAGTTGCCTGAAGGAAGTCGAGCCACCGGTCGTGTTGAATGGGGAACGGGGAATGGCTCTGGAGTCAATGCAGGGGAATCGGGCCTCATCTCGAGTTGATTTGGGGCACATGGAGCAGCTTTGCGTTGCTGGGGTGACCTCAGGGTCCGTCTAGACTGGTGACAGTGTTCTTGGGGACTGTCTCGAGATCCATTAAGCAAGTCGAAGCTCCTGACTTGTTTGAATGGGATCACGGAATAGCTCTGCATGCACTGCAGGGGAATGGGGCCTCATCTCGCCTCTAGGGGGAAGTCTCATGGTTTTTCTCGAGTTGCGGCGGGGACCTGGGGTATGTTCTCGACTTACGGCGGGGATGGCCCTTCAAAACACGAGTTTCTCCAGTGACGTCAGGACTCCTGCCTAGTAACGAGGGCCACCTCAGGAATATCTTCGAGGCTTGGCAGGGCAAAAGGGACGCTTCTCGAGGTGAGGCAGGGCACCCAAGGACCCTTTCCAGTAGCCACAGGGATTTTGGGATTCCTATCAGTATTCAAGAGGAGTCAGGCATCGTCACCTTTTGAAGCAATGAACTCCGCGTGCCTCTCGAGGTGTCAGCGGGATGTGAGGCATTCCGTCAAAATGAGGCAGGGACCTACGGCTTTCTCTAAGGTCTCCAAGGGGATTCAGACATCCCTTCATTTTGTGAGATGAAAGACAAGCCTGTATTCAAGCTACTGCAAGGAAATCTGGCCTCCTTTCAAGTTAGGGCTTCTCGATGTATATTCCTCTTGAGGCAGCAAACTCGGAGTCCCTCCCACATACCTATTGCTGAGAAGCCTCCTCCTGAGGTGCTTCTGGAAAGCTGGCATACGTCTTGAGCCTAAGCCAGGGAATCAGCTCTCATCTCGAGACGATTTGGGGTACACGGAGCATTCCTCGAGTTGCTGTGCTGAAGTTGGTGTTCCTCTAGACTTGGGACAGTGTTCTCGGGGCATCTCTGGAGTTGCCTGAAGGAAGTCGAGCCACCAGTCGTGTTGAATGGGGAACGGGGAATGGCTCTGGAGTCAATGCAGGGGAATCCGGCCTCATCTCGAGTTGATTTGGGGCACATGGAGCTGCTTTGCATTGCTGGGTGACCTCAGGGTCCGTCTAGACTGGTGACAGTGTTCTTGGGGACTGTCTCGAGATCCATTAAGCAAGTCGAAGCTCCTGACTTGTTTGAATGGGATCACGGAATAGCTCTGCATGCACTGCAGGGGAATGGGGCCTCATCTCGCCTCTAGGGGGAAGTCTCATGGTTTTTCTCGAGTTGCGGCGGGGACCTGGGGTATGTTGTCGACTTACGGCGGGGATGGCCCTTCAAAACACGAGTTTCTCCAGTGACGTCAGGACTCCTGCCTAGTAACGAGGGACACCTCAGGAATCTCTTCGAGGCTTGGCAGGGCAAAAGGGACGCTTCTCAAGGTGAGGCTGGGCACGCAAGGACCCTTTCCAGTAGCCACAGGGATTTTGGGATTCCTATCAGTATTCAAGAGGAGTCAGGCATCGTCACCTTTTGAAGCAATGAACTCCGCGTGCCTCTCGAGGTGTCAGCGGGATGTGAGGCATTCGGTCAAAATGAGGCAGGGACCTAGGGCTTTCTCTAAGGACTCCACAGGGGATTCAGACATCCCTTCATGTTGTGAGATGAAAGACAAGCCTGTATTCAAGCTACTGCAAGGAAATCCGGCCTCCTTTCAAGTTAGGGCTTCTCGATGTATATTCCCCTTGAGGCAGCAAACTCGGAGTCCCTCCCACATACCTATTGCTGTGAAGCCTCCTCCTGAGGTGCTCTGGAAAGTTGGCATACGTCTTGAGCCTAAGCCAGGGAATCAGCTCTCATCTCGAGACGATTTGGGGTACACAGAGCATTCCTCGAGTTGCTGTGCTGAAGTTGGTGTTCCTCTAGACTTGGGAAAGTGTTCTCTGGGCATCTCTGGAGTTGCCTGAAGGAAGTCGAGCCACCGGTCTTGTTGAATGGGGAACGGGGAATGGCTCTGGAGTCAATGCAGGGGAATCGGGCCTCATCTCGAGTTGATTTGGGGCACATGGAGCAGCTTTGCGTTGCTGGGGTGACCTCAGGGTCCGTCTAGACTGGTGACAGTGTTCTTGGGGACTGTCTCGAGATCCATTAAGCAAGTCGAAGCTCCTGACTTGTTTGAATGGGATCACGGAATAGCTCTGCATGCACTGCAGGGGAATGGGGCCTCATCTCGCCTCTAGGGGGGAGTCTCATGGTTTTTCTCGAGTTGCGGCGGGGACCTGGGGTATGTTCTCGACTTACGGCGGGGATGGCCCTTCAAAACACGAGTTTCTTCAGTGACGTCAGGACTCCTGCCTAGTAACGAGGGACACCTCAGGAATCTCTTCGAGGCTTGGCAGGGCAAAAGGGACGCTTCTCGAGGTGAGGGAGGGCACCCAAGGACCCTTTCCAGTAGCCACAGGGATTTTGGGATTCCTATCAGTATTCAAGAGGAGTCAGGCATCATCACCTTTTGAAGCAATGAACTCCGCGTGCCTCTCGAGGTGTCAGCGGGATGTGAGGCATTCCGTCAAAATGAGGCAGTGACCTAGGGCTTTCTCTAAGGTCTCCACAGGGGATTCAGACATCCCTTCATGTTTTCAGATCAAAGACGAGCCTGTATTCAACCCACTGCAAGGAAATCTGGCCTCCGTTCACATTAGGGCTTCTCCCTGTGTATTCCCCTTGAGGCAGCAAACTCGGGGTCCCTCCCACATACCTATTGCTGAAAGAAGCCTCCTCCTGAGGTGCTTGTGGGAAGTTGGCATACGTCTTGAGCCTAAGCCAGGGAATCAGCTCTCATCTCGAGATGATTTGGGGTACATGGAGCATTCCTCGAGTTGCTGTCCTGAAGTTGGTGTTCCTCTAGACTTGGGACAGTGTTCTCGGGGCATCTCTGGAGTTGCCTGAAGGAAGTCGAGCCAACGGTCGTGTTGAATGGGGAACGGGGAATGTCTCTGGAGTCAATGCAGGGGAATCGGGCCTCATCTCGAGTTGATTTGGGGCACATGGAGCAGCTTTGCGTTGCTGGGGTGACCTCAGGGTCCGTCTAGACTGGTGACAGTGTTCTTGGGGACTGTCTCGAGATCCATTAAGCAAGTCGAAGCTCCTGACTTGTTTGAATAGGATCACGGAATAGCTCTGCATGCACTGCAGGGGAATGGGGCCTCATCTCGCCTCTAGGGGGAAGTCTCATGGTTTTTCTCGAGTTGCGGCGGGAACCTGGGGTATGTTCTCGACTTACGGCGGGGATGGCCCTTCAAAACACGAGTTTCTCCAGTGACGTCAGAACTCCTGCCTAGTAACGAGGGACACCTCAGGAATCTCTTCGAGGCTTGGCAGGGCAAAAGGGACGCTTCTCGAGGTGAGGCAGGGCACCCAAGACCCTTTCCAGTAGCCACAGGGATTTTGGGATTCCTATCAGTATTCAAGAGGACTCAGGCATCGTCACCTTTTGAAGCAATGAACTCCGCGTGCCTCTCGAGGTGTCAGCGGGATGTGAGGCATTCCGTCAAAATGAGGCAGGGACCTAGGTCTTTCTCTAAGGTCTCCACAGGGGATTCAGACATCCCTTCATGTTGTGAGATGAAAGACAAGCCTGTATTCAAGCTAGTGCAAGGAAATCTGGCCTCCTTTCAAGTTAGGGCTTCTCGATGTATATTCCTCTTGAGGCAGCAAACTCGGAGTCCCTCCCACATACCTATTGCTGAGAAGCCTCCTCCTGAGGTGCTTCTGGAAAGTTGGCATACGTCTTGAGCCTAAGCCAGGGAATCAGCTCTCATCTCGAGACGACTTGGGGTACACGGAGCATTCCTCGAGTTGCTGTGCTGAAGTTCGTGTTCCTCTAGACTTGGGACAGTGTTCTCGGGGCGTCTCTGGAGTTGCCTGAAGGAAGTCGAGCCACCGGTCGTGTTGAATGGGGAACGGGGAATGGCTCTGGAGTCAATGCAGGGGAATCCGGCCTCATCTCGAGTTGATTTGGGGCACATGGAGCTGCTTTGCATTGCTGGGTGACCTCAGGGTCCGTCTAGACTGGTGACAGTGTTCTTGGGGACTGTCTCGAGATCCATTAAGCAAGTAGAATCTCCTGACTTGTTTGAATGGGATCACGGAATAGCTCTGCATGCACTGCAGGGGAATGGGGCCTCATCTCGCCTCTAGGGGGAAGTCTCACGGTTTTTCTCGAGTTGCGGCGGGGACCTGGGGTATGTTCTCGACTTACGGCGGGGATGGCCCTTCAAAAAACGAGTTTCTCCAGTGACGTCAGGACTCCTGCCTAGTAACGAGGGACACCTCAGGAATCTCTTCGAGGCTTGGCAGGGCAAAAGGGACGCTTCTCGAGGTGAGGCAGGACACCCAAGGACCCATTTCAGTAGCCACAGGGATTTTGGGATTCCTATCAGTATTCAAGAGGAGTCAGGCATCGTCACCTTTTGAAGCAATGAACTCCGCGTGCCTCTCGAGGTGTCAGCGGGATGTGAGGCATTCCGTCAAAATGAGGCAGGGACCTAGGGCTTTCTCTAAGGTCTCCACAGGGGATTCAGACATCCCTTCATGTTGTCAGATCAAAGACGAGCCTGTATTCAAGCCACTGCAAGGAAATCCGGCCTCCTTTCAAGTTAGGGCTTCTCGCTGTATATTCCCCTTGAGGCAGCAAACTCGGGGTCCCTCCCACATACCTACTGCTGAGAGAAGCCTCCTCCTGAGGTGCTTCTGGAAAGTTGGCATACGTCTTGAGCCTAAGCCAGGGAATCAGCTCTCATCTCGAGATGATTTGGGGTACACGGAGCATTCCTCGAGTTGCTTTGCTGAAGTTGGTGTTCCTCTAGACTTGGGAAAGTGTTCTCAGGGCATCTCTGGAGTTGCCTGAAGGAAGTCGAGCCACCGGTCTTGTTGAATGGGGAACGGGGAATGGCTCTGGAGTCAATGCAGGGGAATCGGGCCTCATCTCGAGTTGATTTGGGGCACATGGAGCAGCTTTGCGTTGCTGGGGTGACCTCAGGGTCCGTCTAGACTGGTGACAGTGTTCTTGGGGACTGTCTCGAGATCCATTAAGCAAGTCGAAGCTCCTGACTTGTTTGAATGGGATCACGGAATAGCTCTGCATGCACTGCAGGGGAATGGGGCCTCATCTCGCCTCTAGGGGGAAGTCTCATGGTTTTTCTCGAGTTGCGGCGGGGACCTGGGGTATGTTCTCGACTTACGGCGGGGATGGCCCTTCAAAACACGAGTTTCTCCAGTGACGTCAGGACTCCTGCCTAGTAACGAGGGCCACCTCAGGAATCTCTTCGAGGCTTGGCAGGGCAAAAGGGACGCTTCTCGAGGTGAGGCAGGGCACCCAAGGACCCTTTCCAGTAGCCACAGGGATTTTGGGATTCCTATCAGTATTCAAGAGGAGTTAGGCATCGTCACCTTTTGAAGCAATGAACTCCGCGTGCCTCTCGAGGTGTCAGCGGGATGTGAGGCATTCCGTCAAAATGAGGCAGGGACCTACAGCTTTCTCTAAGGTCTCCAAGGGGATTCAGACATCCCTTCATTTTGTGAGATGAAAGACAAGCCTGTATTCAAGCTACTGCAAGGAAATCTGGCCTCCTTTCAAGTTAGGGCTTCTCGATGTATATTCCTCTTGAGGCAGCAAACTCGGAGTCCCTCCCACATACCTATTGCTGAGAAGCCTCCTCCTGAGGTGCTTCTGGAAAGCTGGCATACGTCTTGAGCCTAAGCCAGGGAATCAGCTCTCATCTCGAGACGATTTGGGGTACACGGAGCATTCCTCGAGTTGCTGTGCTGAAGTTGGTGTTCCTCTAGACTTGGGACAGTGTTCTCGGGGCATCTCTGGAGTTGCCTGAAGGAAGTCGAGCCACCAGTCCTGTTGAATGGGGAACGGGGAATGGCTCTGGAGTCAATGCAGGGGAATCCGGCCTCATCTCGAGTTGATTTGGGGCACATGGAGCTGCTTTGCATTGCTGGGTGACCTCAGGGTCCGTCTAGACTGGTGACAGTGTTCTTGGGGACTGTCTCGAGATCCATTAAGCAAGTCGAAGCTCCTGACTTGTTTGAATGGGATCACGGAATAGCTCTGCATGCACTGCAGGGGAATGGGGCCTCATCTCGCCTCTAGGGGGAAGTCTCATGGTTTTTCTCGAGTTGCGGCGGGGACCTGGGGTATGTTGTCGACTTACGGCGGGGATGGCCCTTCAAAACACGAGTTTCTCCAGTGACGTCAGGACTCCTGCCTAGTAACGAGGGACACCTCAGGAATCTCTTCGAGGCTTGGCAGGGCAAAAGGGACGCTTCTCAAGGTGAGGCTGGGCACCCAAGGACCCTTTCCAGTAGCCACAGGGATTTTGGGATTCCTATCAGTATTCAAGAGGAGTCAGGCATCGTCACCTTTTGAAGCAATGAACTCCGCGTGCCTCTCGAGGTGTCAGCGGGATGTGAGGCATTCCGTCAAAATGAGGCAGGGACCTAGGGCTTTCTCTAAGGACTCCACAGGGGATTCAGACATCCCTTCATGTTGTGAGATGAAAGACAAGCCTGTATTCAAGCTACTGCAAGGAAATCTGGCCTCCTTTCAAGTTAGGGCTTCTCGATGTATATTCCTCTTGAGGCAGCAAACTCGGAGTCCCTCCCACATACCTATTGCTGAGAAGCCTCCTCCTGAGGTGCTTCTGGAAAGTTGGCATACGTCTTGAGCCTAAGCCAGGGAATAAGCTCTCCTCTCGAGACGATTTGGGGTACACGGAGCATTCCTCGAGTTGCTGTGCTGAAGTTGGTGTTCCTCTAGACTTGGGACAGTGTTCTCGGGGCATCTCTGGAGTTGCCTGAAGGAAGTCGAGCCACCGGTCGTGTTGAATGGGGAACGGGGAATGGCTCTGGAGTCAATGCAGGGGAATCCGGCCTCATCTCGAGTTGATTTGGGGCACATGGAGCTGCTTTGCATTGCTGGGTGACCTCAGGGTCCGTCTAGACTGGTGACAGTGTTCTTGGGGACTGTCTCGAGATCCATTAAGCAAGTCGAAGCTCCTGACTTGTTTGAATGGGATCACGGAATAGCTCTGCATGCACTGCAGGGGAATGGGGCCTCATCTCGCCTCTAGGGGGAAGTCTCACGGTTTTTGTCGAGTTGCGGCGGGGACCTGGGGTATGTTCTCGACTTACGGCGGGGATGGCCCTTCAAAACACGAGTTTCTCCAGTGACGTCAGGACTCCTGCCTAGTAACGAGGGACACCTCAGGAATCTCTTCGAGGCTTGGCAGGGCAAAAGGGACGCTTCTCGAGGTGAGGCAGGGCACCCAAGGACCCTTTCCAGTAGCCACAGGGATTTTGGGATTCCTATCAGTATTCAAGAGGAGTCAGGCATCGTCACCTTTTGAAGCAATGAACTCCGCGTGCCTCTCGAGGTGTCAGCGGGATGTGAGGCATTCCGTCAAAATGAGGCAGGGACCTAGGGCTTTCTCTAAGGTCTCCACAGGGGATTCAGACATCCCTTCATGTTGTGAGATGAAAGACGAGCCTGTATTCAAGCCACTGCAAGGAAATCCGGCCTCCTTTCAAGTTAGGGCTTCTCGCTGTATATTCCCCTTGAGGCAGCAAACTCGGGGTCCCTCCCACATACCTATTGCTGAGAGAAGCCTCCTCCTGAGGTGCTTCTGGGAAGTTGGCATACGTCTTGAGCCTAAGCCAGGGAATCAGCTCGCATCTCGAGACGATATGGGGTACACAGAGCATTCCTCGAGTTGCTGTGCTGAAGTTGGTGTTCCTCTAGACTTGGGAAAGTGTTCTCTGGGCATCTCTGGAGTTGCCTGAAGGAAGTCGAGCCACCGGTCTTGTTGAATGGGGAACGGGGAATGGCTCTGGAGTCAATGCAGGGGAATCGGGCCTCATCTCGAGTTGATTTGGGGCACATGGAGCAGCTTTGCGTTGCTGGGGTGACCTCAGGGTCCGTCTAGACTGGTGACAGTGTTCTTGGGGACTGTCTCGAGATCCATTAAGCAAGTCGAAGCTCCTGACTTGTTTGAATGGGATCACGGAATAGCTCTGCATGCACTGCAGGGGAATGGGGCCTCATCTCGCCTCTAGGGGGGAGTCTCACGGTTTTTCTCGAGTTGCGGCGGGGACCTGGGGTATGTTCTCGACTTACGGCGGGGATGGCCCTTCAAAACACGAGTTTCTTCAGTGACGTCAGGACTCCTGCCTAGTAACGAGGGACACCTCAGGAATCTCTTCGAGGCTTGGCAGGGCAAAAGGGACGCTTCTCGAGGTGAGGCAGGGCACCCAAGGACCCTTTCCAGTAGCCACAGGGATTTTCGGATTCCTATCAGTATTCAAGAGGAGTCAGGCATCGTCACCTTTTGAAGCAATGAACTCCGCGTGCCTCTCGAGGTGTCAGCGGGATGTGAGGCATTCCGTCAAAATGAGGCAGGGACCTAGGGCTTTCTCTAAGGACTCCACAGGGGATTCAGACATCCCTTCATGTTGTGAGATGAAAGACAAGCCTGTATTCAAGCTACTGCAAGGAATTCTGGCCTCCTTTCAAGTTAGGGCTTCTCGATGTATATTCCTCTTGAGGCAGCAAACTCGGAGTCCCTCCCACATACCTATTGCTGAGAAGCCTCCTCCTGAGGTGCTTCTGGAAAGTTGGCATACGTCTTGAGCCTAAGCCAGGGAATCAGCTCTCATCTCGAGACGATTTGGGGTACACGGAGCATTCCTCGAGTTGCTGTGCTGAAGTTGGTGTTCCTCTAGACTTGGGACAGTGTTCTCGGGGCATCTCTGGAGTTGCCTGAAGGAAGTCGAGCCACCGGTCTTGTTGAATGGGGAACGGGGAATGGCTCTGGAGTCAATGCAGGGGAATCCGGCCTCATCTCGAGTTGATTTGGGGCACATGGAGCTGCTTTGCATTGCTGGCTGACCTCAGGGTCCGTCTAGACTGGTGACAGTGTTCTTGGGGACTGTCTCGAGATCCATTAAGCAAGTCGAAGCTCCTGACTTGTTTGAATGGGATCACGGAATAGCTCTGCAGGCACTGCAGGGGAATGGGGCCTCATCTCGCCTCTAGGGGGAAGTCTCACGGTTTATCTCGAGTTGCGGCGAGCACCTGGGGTATGTTCTCGACTTACGGCGGGGATGGCCCTTCAAAACACGAGTTTCTCCAGTGACGTCAGGACTCCTGCCTAGTAACGAGGGACACCTCAGGAATCTCTTCGAGGCTTGGCAGGGCAAAAGGGACGCTTCTCGAGGTGAGGCAGGGCACCCAAGGACCCTTTCCAGTAGCCACAGGGATTTTGGGATTCCTATCAGTATTCAAGAGGAGTCAGGCATCGTCACATTTTGAAGCAATTAACTCCGCGTGCCTCTCGAGGAGTCAGCGGGATGTGAGGCATTCCGTCAAAATGAGGCAGGGACCTAGGTCTTTCTCTAAGGACTCCACAGGGGATTCAGACATCCCTTCATGTTGTGAGATGAAAGACAAGCCTGTATTCAAGCTACTGCAAGGAAATCTGGCCTCCTTTCAAGTTAGGGCTTCTCGATGTATATTCCTCTTGAGGCAGCAAACTCGGAGTCCCTCCCACATACCTATTGCTGAGAAGCCTCCTCCTGAGGTGCTTCTGGAAAGTTGGCATACGTCTTGAGCCTAAGCCAGGGAATCAGCTCTCATCTCGAGACGACTTGGGGTACACGGAGCATTCCTCGAGTTGCTGTGCTGAAGTTCGTGTTCCTCTAGACTTGGGACAGTGTTCTCTGGGCATCTCTGGAGTTGCCTGAAGGAAGTCGAGCCACTGGTCGTGTTGAATGGGGAACGGGGAATGGCTCTGGAGTCAATGCAGGGGAATCCGGCCTCATCTCGAGTTGATTTGGGGCACATGGAGCTGCTTTGCATTGCTGGGTGACCTCAGGGTCCGTCTAGACTGGTGACAGTGTTCTTGGGGACTGTCTCGAGATCCATTAAGCAAGTCGAATCTCCTGACTTGTTTGAATGGGATCACAGAATAGCTCTGCATGCACTGCAGGGGAATGGGGCCTCATCTCGCCTCTAGGGGGAAGTCTCACGGTTTTTCTCGAGTTGCGGCGGGGACCTGGGGTATGTTAGCGACTTACGGCGGGGATGGCCCTTCAAAACACGAGTTTCTCCAGTGACGTCAGGACTCCTGCCTAGTAACGAGGGACACCTCAGGAATCTCTTCGAGGCTTGGCAGGGCAAAAGGGACGCTTCTCGAGGTGAGGCAGGACACCCAAGGACCCTTTTCAGTAGCCACAGGGATTTTGGGATTCCTATCAGTATTCAAGAGGAGTCAGGCATCGTCACCTTTTGAAGCAATGAACTCCGCGTGCCTCTCGAGGTGTCAGCGGGATGTGAGGCATTCCGTCAAAATGAGGCAGGGACCTAGGGCTTTCTCTAAGGTCTCCACAGGGGATTCAGACATCCCTTCATGTTGTCAGATCAAAGACAAGCCTGTATTCAAGCCACTGCAAGGAAATCCGGCCTCCTTTCAAGTTAGGGCTTCTCGCTGTATATTCCCCTTGAGGCAGCAAACTCGGGGTCCCTCCCACATACCTATTGCTGAGAGAAGCCTCCTCCTGAGGTGCTTCTGGAAAGTTGGCATACGTCTTGAGCCTAAGCCAGGGAATCAGCTCTCATCTCGAGATGATTTGGGGTACACGGAGCATTCCTCGAGTTGCTTTGCTGAAGTTGGTGTTCCTCTAGACTTGGGAAAGTGTTCTCGGGGCATCTCTGGAGTTGCCTGAAGGAAGTCGAGCCACCGGTCTTGTTGAATGGGGAACGGGGAATGGCTCTGGAGTCAATGCAGGGGAATCGGGCCTCATCTCGAGTTGATTTGGGGCACATGGAGCAGCTTTGCGTTGCTGGGGTGACCTCAGGGTCCGTCTAGACTGGTGACAGTGTTCTTGGGGACTCTCTCGAGATCCATTAAGCAAGTCGAAGCTCCTGACTTGTTTGAATGGGATCACGGAATAGCTCTGCATGCACTGCAGGGGAATGGGGCCTCATCTCGCCTCTAGGGGGAAGTCTCATGGTTTTTCTCGAGTTGCGGCGGGGACCTGGGGTATGTTCTCCACTTACGGCGGGGATGGCCCTTCAAAACACGAGTTTCTCCAGTGACGTCAGGACTCCTGCCTAGTAACGAGGGCCACCTCAGGAATCTCTTCGAGGCTTGGCAGGGCAAAAGGGACGCTTCTCGAGGTGAGGCAGGGCACCCAAGGACCCTTTCCAGTAGCCACAGGGATTTTGGGATTCCTATCAGTATTCAAGAGGAGTCAGGCATCGTCACCTTTTGAAGCAATGAACTCCGCGTTCCTCTCGAGGTGTCAGCGGGATGTGAGGCATTCCGTCAAAATGAGGCAGGGACCTACGGCTTTCTCTAAGGTCTCCAAGGGGATTCAGACATCCCTTCATGTTGTGAGATGAAAGACAAGCCTGTATTCAAGCTACTGCAAGGAAATCTGGCCTCCTTTCAAGTTAGGGCTTCTCGATGTATATTCCTCTTGAGGCAGCAAACTCGGAGTCCCTCCCACATACCGATTGCTGAGAAGCCTCCTCCTGAGGTGCTTCTGGAAAGCGGGCATACGTCTTGAGCCTAAGCCAGGGAATCAGCTCTCATCTCGAGACGATTTGGGGTACACGGAGCATTCCTCGAGTTGCTGTGCTGAAGTTCGTGTTCCTCTAGACTTGGGACAGTGTTCTCGGGGCATCTCTGGAGTTGCCTGAAGGAAGTCGAGCCACCGGTCGTGTTGAATGGGGAACGGGGAATGGCTCTGGAGTCAATGCAGGGGAATCCGGCCTCATCTCGAGTTGATTTGGGGCACATGGAGCTGCTTTGCATTGCTGGGTGAACTCAGGGTCCGTCTAGACTGGTGACAGTGTTCTTGGGGACTGTCTCGAGATCCATTAAGCAAGTCGAAGCTCCTGACTTGTTTGAATGGGATCACGGAATAGCTCTGCATGCACTGCAGGGGAATGGGGCCTCATCTCGCCTCTAGGGGGAAGTCTCACGGTTTTTCTCGAGTTGCGGCGGGGACCTGGGGTATGTTCTCGACTTACGGCGGGGATGGCCCTTCAAAACACGAGTTTCTCCAGTGACGTCAGGACTCCTGCCTAGTAACGAGGGACACCTCAGGAATCTCTTCGAGGCTTGGCAGGGCAAAAGGGACGCTTCTCGAGGTGAGGCAGGGCACCCAAGGACCCTTTTCAGTAGCCACAGGGATTTTGGGATTCCTATCAGTATTCAAGAGGAGTCAGGCATCGTCACCTTTTGAAGCAATGAACTCCGCGTGCCTCTCGAGGTGTCAGCGGGATGTGAGGCATTCCGTCAAAATGAGGCAGGGGCCTAGGGCTTTCTCAAAGGTCTCCACTGGGTTTCAGACATCCCTTCATGTTGTCAGATCAAAGACGAGCCTGTATTCAAGCCACTGCAAGGAAATCCGGCCTCCTTTCAAGTTAGGGCTTCTCGCTGTATATTCCCCTTGAGGCAGCAAACTCGGGGTCCCTCCCACATACCTATTGCTGAGAGAAGCCTCCTCCTGAGGTGCTTCTGGGAAGTTGGCATACGTCTTGAGCCTAAGCCAGGGAATCAGCTCTCATCTCGAGACGATTTGGGGTACACGGAGCATTCCTCGAGTTGCTTTGCTGAAGTTGGTGTTCCTCTAGACTTGGGACAGTGTTCTCGGGGCATCTCTGGAGTTGCCTGAAGGAAGTCGAGCCACCGGTCGTGTTGAATGGGGAACGGGGAATGGCTCTGGAGTCAATGCAGGGGAATCGGGCCTCATCTCGAGTTGATTTGGGGCACATGGAGCAGCGTTGCGTTGCTGGGGTGACCTCAGGGTCCGTCTAGACTGGTGACAGTGTTCTTGGGGACTGTCTCGAGATCCATTAAGCATGTCGAAGCTCCTGACTTGTTTGAATGTGATCACGGAATAGCTCTGCATGCACTGCAGGGGAATGGGGCCTCATCTCGCCTCTAGGGGGAAGTCTCATGGTTTTTCTCGAGTTGCGGCGGGGACGTGGGGTATGTTCTCGACTTACGGCGGGGATGGCCCTTCAAAACACGAGTTTCTCCAGTGACGTCAGGACTCCTGCCTAGTAACGAGGGACACCTCAGGAATCTCTTCGAGGCTTGGCAGGGCAAAAGGGACGCTTTTCGAGGTGAGGCAGGGCACCCAAGGACCCTTTCCAGTAGCCACAGGGATTTTGGGATTCCTATCAGTATTCAAGAGGAGTCAGGCATCGTCACCTTTTGAAGCAATGAACTCCGCGTGCCTCTCGAGGTGTCAGCGGGATGTGAGGCATTCCGTCAAAATGAGGCAGGGACCTACGGCTTTCTCTAAGGTCTCCACAGGGGATTCAGACATCCCTTCACGTTGTGAGATGAAAGACAAGCCTGTATTCAAGCTACTGCAAGGAAATCTGGCCTCCTTTCAAGTTAGGGCTTCTCGATGTATATTCCTCTTGAGGCAGCAAACTCGGAGTCCCTCCCACATACCTATTGCTGAGAAGCCTCCTCCTGAGGTGCTTCTGGAAAGTTGGCATACGTCTTGAGCCTAAGCCAGGGAATCAGCTCTCATCTCGAGACGATTTGGGGTACACGGAGCATTCCTCGAGTTGCTGTGCTGAAGTTGGTGTTCCTCTAGCCTTGGGACAGTGTTCTCGGGGAATCTGTGGAGTTGCCTGAAGGAAGTCGAGCCACCGGTCGTCTTGAATGAGGAAAGGGGAATGGCTCTGGAGTCAATGCAGGGGAATCGGGCCTCATCTCGTGTTGATTTGGGGCACATGGAGCAGATTTGCGTTGCTGGGGTGACCTCAGGGTCCGTCTAGACTGGTGACAGTGTTCTTGGGGACTGTCTCGAGATCCATTAAGCAAGTCGAAGCTCCTGATTCGTTTGAATGGGATCACGGAATAGCTCTGCATGCACTGCAGGGGAATGGGGCCTCATCTCGCCTCTAGGGGGAAGTCTCACGGTTTTTCTCGAGTTGCGGCGGGGACCTGGGGTATGTTCTCGACTTACGGCGGGGATGGCCCTTCAAAACACGAGTTTCTCCAGTGACGTCTGGACTCCTGCCTAGTAACGAGGGACACCTCAGCAATCTCTTCGAGGCTTGGCAGGGCAAAAGGAACGCTTCTCGAGGTGAGGCAGGGCACCCAAGGACCCTTTCCAGTAGCCACAGGGATTTTGGGATTCCTATCAGTATTCAAGAGGAGTCAGGCATCGTCACCTTTTGAAGCAATGAACTCCGCGTGCCTCTCGAGGTGTCAGCGGGATGTGAGGCATTCCGTCAAAATGAGGCAGGGACCTACGGCTTTCTCTAAGGTCTCCACAGGGGATTCAGACATCCCTTCACGTTGTGAGATGAAAGACAAGCCTGTATTCAAGCTACTGCAAGGAAATCTGGCCTCCTTTCAAGTTAGGGCTTCTCGATGTATATTCCTCTTGAGGCAGCAAACTCGGAGTCCCTCCCACATACCTATTGCTGAGAAGCCTCCTCCTGAGGTGCTTCTGGAAAGTTGGCATACGTCTTGAGCCTAAGCCAGGGAATCAGCTCTCATCTCGAGACGATTTGGGGTACACGGAGCATTCCTCGAGTTGCTGTGCTGAAGTTGGTGTTCCTCTAGCCTTGGGACAGTGTTCTCGGGGCAACTCTGGAGTTGCCTGAAGGAAGTCGAGCCACCGGTCGTGTTGAATGGGGAGCGGGGAATGGCTCTGGAGTCAATGCAGGGGAATCGGGCCTCATCTCGAGTTGATTTGGGGCACATGGAGCAGCTTTGCGTTGCTGGGGTGACCTCAGGGTCCGTCTAGACTTATGACAGTGTTCTTGGGGACTGTCTCGAGATCCATTAAGCAAGTCGAATCTCCTGACTTGTTTGAATGGGATCACGGAATAGCTCTGCATGCACTGCAGGGGAATGGGGCCTCATCTCGCCTCTAGGGGGAAGTCTCATGGTTTTTCTCGAGTTGCGGCGGGGACCTGGGGTGTGTTCTCGACTTACGGCGGGGATGGCACTTCAAAACACGAGTTTCTCCAGTGACGTCAGGACTCCTGCCTAGTAACGAGGGACACCTCACGAATCTCTTCGAGGCTTGGCAGGGCAAAAGGGACGCTTCTCAAGGTGAGGCTGGGCACCCAAGGACCCTTTCCAGTAGCCACAGGGATTTTGGGATTCCTATCAGTATTCAAGAGGAGTCAGGCATCGTCACCTTTGAAGCAATGAACTCCGCGTGCCTCTCGAGGTGTCAGCGGGATGTGAGGCATTCCGTCAAAATGAGGCAGGGACCTAGGGCTTTCTCTAAGGACTCCACAGGGGATTCAGACATCCCTTCATGTTGTGAGATGAAAGACAAGCCTGTATTCAAGCTACTGCAAGGAAATCTGGCCTCCTTTCAAGTTAGGGCTTCTCGATGTATATTCCTCTTGAGGCAGCAAACTCGGAGTCCCTCCCACATACCTATTGCTGAGAAGCCTCCTCCTGAGGTGCTTCTGGAAAGTTGGCATACGTCTTGAGCCTAAGCCAGGGAATCAGCTCTCATCTCGAGACGATTTGGGGTACACGGAGCATTCCTCGAGTTGCTTTGCTGAAGTTGGTGTTCCTCTAGACTTGGGAAAGTGTTCTCGGGGCATCTCTGGAGTTGCCTGAAGGAAGTCGAGCCACCGGTCTTGTTGAATGGGGAACGGGGAATGGCTCTGGAGTCAATGCAGGGGAATCGGGCCTCATCTCGAGTTGATTTGGGGCACATGGAGCAGCTTTGCGTTGCTGGGGTGACCTCAGGGTCCGTCTAGACTGGTGACAGTGTTCTTGGGGACTGTCTCGAGATCCATTAAGCAAGTCGAAGCTCCTGACTTGTTTGAATGGGATCACGGAATAGCTCTGCATGCACTGCAGGGGAATGGGGCCTCATCTCGCCTCTAGGGGGAAGTCTCATGGTTTTTCTCGAGTTGCGGCGGGGACCTGGGGTATGTTCTCAACTTACGGCGGGGATGGCCCTTCAAAACACGAGTTTCTCCAGTGACGTCAGGACTCCTGCCTAGTAACGAGGGCCACCTCAGGAATCTCTTCGAGGCTTGGCAGGGCAAAAGGGACGCTTCTCGAGGTGAGGCAGGGCACCCAAGGACCCTTTCCAGTAGCCACAGGGATTTTGGGATTCCTATCAGTATTCAAGAGGAGTCAGGCATCGTCACCTTTTGAAGCAATGAACTCCGCGTGCCTCTCGAGGTGTCAGCGGGATGTGAGGCATTCCGTCAAAATGAGGCAGGGACCTAGGGCTTTCTCTAAGGACTCCACAGGGGATTCAGACATCCCTTCATGTTGTGAGATGAAAGACAAGCCTGTATTCAAGCTACTGCAAGGAATTCTGGCCTCCTTTCAAGTTAGGGCTTCTCGATGTATATTCCTCTTGAGGCAGCAAACTCGGAGTCCCTCCCACATACCTATTGCTGAGAAGCCTCCTCCTGAGGTGCTTCTGGAAAGTTGGCATACGTCTTGAGCCTAAGCCAGGGAATCAGCTCTCATCTCGAGACGATTTGGGGTACACGGAGCATTCCTCGAGTTGCTGTGCTGAAGTTGGTGTTCCTCTAGACTTGGGACAGTGTTCTCGGGGCATCTCTGGAGTTGCCTGAAGGAAGTCGAGCCACTGGTCTTGTTGAATGGGGAACGGGGAATGGCTCTGGAGTCAATGCAGGGGAATCCGGCCTCATCTCGAGTTGATTTGGGGCACATGGAGCTGCTTTGCATTGCTGGCTGACCTCAGGGTCCGTCTAGACTGGTGACAGTGTTCTTGGGGACTGTCTCGAGATCCATTAAGCAAGTCGAAGCTCCTGACTTGTTTGAATGGGATCACGGAATAGCTCTGCAGGCACTGCAGGGGAATGGGGCCTCATCTCGCCTCTAGGGGGAAGTCTCACGGTTTATCTCGAGTTGCGGCGAGCACCTGGGGTATGTTCTCGACTTACGGCGGGGATGGCCCTTCAAAACACGAGTTTCTCCAGTGACGTCAGGACTCCTGCCTAGTAACGAGGGACACCTCAGGAATCTCTTCGAGGCTTGGCAGGGCAAAAGGGACGCTTCTCGAGGTGAGGCAGGGCACCCAAGGACCCTTTCCAGTAGCCACAGGGATTTTGGGATTCCTATCAGTATTCAAGAGGAGTCAGGCATCGTCACCTTTTGAAGCAATTAACTCCGCGTGCCTCTCGAGGAGTCAGCGGGATGTGAGGCATTCCGTCAAAATGAGGCAGGGACCTAGGTCTTTCTCTAAGGACTCCACAGGGGATTCAGACATCCCTTCATGTTGTGAGATGAAAGACAAGCCTGTATTCAAGCTACTGCAAGGAAATCTGGCCTCCTTTCAAGTTAGGGCTTCTCGATGTATATTCCTCTTGAGGCAGCAAACTCGGAGTCCCTCCCACATACCTATTGCTGAGAAGCCTCCTCCTGAGGTGCTTCTGGAAAGTTGGCATACGTCTTGAGCCTAAGCCAGGGAATCAGCTCTCATCTCGAGACGACTTGGGGTACACGGAGCATTCCTCGAGTTGCTGTGCTGAAGTTCGTGTTCCTCTAGACTTGGGACAGTGTTCTCTGGGCATCTCTGGAGTTGCCTGAAGGAAGTCGAGCCACTGGTCGTGTTGAATGGGGAACGGGGAATGGCTCTGGAGTCAATGCAGGGGAATCCGGCCTCATCTCGAGTTGATTTGGGGCACATGGAGCTGCTTTGCATTGCTGGGTGACCTCAGGGTCCGTCTAGACTGGTGACAGTGTTCTTGGGGACTGTCTCGAGATCCATTAAGCAAGTCGAATCTCCTGACTTGTTTGAATGGGATCACAGAATAGCTCTGCATGCACTGCAGGGGAATGGGGCCTCATCTCGCCTCTAGGGGGAAGTCTCACGGTTTTTCTCGAGTTGCGGCGGGGACCTGGGGTATGTTAGCGACTTACGGCGGGGATGGCCCTTCAAAACACGAGTTTCTCCAGTGACGTCAGGACTCCTGCCTAGTAACGAGGGACACCTCAGGAATCTCTTCGAGGCTTGGCAGGGCAAAAGGGACGCTTCTCGAGGTGAGGCAGGACACCCAAGGACCCTTTTCAGTAGCCACAGGGATTTTGGGATTCCTATCAGTATTCAAGAGGAGTCAGGCATCGTCACCTTTTGAAGCAATGAACTCCGCGTGACTCTCGAGGTGTCAGCGGGATGTGAGGCATTCCGTCAAAATGAGGCAGGGACCTAGGGCTTTCTCTAAGGTCTCCACAGGGGATTCAGACATCCCTTCATGTTGTCAGATCAAAGACGAGCCTGTATTCAAGCCACTGCAAGGAAATCCGGCCTCCTTTCAAGTTAGGGCTTCTCGCTGTATATTCCCCTTGAGGCAGCAAACTCGGGGTCCCTCCCACATACCTATTGCTGAGAGAAGCCTCCTCCTGAGGTGCTTCTGGAAAGTTGGCATACGTCTTGAGCGTAAGCCAGGGAATCAGCTCTCATCTCGAGATGATTTGGGGTACACGGAGCATTCCTCGAGTTGCTTTGCTGAAGTTGGTGTTCCTCTAGACTTGGGAAAGTGTTCTCGGGGCATCTCTGGAGTTGCCTGAAGGAAGTCGAGCCACCGGTCTTGTTGAATGGGGAACGGGGAATGGCTCTGGAGTCAATGCAGGGGAATCGGGCCTCATCTCGAGTTGATTTGGGGCACATGGAGCAGCTTTGCGTTGCTGGGGTGACCTCAGGGTCCGTCTAGACTGGTGACAGTGTTCTTGGGGACTGTCTCGAGATCCATTAAGCAAGTCGAAGCTCCTGACTTGTTTGAATGGGATCACGGAATAGCTCTGCATGCACTGCAGGGGAATGGGGCCTCATCTCGCCTCTAGGGGGAAGTCTCATGGTTTTTCTCGAGTTGCGGCGGGGACCTGGGGTATGTTCTCGACTTACGGCGGGGATGGCCCTTCAAAACACGAGTTTCTCCAGTGACGTCAGGACTCCTGCCTAGTAACGAGGGCCACCTCAGGAATCTCTTCGAGGCTTGGCAGGGCAAAAGGGACGCTTCTCGAGGTGAGGCAGGGCACCCAAGGACCCTTTCCAGTAGCCACAGGGATTTTGGGATTCCTATCAGTATTCAAGAGGAGTCAGGCATCGTCACCTTTTGAAGCAATGAACTCCGCGTTCCTCTCGAGGTGTCAGCGGGATGTGAGGCATTCCGTCAAAATGAGGCAGGGACCTACGGCTTTCTCTAAGGTCTCCAAGGGGATTCAGACATCCCTTCATGTTGTGAGATGAAAGACAAGCCTGTATTCAAGCTACTGCAAGGAAATCTGGCCTCCTTTCAAGTTAGGGCTTCTCGATGTATATTCCTCTTGAGGCAGCAAACTCGGAGTCCCTCCCACATACCGATTGCTGAGAAGCCTCCTCCTGAGGTGCTTCTGGAAAGCGGGCATACGTCTTGAGCCTAAGCCAGGGAATCAGCTCTCATCTCGAGACGATTTGGGGTACACGGAGCATTCCTCGAGTTGCTGTGCTGAAGTTCGTGTTCCTCTAGACTTGGGACAGTGTTCTCGGGGCATCTCTGGAGTTGCCTGAAGGAAGTCGAGCCACCGGTCGCGTTGAATGGGGAACGGGGAATGGCTCTGGAGTCAATGCAGGGGAATCCGGCCTCATCTCGAGTTGATTTGGGGCACATGGAGCTGCTTTGCATTGCTGGGTGAACTCAGGGTCCGTCTAGACTGGTGACAGTGTTCTTGGGGACTGTCTCGAGATCCATTAAGCAAGTCGAAGCTCCTGACTTGTTTGAATGGGATCACGGAATAGCTCTGCATGCACTGCAGGGGAATGGGGCCTCATCTCGCCTCTAGGGGGAAGTCTCACGGTTTTTCTCGAGTTGCGGCGGGGACCTGGGGTATGTTCTCGACTTACGGCGGGGATGGCCCTTCAAAACACGAGTTTCTCCAGTGACGTCAGGACTCCTGCCTAGTAACGAGGGACACCTCAGGAATCTCTTCGAGGCTTGGCAGGGCAAAAGGGACGCTTCTCGAGGTGAGGCAGGGCACCCAAGGACCCTTTTCAGTAGCCACAGGGATTTTGGGATTCCTATCAGTATTCAAGAGGAGTCAGGCATCGTCACCTTTTGAAGCAATGAACTCCGCGTGCCTCTCGAGGTGTCAGCGGGATGTGAGGCATTCCGTCAAAATGAGGCAGGGGCCTAGGGCTTTCTCAAAGGTCTCCACTGGGTTTCAGACATCCCTTCATGTTGTCAGATCAAAGACGAGCCTGTATTCAAGCCACTGCAAGGAAATCCGGCCTCCTTTCAAGTTAGGGCTTCTCGCTGTATATTCCCCTTGAGGCAGCAAACTCGGGGTCCCTCCCACATACCTATTGCTGAGAGAAGCCTCCTCCTGAGGTGCTTCTGGGAAGTTGGCATACGTCTTGAGCCTAAGCCAGGGAATCAGCTCTCATCTCGAGACGATTTGGGGTACACGGAGCATTCCTCGAGTTGCTTTGCTGAAGTTGGTGTTCCTCTAGACTTGGGACAGTGTTCTCGGGGCATCTCTGGAGTTGCCTGAAGGAAGTCGAGCCACCGGTCGTGTTGAATGGGGAACGGGGAATGGCTCTGGAGTCAATGCAGGGGAATCGGGCCTCATCTCGAGTTGATTTGGGGCACATGGAGCAGCGTTGCGTTGCTGGGGTGACCTCAGGGTCCGTCTAGACTGGTGACAGTGTTCTTGGGGACTGTCTCGAGATCCATTAAGCATGTCGAAGCTCCTGACTTGTTTGAATGGGATCACGGAATAGCTCTGCATGCACTGCAGGGGAATGGGGCCTCATCTCGCCTCTAGGGGGAAGTCTCATGGTTTTTCTCGAGTTGCGGCGGGGACCTGGGGTATGTTCTCGACTTACGGCGGGGATGGCCCTTCAAAACACGAGTTTCTCCAGTGACGTCAGGACTCCTGCCTAGTAACGAGGGACACCTCAGGAATCTCTTCGAGGCTTGGCAGGGCAAAAGGGACGCTTTTCGAGGTGAGGCAGGGCACCCAAGGACCCTTTCCAGTAGCCACAGGGATTTTGGGATTCCTATCAGTATTCAAGAGGAGTCAGGCATCGTCACCTTTTGAAGCAATGAACTCCGCGTGCCTCTCGAGGTGTCAGCGGGATGTGAGGCATTCCGTCAAAATGAGGCAGGGACCTACGGCTTTCTCTAAGGTCTCCACAGGGGATTCAGACATCCCTTCACGTTGTGAGATGAAAGACAAGCCTGTATTCAAGCTACTGCAAGGAAATCTGGCCTCCTTTCAAGTTAGGGCTTCTCGATGTATATTCCTCTTGAGGCAGCAAACTCGGAGTCCCTCCCACATACCTATTGCTGAGAAGCCTCCTCCTGAGGTGCTTCTGGAAAGTTGGCATACGTCTTGAGCCTAAGCCAGGGAATCAGCTCTCATCTCGAGACGATTTGGGGTACACGGAGCATTCTTCGAGTTGCTGTGCTGAAGTTGGTGTTCCTCTAGCCTTGGGACAGTGTTCTCGGGGCAACTCTGGAGTTGCCTGAAGGAAGTCGAGCCACCGGTCGTGTTGAATGGGGAGCGGGGAATGGCTCTGGAGTCAATGCAGGGGAATCGGGCCTCATCTCGAGTTGATTTGGGGCACATGGAGCAGCTTTGCGTTGCTGGGGTGACCTCAGGGTCCGTCTAGACTTATGACAGTGTTCTTGGGGACTGTCTCGAGATCCATTAAGCAAGTCGAATCTCCTGACTTGTTTGAATGGGATCACGGAATAGCTCTGCATGCACTGCAGGGGAATGGGGCCTCATCTCGCCTCTAGGGGGAAGTCTCATGGTTTTTCTCGAGTTGCGGCGGGGACCTGGGGTATGTTCTCGACTTACGGCGGGGATGGCACTTCAAAACACGAGTTTCTCCAGTGACGTCAGGACTCCTGCCTAGTAACGAGGGACACCTCAGGAATCTCTTCGAGGCTTGGCAGGGCAAAAGGGACGCTTCTCAAGGTGAGGCTGGGCACCCAAGGACCCTTTCCAGTAGCCACAGGGATTTTGGGATTCCTATCAGTATTCAAGAGGAGTCAGGCATCGTCACCTTTGAAGCAATGAACTCCGCGTGCCTCTCGAGGTGTCAGCGGGATGTGAGGCATTCCGTCAAAATGAGGCAGGGACCTAGGGCTTTCTCTAAGGACTCCACAGGGGATTCAGACATCCCTTCATGTTGTGAGATGAAAGACAAGCCTGTATTCAAGCTACTGCAAGGAAATCTGGCCTCCTTTCAAGTTAGGGCTTCTCGATGTATATTCCTCTTGAGGCAGCAAACTCGGAGTCCCTCCCACATACCTATTGCTGAGAAGCCTCCTCCTGAGGTGCTTCTGGAAAGTTGGCATACGTCTTGAGCCTAAGCCAGGGAATCAGCTCTCATCTCGAGACGATTTGGGGTACACGGAGCATTCCTCGAGTTGCTTTGCTGAAGTTGGTGTTCCTCTAGACTTGGGAAAGTGTTCTCGGGGCATCTCTGGAGTTGCCTGAAGGAAGTCGAGCCACCGGTCTTGTTGAATGGGGAACGGGGAATGGCTCTGGAGTCAATGCAGGGGAATCGGGCCTCATCTCGAGTTGATTTGGGGCACATGGAGCAGCTTTGCGTTGCTGGGGTGACCTCAGGGTCCGTCTAGACTGGTGACAGTGTTCTTGGGGACTGTCTCGAGATCCATTAAGCAAGTCGAAGCTCCTGACTTGTTTGAATGGGATCACGGAATAGCTCTGCATGCACTGCAGGGGAATGGGGCCTCATCTCGCCTCTAGGGGGAAGTCTCATGGTTTTTCTCGAGTTGCGGCGGGGACCTGGGGTATGTTCTCGACTTACGGCGGGGATGGCCCTTCAAAACACGAGTTTCTCCAGTGACGTCAGGACTCCTGCCTAGTAACGAGGGCCACCTCAGGAATCTCTTCGAGGCTTGGCAGGGCAAAAGGGACGCTTCTCGAGGTGAGGCAGGGCACCCAAGGACCCTTTCCAGTAGCCACAGGGATTTTGGGATTCCTATCAGTATTCAAGAGGAGTCAGGCATCGTCACCTTTTGAAGCAATGAACTCCGCGTTCCTCTCGAGGTGTCAGCGGGATGTGAGGCATTCCGTCAAAATGAGGCAGGGACCTACGGCTTTCTCTAAGGTCTCCAAGGGGATTCAGACATCCCTTCATGTTGTGAGATGAAAGACAAGCCTGTATTCAAGCTACTGCAAGGAAATCTGGCCTCCTTTCAAGTTAGGGCTTCTCGATGTATATTCCTCTTGAGGCAGGAAACTCGGAGTCCCTCCCACATACCGATTGCTGAGAAGCCTCCTCCTGAGGTGCTTCTGGAAAGCTGGCATACGTCTTGAGCCTAAGCCAGGGAATCAGCTCTCATCTCGAGACGGTTTGGGGTACACGGAGCATTCCTCGAGTTGCTGTGCTGAAGTTCGTGTTCCTCTAGACTTGGGACAGTGTTCTCGGGGCATCTCTGGAGTTGCCTGAAGGAAGTCGAGCCACCGGTCGTGTTGAATGGGGAACGGGGAATGGCTCTGGAGTCAATGCAGGGGAATCCGGCCTCATCTCGAGTTGATTTGGGGCACATGGAGCTGCTTTGCATTGCTGGGTGACCTCAGGGTCCGCCTAGACTGGTGACAGTGTTCTTGGGGACTGTCTCGAGATCCATTAAGCAAGTCGAAGCTCCTGACTTGTTTGAATGGGATCACGGAATAGCTCTGCATGCACTGCAGGGGAATGGGGCCTCATCTCGCCTCTAGGGGGAAGTCTCACGGTTTTTCTCGAGTTGCGGCGGGGACCTGGGGTATGTTCTCGACTTACGGCGGGGATGGCCCTTCAAAACACGAGTTTCTCCAGTGACGTCAGGACTCCTGCCTAGTAACGAGGGACACCTCAGGAATCTCTTCGAGGCTTGGCAGGGCAAAAGGGACGCTTCTCGAGGTGAGGCAGGGCACCCAAGGACCCTTTTCAGTAGCCACAGGGATTTTGGGATTCCTATCAGTATTCAAGAGGAGTCAGGCATCGTCACCTTTTGAAGCAATGAACTCCGCGTGCCTCTCGAGGTGTCAGCGGGATGTGAGGCATTCCGTCAAAATGAGGCAGGGACCTAGGGCTTTCTCTAAGGTCTCCACTGGGTTTCAGACATCCCTTCATGTTGTCAGATCAAAGACGAGCCTGTATTCAAGCCACTGCAAGGAAATCTGGCCTCCTTTCAAGTTAGGGCTTCTCGATGTATATTCCTCTTGAGGCAGCAAACTCGGAGTCCCTCCCACATACCTATTGCTGAGAAGCCTCCTCCTGAGGTGCTTCTGGAAAGTTGGCATACGTCTTGAGCCTAAGCCAGGGAATCAGCTCTCATCTCGAGACGATTTGGGGTACACGGAGCATTCCTCGAGTTGCTGTGCTGAAGTTGGTGTTCCTCTAGCCTTGGGACAGTGTTCTCGGGGAATCTGTGGAGTTGCCTGAAGGAAGTCGAGCCACCGGTCGTCTTGAATGAGGAAAGGGGAATGGCTCTGGAGTCAATGCAGGGGAATCGGGCCTCATCTCGTGTTGATTTGGGGCACATGGAGCAGATTTGCGTTGCTGGGGTGACCTCAGGGTCCGTCTAGACTGGTGACAGTGTTCTTGGGGACTGTCTCGAGATCCATTAAGCAAGTCGAAGCTCCTGATTCGTTTGAATGGGATCACGGAATAGCTCTGCATGCACTGCAGGGGAATGGGGCCTCATCTCGCCTCTAGGGGGAAGTCTCACGGTTTTTCTCGAGTTGCGGCGGGGACCTGGGGTATGTTCTCGACTTACGGCGGGGATGGCCCTTCAAAACACGAGTTTCTCCAGTGACGTCTGGACTCCTGCCTAGTAACGAGGGACACCTCAGCAATCTCTTCGAGGCTTGGCAGGGCAAAAGGAACGCTTCTCGAGGTGAGGCAGGGCACCCAAGGACCCTTTTCAGTAGCCACAGGGATTTTGGGATTCCTATCAGTATTCAAGAGGAGTCAGGCATCGTCACCTTTTGAAGCAATGAACTCCGCGTGCCTCTCGAGGTGTCAGCGGGATGTGAGGCATTCCGTCAAAATGAGGCAGGGACCTACGGCTTTCTCTAAGGTCTCCACAGGGGATTCAGACATCCCTTCACGTTGTGAGATGAAAGACAAGCCTGTATTCAAGCTACTGCAAGGAAATCTGGCCTCCTTTCAAGTTAGGGCTTCTCGATGTATATTCCCCTTGAGGCAGCAAACTCGGAGTCCCTCCCACATACCTATTGCTGAGAAGCCTCCTCCTGAGGTGCTTCTGGAAAGTTGGCATACGTCTTGAGCCTAAGCCAGGGAATCAGCTCTCAACTCGAGACGATTTGTGGTACACGGAGCATTCCTCGAGTTGCTGTGCTGTAGTTGGTGTTCCTCTAGACTTGGGAAACTGTTCTCTGGGCATCTCTGGAGTTGCCTGAAGGAAGTCGAGCCACTGGTCTTGTTGAATGGGGAACGGGGAATGGCTCTGGAGTCAATGCAGGGAATCGGGCCTCATCTCGAGTTGATTTGGGGCACATGGAGCAGCTTTGCGTTGCTGGGGTGACCTCAGGATCCGTCTAGACTCGTGACAGTGTTCTTGGGGACTGTCTCGAGATCCATTAAGCAAGTCGAAGCTCCTGACTTGTTTGAATGGGATCACGGAATAGCTCTGCATGCACTGCAGGGGAATGGGGCCTCATCTCGCCTCTAGGGGGGAGTCTCTTGGTTTTTCTCGAGTTGCGGCGGGGACCTGGGGTATGTTCTCGACTTACGGCGGGGATGGCCCTTCAAAACACGAGTTTCTTCAGTGACGTCAGGACTCCTGCCTAGTAACGAGGGACACCTCAGGAATCTCTTCGAGGCTTGGCAGGGCAAAAGGGACGCTTCTCGAGGTGAGGCAGGGCACCCAAGGACCCTTTCCAGTAGCCACAGGGATTTTGGGATTCCTATCAGTATTCAAGAGGAGTCAGGCATCGTCACCTTTTGAAGCAATGAACTCAGCGTGCCTCTCGAGGTGTCAGCGGGATGTGAGGCATTCCGTCAAAATGAGGCAGGGACCTAGGGCTTTCTCTAAGGTCTCCACAGGGGATTCAGTCATCCCTTCAAGTTGTGAGATGAAAGACAAGCCTGTATTCAATCTATTGCATGGAAATCCGGACTCCTTTCAAGTTAGGGCTTCTCGCTGTATATTCCCCTTGAGGCAGCATACTCGGAGTCCCTCCCACATACCTATTGCTGAGAAGCCTCCTCCTGAGGTGCTTCTGGAAAGTTGGCATACGTCTTGAGCCTAAGCCAGGGAATCAGCTCTCATCTCGAGATAATTTGGGGTACACGGAGCATTCCTCGAGTTGCTGTGCTGAAGTTGGTGTTCCTCTAGACTTGGGACAGTGTTCTCGGGGCATCTCTGGAGTTGCCTGAAGGAAGGCGAGCCACCGGTCGTGTTGAACGGGGAACGGGGAATGGCTCTGGAGTCAATGCAGGGGAATCGGGCCTCATCTCCTGTTGATTTGGGGCACATGGAGCTGCTTTGCTTTGATGGGGTGACCTCAGGGTCCGTCTAGACTGGTGACAGTGTTCTTGGGGACTGTCTCGAGATCCATTAAGCAAGTCGAAGCTCCTGACTTGTTTGAATGGGATCACAGAATAGCTCTGCATGCACTGCAGGGGAATGGGGCCTCATCTCGCCTCTAGGGGGAAGTCTCATGGTTTTTCTCGAGTTGCGGCGGGGACCTGGGGTATGTTCTCGACTTACGGCGGGGATGGCCCTTCAAAACACGAGTTTCTCCAGTGACGTCAGGACTCCTGCCTAGTAACGAAGGACACCTCAGGAATCTCTTCGAGGCTTGGCAGGGCAAAAGGGACGCTTCTCGAGGTGAGTCAGGGCACCCAAGGACCCTTTTCAGTAGCCACAGGGATTTTGGGATTCCTATCAGTATTCAAGAGGAGTCAGGCATCGTCACCTTTTGAAGCAATGAACTCCGCGTGCCTCGGGAGGTGTCAGGGGGATGTGAGGTATTCCGTCAAAATGACGCAGGGACCTAGGGCTTCCTCTAAGGTCTCCACAGGGGATTCAGACATCCCTTCATGTTTTCAGATCAAAGACGAGCCTGTATTCAACCCACCGCAAGGAAATCTGGCCTCCGTTCACTTTAGGGCTTCTCCCTGTGTATTCCCCTTGAGGCAGCAAACTCGGGGTCCCTCCCACATACCTATTGCTCAGAGAAGCCTCCTCCTGAGGTGCTTCTGGAAAGTTGGCATACGTCTTGAGCCTAAGCCAGGGAATCAGCTCTCATCTCGAGATGATTTGGGGTACACGGAGCATTCCTCGAGTTGCTGTGCTGAAGTTGGTGTTCCTCTAGACTTGGGACAGTGTTCTCGGGGCATCTCTGGAGTTGACTGAAGGAAGTCGAGCCACCGGTCGTGTTGAATGGGGAACGGGGAATGTCTCTGGAGTCAATGCAGGGGAATCGGGCCTCATCTCGAGTTGATTTGGGGCACATGGAGCAGCTTTGCGTTGTTGGGGTGACCTCAGGGTCCGTCTACACTGGTGACAGTGTTCTTGGGGACTGTCTCGAGATCCATTAAGCAAGTCGAAGCTCCTGACTTGTTTGAATGGGATCACGGAATAGCTCTGCATGCACTGCAGGGGAATGGGGCCTCATCTCGCCTCTAGGGGGAAGTCTCACGGTTTTTCTCGAGTTGCGGCGGGGACCTGGGGTATGTTCTCGACTTACGGCGGGGATGGCCCTTCAAAACACGAGTTTCTCCAGTGACGTCAGGACTCCTGCCTAGTAACGAGGGACACCTCAGGAATCTCTTCGAGGCTTGGCAGGGCAAAAGGGACGCTTCTCGAGGTGAGGCAGGGCACCCAAGGACCCTTTTCAGTAGCCACAGGGATTTTGGGATTCCTATCAGTATTCAAGAGGAGTCAGGCATCGTCACCTTTTGAAGCAATGAACTCCGCGTGCCTCTCGAGGTGTCAGCGGGATGTGAGGCATTCCGTCAAAATGAGGCAGGGACCTAGGGCTTTCTCTAAGGTCTCCACTGGGTTTCAGACATCCCTTCATGTTGTCAGATCAAAGACGAGCCTGTATTCAAGCCACTGCAAGGAAATCTGGCCTCCTTTCAAGTTAGGGCTTCTCGATGTATATTCCTCTTGAGGCAGCAAACTCGGAGTCCCTCCCACATACCTATTGCTGAGAAGCCTCCTCCTGAGGTGCTTCTGGAAAGTTGGCATACGTCTTGAGCCTAAGCCAGGGAATCAGCTCTCATCTCGAGACGATTTGGGGTACACGGAGCATTCCTCGAGTTGCTGTGCTGAAGTTGGTGTTCCTCTAGCCTTGGGACAGTGTTCTCGGGGAATCTGTGGAGTTGCCTGAAGGAAGTCGAGCCACCGGTCGTCTTGAATGAGGAAAGGGGAATGGCTCTGGAGTCAATGCAGGGGAATCGGGCCTCATCTCGTGTTGATTTGGGGCACATGGAGCAGATTTGCGTTGCTGGGGTGACCTCAGGGTCCGTCTAGACTGGTGACAGTGTTCTTGGGGACTGTCTCGAGATCCATTAAGCAAGTCGAAGCTCCTGATTCGTTTGAATGGGATCACGGAATAGCTCTGCATGCACTGCAGGGGAATGGGGCCTCATCTCGCCTCTAGGGGGAAGTCTCACGGTTTTTCTCGAGTTGCGGCGGGGACCTGGGGTATGTTCTCGACTTACGGCGGGGATGGCCCTTCAAAACACGAGTTTCTCCAGTGACGTCTGGACTCCTGCCTAGTAACGAGGGACACCTCAGCAATCTCTTCGAGGCTTGGCAGGGCAAAAGGAACGCTTCTCGAGGTGAGGCAGGGCACCCAAGGACCCTTTCCAGTAGCCACAGGGATTTTGGGATTCCTATCAGTATTCAAGAGGAGTCAGGCATCGTCACCTTTTGAAGCAATGAACTCCGCGTGCCTCTCGAGGTGTCAGCGGGATGTGAGGCATTCCGTCAAAATGAGGCAGGGACCTACGGCTTTCTCTAAGGTCTCCACAGGGGATTCAGACATCCCTTCACGTTGTGAGATGAAAGACAAGCCTGTATTCAAGCTACTGCAAGGAAATCTGGCCTCCTTTCAAGTTAGGGCTTCTCGATGTATATTCCCCTTGAGGCAGCAAACTCGGAGTCCCTCCCACATACCTATTGCTGAGAAGCCTCCTCCTGAGGTGCTTCTGGAAAGTTGGCATACGTCTTGAGCCTAAGCCAGGGAATCAGCTCTCAACTCGAGACGATTTGTGGTACACGGAGCATTCCTCGAGTTGCTGTGCTGAAGTTGGTGTTCCTCTAGACTTGGGAAACTGTTCTCTGGGCATCTCTGGAGTTGCCTGAAGGAAGTCGAGCCACTGGTCTTGTTGAATGGGGAACGGGGAATGGCTCTGGAGTCAATGCAGGGGAATCGGGCCTCATCTCGAGTTGATTTGGGGCACATGGAGCAGCTTTGCGTTGCTGGGGTGACCTCAGGATCCGTCTAGACTCGTGACAGTGTTCTTGGGGACTGTCTCGAGATCCATTAAGCAAGTCGAAGCTCCTGACTTGTTTGAATGGGATCACGGAATAGCTCTGCATGCACTGCAGGGGAATGGGGCCTCATCTCGCCTCTAGGGGGGAGTCTCTTGGTTTTTCTCGAGTTGCGGCGGGGACCTGGGGTATGTTCTCGACTTACGGCGGGGATGGCCCTTCAAAACACGAGTTTCTTCAGTGACGTCAGGACTCCTGCCTAGTAACGAGGGACACCTCAGGAATCTCTTCGAGGCTTGGCAGGGCAAAAGGGACGCTTCTCGAGGTGAGGCAGGGCACCCAAGGACCCTTTCCAGTAGCCACAGGGATTTTGGGATTCCTATCAGTATTCAAGAGGAGTCAGGCATCGTCACCTTTTGAAGCAATGAACTCAGCGTGCCTCTCGAGGTGTCAGCGGGATGTGAGGCATTCCGTCAAAATGAGGCAGGGACCTAGGGCTTTCTCTAAGGTCTCCACAGGGGATTCAGTCATCCCTTCAAGTTGTGAGATGAAAGACAAGCCTGTATTCAATCTATTGCATGGAAATCCGGACTCCTTTCAAGTTAGGGCTTCTCGCTGTATATTCCCCTTGAGGCAGCATACTCGGAGTCCCTCCCACATACCTATTGCTGAGAAGCCTCCTCCTGAGGTGCTTCTGGAAAGTTGGCATACGTCTTGAGCCTAAGCCAGGGAATCAGCTCTCATCTCGAGATAATTTGGGGTACACGGAGCATTCCTCGAGTTGCTGTGCTGAAGTTGGTGTTCCTCTAGACTTGGGACAGTGTTCTCGGGGCATCTCTGGAGTTGCCTGAAGGAAGGCGAGCCACCGGTCGTGTTGAATGGGGAACGGGGAATGGCTCTGGAGTCAATGCAGGGGAATCGGGCCTCATCTCCTGTTGATTTGGGGCACATGGAGCTGCTTTGCTTTGATGGGGTGACCTCAGGGTCCGTCTAGACTGGTGACAGTGTTCTTGGGGACTGTCTCGAGATCCATTAAGCAAGTCGAAGCTCCTGACTTGTTTGAATGGGATCACAGAATAGCTCTGCATGCACTGCAGGGGAATGGGGCCTCATCTCGCCTCTAGGGGGAAGTCTCATGGTTTTTCTCGAGTTGCGGCGGGGACCTGGGGTATGTTCTCGACTTACGGCGGGGATGGCCCTTCAAAACACGAGTTTCTCCAGTGACGTCAGGACTCCTGCCTAGTAACGAAGGACACCTCAGGAATCTCTTCGAGGCTTGGCAGGGCAAAAGGGACGCTTCTCGAGGTGAGTCAGTGCACCCAAGGACCCTTTTCAGTAGCCACAGGGATTTTGGAATTCCTATCAGTATTCAAGAGGAGTCAGGCATCGTCACCTTTTGAAGCAATGAACTCCGCGTGCCTCGGGAGGTGTCAGGGGGATGTGAGGTATTCCGTCAAAATGACGCAGGGACCTAGGGCTTCCTCTAAGGTCTCCACAGGGGATTCAGACATCCCTTCATGTTTTCAGATCAAAGACGAGCCTGTATTCAACCCACCGCAAGGAAATCTGGCCTCCGTTCACATTAGGGCTTCTCCCTGTGTATTCCCCTTGAGGCAGCAAACTCGGGGTCCCTCCCACATACCTATTGCTCAGAGAAGCCTCCTCCTGAGGTGCTTCTGGAAAGTTGGCATACGTCTTGAGCCTAAGCCAGGGAATCAGCTCTCATCTCGAGATGATTTGGGGTACACGGAGCATTCCTCGAGTTGCTGTGCTGAAGTTGGTGTTCCTCTAGACTTGGGACAGTGTTCTCGGGGCATCTCTGGAGTTGACTGAAGGAAGTCGAGCCACCGGTCGTGTTGAATGGGGAACGGGGAATGTCTCTAGAGTCAATGCAGGGGAATCGGGCCTCATCTCGAGTTGATTTGGGGCACATGGAGCAGCTTTGCGTTGTTGGGGTGACCTCAGGGTCCGTCTACACTGGTGACAGTGTTCTTGGGGACTGTCTCGAGATCCATTAAGCAAGTCGAAGCTCCTGACTTGTTTGAATGGGATCACGGAATAGCTCTGCATGCACTGCAGGGGAATGGGGCCTCATCTCGCCTCTAGGGGGAAGTCTCACGGTTTTTTTCGAGTTGCGGCGTGGACCTGGGGTATGTTCTCGACTTACGGCGGGGATGGCCCTTCAAAACACGAGTTTCTCCAGTGACGTCAGAACTCCTGCCTAGTAACGAGGGACACCTCAGCAATCTCTTCGAGGCTTGGCAGGGCAAAAGGGACGCTTCTCGAGGTGAGGCAGGGCACCCAAGGACACTTTCCAGTAGCCACAGGGATTTTGGGATTCCTATCAGTATTCAAGAGGAGTCAGGCATGGTCACCTTTTGAAGCAATGAACTCCGCGTGCCTCTCGAGGTGTCAGCGGGATGTGAGGCATTCCGTCAAAATGAGGCAGGGACCTAGGGCTTTCTCTAAGGTCTCCACAGGGGATTCAGACATCCCTTCATGTTGTGAGATGAAAGACAAGCCTGTATTCAAGCTACTGCCAGGAAATCTGGCCTCCTTTCAAGTTAGGGCTTCTCGATGTATATTCCTCTTGAGGCAGCAAACTCAGAGTCCCTCCCACATACCTATTGCTGAGAAGCCTCCTCCTGAGGTGCTTCTGGAAGGTTGGCATACGTCTTGAGCCTAAGCCAGGGAATCAGCTCTCATCTCGAGACAATTTGGGGTACATGGAGCATTCCTCGAGTTGCTGTGCTGAAGTTGGTGTTCCTCTAGACATGGGACAGTGTTCTCAGGGCATCTCTGGAGTTGCCTGAAGGAAGTCGAGCCACCGGTCTTGTTGAATGGGGAACAGGGAATGGCTCTGGAGTCAATGCAGGGGAATCCGGCCTCATCTCGAGTTGATTTGGGGCACATGGAGCTGCTTTGCATTGCTGGGTGACCTCAGGGTCCGTCTAGACTGGTGACAGTGTTCTTGGGGACCCTCTCGAGATCCATTAAGCAAGTCGAAGCTCCTGACTTGTTTGAATGGGATCACGGAATAGCTCTGCATGCACTGCAGGGGAATGGGGCCTCATCTCGCCTCTAGGGGGAAGTCTCACGGTTTTTCTCGAGTTGCGGCGGGGACCTGGGGTATGTTCTCGACTTACGGCGGGGATGGCCCTTCAAAACACGAGTTTCTCCAGTGACGTCAGGACTCCTGCCTAGTAACGAGGGACACCTCAGGAATCTCTTCGAGGCTTGGCAGGGCAAAAGGGACGCTTCTCGAGGTGAGGCAGGGCACCCAAGGACCCTTTCCAGTAGCCACAGGGATTTTGGGATTCCTATCAGTATTCAAGAGGAGTCAGGCATCGTCATCTTTTGAAGCAATGAACTCCGCGTGCCTCTCGAGGTGTCAGCGGGATGTGAGGCATTCCGTCAAAATGAGGCAGGGACCTAGGGCTTTCTCTAAGGTCTCCACAGGGGATTCAGACATCCCTTCATGTTGTGAGATGAAAGACAAGCCTGTATTCAAGCTACTGCAAGGAAATCCGGCCTCCTTTCAAGTTAGGGCTTCTCGATGTATATTCCCCTTGAGGCAGCAAACTCGGAGTCCCTCCCACATACCTATTGCTGTGAAGCCTCCTCCTGAGGTGCTTCTGGAAAGTTGGCATACGTCTTGAGCCTAAGCCAGGGAATCAGCTCTCATCTCGAGACGATTTGGGGTACACAGAGCATTCCTCGAGTTGCTGTGCTGAAGTTGGTGTTCCTCTAGACTTGGGACAGTGTTCTCGGGGCATCTCTGGAGTTGCCTGAAGGAAGTCGAGCCACCGGTCTTGTTGAATGGGGAACGGGGAATGGCTCTGGAGTCAATGCAGGGGAATCGGGCCTCATCTCGAGTTGATTTGGGGCACATGGAGCAGCTTTGCGTTGCTGGGGTGACCTCAGGGTCCGTCTAGACTGGTGACAGTGTTCTTGGGGACTGTCTCGAGATCCATTAAGCAAGTCGAAGCTCCTGACTTGTTTGAATGGGATCACGGAATAGCTCTGCATGCACTGCAGGGGAATGGGGCCTCATCTCGCCTCTAGGGGGGAGTCTCATGGTTTTTCTCGAGTTGCGGCGGGGACCTGGGGTATGTTCTCGACTTACGCCGGGGATGGCCCTTCAAAACTCGAGTTTCTTCAGTGACGTCAGGACTCCTGCCTAGTAACGAGGGACACCTCAGGAATCTCTTCGAGGCTTGGCAGGGCAAAAGGGACGCTTCTCGAGGTGAGGGAGGGCACCCAAGGACCCTTTCCAGTAGCCACAGGGATTTTGGGATTCCTATCAGTATTCAAGAGGAGTCAGGCATCGTCACCTTTTGAAGCAATGAACTCCGCGTGCCTCTCGAGGTGTCAGCGGGATGTGAGGCATTCCGTCAAAATGAGGCAGGGACCTAGGGCTTTCTCTAAGGTCTCCACAGGGGATTCAGACATCCCTTCAAGTTGTGAGATGAAAGACAAGCCTGTATTCAATCTATTGCATGGAAATCCGGACTCCTTTCAAGTTAGGGCTTCTCGCTGTATATTCCCCTTGAGGCAGCAAACTCGGAGTCCCTCCCACATACCTATTGCTGAGAAGCCTCCTCCTGAGGTGCTTCTGGAAAGTTGGCATACGTCTTGAGCCTAAGCCAGGGAATCAGCTCTCATCTCGAGACGATTTGTGGTACACGGAGCATTCCTCGAGTTGCTGTGCTGAAGTTGGTGTTCCTCTAGACTTGGGAAAGTGTTCTCTGGGCATCTCTGGAGTTGCCTGAAGGAAGTCGAGCCACCGGTCTTGTTGAAGGGGAACGGGGAATGGCTCTGTAGTCAATGCAGGGGAATCGGGCCTCATCTCGAGTTGATTTGGGGCACATGGAGCAGCTTTGCGTTGCTGGGGTGACCTCAGGGTCCGTCTAGACTGGTGACAGTGTTCTTGGGGACTGTCTCGAGATCCATTAAGCAAGTCGAAGCTCCTGACTTGTTTGAATGGGATCACGGAATAGCTCTGCATGCACTGCAGGGGAATGGGGCCTCATCTCGCCTCTAGGGGGGAGTCTCACGGTTTTTCTCGAGTTGCGGCGGGGACCTGGGGTATGTTCTCGACTTACGGCGGGGATGGCCCTTCAAAACACGAGTTTCTTCAGTGACGTCAGGACTCCTGCCTAGTAACGAGGGACACCTCAGGAATCTCTTCGAGGCTTGGCAGGGCAAAAGGGACGCTTCTCGAGGTGAGGCAGGGCACCCAAGGACCCTTTCCAGTAGCCACAGGGATTTTGGGATTCCTATCAGTATTCAAGAGGAGTCAGGCATCGTCACCTTTTGAAGCAATGAACTCAGCGTGCCTCTCGAGGTGTCAGCGGGATGTGAGGCATTCCGTCAAAATGAGGCAGGGACCTAGGGCTTTCTCTAAGGTCTCCACAGGGGATTCAGACATCCCTTCAAGTTGTGAGATGAAAGACAAGAGTGTATTCAATCTATTGCATGGAAATCCGGACTCCTTTCAAGTTAGGGCTTCTCGCTGTATATTCCCCTTGAGGCAGCATACTCGGATTCCCTCCCACATACCTATTGCTGAGAAGCCTCCTCCTGAGGTGCTTCTGGAAAGTTGGCATACGTCTTGAGCCTAAGCCAGGGAATCAGCTCTCATCGCGACATGATTTGGGGTACACGGAGCATTCCTCGAGTTGCTGTGCTGAAGTTGGTGTTCCTCTAGACTTGGGACAGTGTTCTCGGGGCATCTCTGGAGTTGCCTGAAGGAAGGCGAGCCACCGGTCGTGTTGAACGGGGAACGGGGAATGGCTCTGGAGTCAATGCAGGGGAATCGGGCCTCATCTCGTGTTGATTTGGGGCACATGGAGCTGCTTTGCTTTGATGAGGTGACCTCAGGGTCCGTCTAGACTGGTGACAGTGTTCTTGGGGACTGTCTCGAGATCCATTAAGCAAGTCGAAGCTCCTGACTTGTTTGAATGGGATCACAGAATAGCTCTGCATGCACTGCAGGGGAATGGGGCCTCATCTCGCCTCTAGGGGGAAGTCTCATGGTTTTTCTCGAGTTGCGGCGGGGACCTGGGGTATGTTCTCGACTTACGGCGGGGATGGCCCTTCAAAACACGAGTTTCTTCAGTGACGTCAGGACTCCTGTCTAGTAATGAGGGACACCTCAGCAATCTCTTCGAGGCTTGGCAGGGCAAAAGGGACGCTTCTCGAGGTGAGGCAGGGCACCCAAGGACCCTTTCCAGTAGCCACAGGGATTTTGGGATTCCTATAAGTATTCAAGAGGAGTCAGGCATCGTCACCTTTTGAAGCAATGAACTCCGCGTGCCTCTCGAGATGTCAGCGGGATGTGAGGCATTCCGTCAAAATGATGCAGGGATCTAGGGCTTTCTCTAAGGTCTCCACAGGGGATTCAGACATCCCTTCATGTTGTGAGATGAAAGACAATCCTGTATTCAAGCTACTGCAAGGAAATCTGGCCTCCTTTCAAGTTAGGGCTTCTCGATGTATATTCCTCTTGAGGCAGCAAACTCGGAGTCCCTCCCACATACCTATTGCTGAGAAGCCTCCTCCTGAGGTGCTTCTGGAAAGTTGGCATACGTCTTGAGCCTAAGCCAGGGAATCAGCTCTCATCTCGATACGATTTGGGGTACACGGAGCATTCCTCGAGTTGCTTTGCTGAAGTTGGTGTTCCTCTAGACTTGGGAAAGTGTTCTCGGGGCATCTCTGGAGTGGCCTGAAGGAAGTCGAGCCACCGGTCGTGTTGAATGGGGAACAGGGAATGGCTCTGGAGTCAATGCAGGGGAATCCGGCCTCATCTCGAGTTGATTTGGGGCACATGGAGCTGCTTTGCATTGCTGGGTGACCTCAGGGTCCGTCTAGACTGGTGACAGTGTTCTTGGGGACTGTCTCGAGATCCATTAAGCAAGTCGAAGCTCCTGACTTGTTTGAAGGGTTCACGGAATAGCTCTGCATGCACTGCAGGGGAATGGGGCCTCATCTCGCCTCTAGGGGGAAGTCTCACGGTTTTTCTCGAGTTGCGGCGGGGACATGGGGTATGTTCTCGACTTACGGCGGGGATGGCCCTTCAAAACACGAGTTTCTCCAGTGACGTCAGGCCTCCTGCCTAGTAACGAGGGACACCTCAGGAATCTCTTCGAGGCTTGGCAGGGCAAAAGGGACGCTTCTCGAGGTGAGGCAGGGCACCCAAGGACCCTTTTCAGTAGCCACAGGGATTTTGGGATTCCTATCAGTATTCAAGAGGAGTCAGGCATCGTCACCTTCTGAAGCAATGAACTCCGCGTGCCTCTGGAGGTGTCAGGGGGATGTGAGGTATTCCGTCAAAATGAGGCAGGGACCTAGGGCTTCCTCTAAGGTCTCCACAGGGGATTCAGACATCCCTTCATGTTTTCAGATCAAAGACGAGCCTGTATTCAACCCACTGCAAGGAAATCTGGCCTCCGTTCACATTAGGGCTTCTCCCTGTGTATTCCCCTTGAGGCAGCAATCTCGGGGTCCCTCCCACATACCTATTGCTGAGAGAAGCCTCCTCCTGAGGTGCTTCTGGAAAGTTGGCATACGTCTTGAGCCTAAGCCAGGGAATCAGCTCTCATCTCGAGATGATTTGGGGTACACGGAGCATTCCTCGAGTTGCTGTGCTGAAGTTGGTGTTCCTCTAGACTTGGGACAGTGTTCTCGGGGCATCTCTGGAGTTGCCTGAAGGAAGTCGAGCCACCGGTCGTGTTGAATGGGGAACGGGGAATGGCTCTGGAGTCAATGCAGGGGAATCCGGCCTCATCTCGAGTTGATTTGGGGCACATGGAGCAGCTTTGCGTTGCTGGGTGACCTCAGGGTCCGTCTAGACTGGTGACAGTGTTCTTGGGGACTCTCTCGAGATCCATTAAGCAAGTCGAAGCTCCTGACTTGTTTGAATGGGATCACGGAATAGCTCTGCATGCACTGCAGGGGAATGGGGCCTCATCTCGCCTCTAGGGGGAAGTCTCATGGTTTTTCTCGAGTTGCGGCGGAGACCTGGGGTATGTTCTCGACTTACGGCGGGGATGGCCCTTCAAAACACGAGTTTCTCCAGTGACGTCAGGACTCCTGCCTAGTAACGAGGGACACCTCAGGAATCTCTTCAAGGCTTGGCAGGGCAAAAGGAACGCTTCTCGAAGTGCGGCAGGGCACCCAAGGACCCTTTCCAGTAGCCACAGGGATTTTGGGATTCCTATCAGTATTCAAGAGGAGTCAGGCATCGTCACCTTTTGAAGCAATGAACTCCGCGTGCCTCTCGAGGTGTCAGCGGGATGTGAGGCATTCCGTCAAAATGAGGCAGGGACCTAGGGCTTTCTCTAAGGTCTCCACAGGGGATTCAGACATCCCTTCATGTTGTCAGATCAAAGACGAGCCTGTATTCAAGCCACTGCAAGGAAATCCGGCCTCCTTTCAAGTTAGGGCTTCTCGCTGTATATTCCACTTGAGGCAGCATACTCGGGGTCCCTCCCACATACCTATTGCTGAGAGAAGCCTCCTCCTGAGGTGCTTCTGGAAAGTTGGCATACGTCTTGAGCCTAAGCCAGGGAATCAGCTTTCATCTCGAGATGATTTGGGGTACACAGAGCATTCCTCGAGTTGCTGTGCTGAAGTTGGTGTTCCTCTAGACTTGGGACAGTGTTCTCGGGGCATCTCTGGAGTTGCCTGAAGGAAGTCGAGCCACCGGTCGTGTTGAATGGGGAACGGGGAATGGCTCTGGAGTCAATGCAGGGGAATCGGGCCTCATCTCGAGTTGATTTGGGGCACATGGAGCAGCGTTGCGTTGCTGGGGTGACCTCAGGGTCCGTCTAGACTGGTGACAGTGTTCTTGGGGACTGTCTCGAGATCCATTAAGCATGTCGAAGCTCCTGACTTGTTTGAATGGGATCACGGAATAGCTCTGCATGCACTGCAGGGGAATGGGGCATCATCTCGCCTCTAGGGGGAAGTCTCATGGTTTTTCTCGAGTTGCGGCGGGGACCTGGGGTATGTTCTCGACTTACGGCGGGGATGGCCCTTCAAAACACGAGTTTCTCCAGTGACGTCAGGACTCCTGCCTAGTAACGAGGGACACCTCAGGAATCTCTTCGAGGCTTGGCAGGGCAAAAGGGACGCTTTTCGAGGTGAGGCAGGGCACCCAAGGACCCTTTCCAGTAGCCACAGGGATTTTGGGATTCCTATCAGTATTCAAGAGGAGTCAGGCATCGTCACCTTTTGAAGCAATGAACTCCGCGTGCCTCTCGAGGTGTCAGCGGGATGTGAGGCATTCCGTCAAAATGAGGCAGGGACCTAGGGCTTTCTCTAAGGACTCCACAGGGGATTCAGACATCCCTTCATGTTGTGAGATGAAAGACAAGCCTGTATTCAAGCTACTGCAAGGAATTCTGGCCTCCTTTCAAGTTAGGGCTTCTCGATGTATATTCCTCTTGAGGCAGCAAACTCGGAGTCCCTCCCACATACCTATTGCTGAGAAGCCTCCTCCTGAGGTGCTTCTGGAAAGTTGGCATACGTCTTGAGCCTAAGCCAGGGAATCAGCTCTCATCTCGAGACGATTTGGGGTACACGGAGCATTCCTCGAGTTGCTGTGCTGAAGTTGGTGTTCCTCTAGACTTGGGACAGTGTTCTCGGGGCATCTCTGGAGTTGCCTGAAGGAAGTCGAGCCACCGGTCGTGTTGAATGGGGAACGGGGAATGGCTCTGGAGTCAATGCAGGGGAATCCGGCCTCATCTCGAGTTGATTTGGGGCACATGGAGCTGCTTTGCATTGCTGGGTGAACTCAGGGTCCGTCTAGACTGGTGACAGTGTTCCTGGGGACTGTCTCGAGATCCATTAAGCAAGTCGAAGCTCCTGACTTGTTTGAATGGGATCACGGAATAGCTCTGCATGCACTGCAGGGGAATGGGGCCTCATCTCGCCTCTAGGGGGAAGTCTCACGGTTTCTCTCGAGTTGCGGCGAGCACCTGGGGTATGTTCTCGACTGCGGCGGGGATGGCCCTTCAAAACACGAGTTTCTCCAGTGACGTCAGGACTCCTGCCTAGTAACGAGGGACACCTCAGGAATCTCTTCGAGGCTTGGCAGGGCAAAAGGGACGCTTCTCGAGGTAAGGCAGGGCACCCAAGGACCCTTTCCAGTAGCCACAGGGATTTTGGGATTCCTATCAGTATTCAAGAGGAGTCAGGCATCGTCACCTTTTGAAGCAATGAACTCCGCGTGCCTCTCGAGGTGTCAGCGGGATGTGAGGCATTCCGTCAAAATGAGGCAGGGACCTAGGGCTTTCTCTAAGGTCTCCACAGGGGATTCAGACATCCCTTCATGTTGTGAGATGAAAGACAAGCCTGTATTCAAGCTACTGCAAGGAAATCCGGCCTATTTTCAAGTTAGGGCTTCTCGATGTATATTCCCCTTGAAGCAGCAAACTCGGAGTCCCTCCCACATACCTATTGCTGTGAAGCCTCCTCCTGAGGTGCTTCTGGAAAGTTGGCATACGTCTTGAGCCTAAGCCAGGGAATCAGCTCTCATCTCGAGACGATTTGGGGTACACAGAGCATTCCTCGAGTTGCTGTGCTGAAGTTGGTGTTCCTGTAGACTTGGGAAAGTGTTCTCTGGGCATCTCTGGAGTTGCCTGAAGGAAGTCGAGCCACCGGTCTTGTTGAATGGGGAACGGGGAATGGCTCTGGAGTCAATGCAGGGGAATCGGGCCTCATCTCGAGTTGATTTGGGGCACATGGAGCAGCTTTGCGTTGCTGGGGTGACCTCAGGGTCCGTCTAGACTGGTGACAGTGTTCTTGGGGACTGTCTCGAGATCCATTAAGCAAGTCGAAGCTCCTGACTTGTTTGAATGGGATCACGGAATAGCTCTGCATGCACTGCAGGGGAATGGGGCCTCATCTCGCCTCTAGGGGGAAGTCTCACGGTTTCTCTCGAGTTGCGGCGAGCACCTGGGGTATGTTCTCGACTTACGGCGGGGATGGCCCTTCAAAACACGAGTTTCTCCAGTGACGTCAGGACTCCTGCCTAGTAACGAGGGACACCTCAGGAATCTCTTCGAGGCTTGGCAGGGCAAAAGGGACGCTTCTCGAGGTGAGGCAGGGCACCCAAGGACCCTTTTCAGTAGCCACAGTGATTTTGGGATTCCTATCAGTATTCAAGAGGAGTCAGGCATCGTCACCTTTTGAAGCAATGAACTCCGCGTGCCTCTCGAGGTGTCAGCGGGATGTGAGGCATTCCGTCAAAATGAGGCAGGGACCTAGGGCTTTCTCTAAGGTCTCCACAGGGGATTCAGACATCCCTTCCTGTTGTCAGATCAAAGACGAGCCTGTATTCAAGCCACTGCAAGGAAATCCGGCCTCCTTTCAAGTTAGGGCTTCTCGCTGTATATTCCCCTTGAGGCAGCAAACTCGGGGTCCCTCCCACATACCTATTGCTGAGAGAAGCCTCCTCCTGAGGTGCTTCTGGAAAGTTGGCATACGTCTTGAGCCTAAGCCAGGGAATCAGCTCACATCTCGAGATGATTTGGGGTACACGGAGCATTCCTCGAGTTGCTTTGCTGAAGTTGGTGTTCCTCTAGACTTGGGAAAGTGTTCTCTGGGCATCTCTGGAGTTGCCTGAAGGAAGTCGAGCCACCGGTCTTGTTGAATGGGGAACGGGGAATGGCTCTGGAGTCAATGCAGGAGAATCGGGCCTCATCTCGAGTTGATTTGGGGCACATGGAGCAGCTTTGCGTTGCTGGGGTGACCTCAGGGTCCGTCTAGACTGGTGACAGTGTTCTTGGGGACTGTCTCGAGATCCATTAAGCAAGTCGAAGCTCCTGATTCGTTTGAATGGGATCACGGAATAGCTCTGCATGCACTGCAGGGGAATGGGGCCTCATCTCGCCTCTAGGGGGAAGTCTCACGGTTTTTCTCGAGTTGCGGCGGGGACCTGGGGTATGTTCTCGACTTACGGCGGGGATGGCCCTTCAAAACACGAGTTTCTCCAGTGACGTCTGGACTCCTGCCTAGTAACGAGGGACACCTCAGCAATCTCTTCGAGGCTTGGCAGGGCAAAAGGAACGCTTCTCGAGGTGAGGCAGGGCACCCAAGGACCCTTTCCAGTAGCCACAGGGATTTTGGGATTCCTATCAGTATTCAAGAGGAGTCAGGCATCGTCACCTTTTGAAGCAATGAACTCCGCGTGCCTCTCGAGGTGTCAGCGGGATGTGAGGCATTCCGTCAAAATGAGGCAGGGACCTACGGCTTTCTCTAAGGTCTCCACAGGGGATTCAGACATCCCTTCACGTTGTGAGATGAAAGACAAGCCTGTATTCAAGCTACTGCAAGGAAATCTGGCCTCCTTTCAAGTTAGGGCTTCTCGATGTATATTCCTCTTGAGGCAGCAAACTCGGAGTCCCTCCCACATACCTATTGCTGAGAAGCCTCCTCCTGAGGTGCTTCTGGAAAGTTGGCATACGTCTTGAGCCTAAGCCAGGGAATCAGCTCTCATCTCGAGACAATTTGGGGTACACGGAGCATTCCTCGAGTTGCTGTGCTGAAGTTGGTGTTCCTCTAGCCTTGGGACAGTGTTCTCGGGGCAACTCTGGAGTTGCCTGAAGGAAGTCGAGCCACCGGTCGTGTTGAATGGGGAGCGGGGAATGGCTCTGGAGTCAATGCAGGGGAATCGGGCCTCATCTCGAGTTGATTTGGGGCACATGGAGCAGCTTTGCGTTGCTGGGGTGACCTCAGGGTCCGTCTAGACTTATGACAGTGTTCTTGGGGACTGTCTCGAGATCCATTAAGCAAGTCGAATCTCCTGACTTGTTTGAATGGGATCACGGAATAGCTCTGCATGCACTGCAGGGGAATGGGGCCTCATCTCGCCTCTAGGGGGAAGTCTCATGGTTTTTCTCGAGTTGCGGCGGGGACCTGGGGTATGTTCTCGACTTACGGCGGGGATGGCACTTCAAAACACGAGTTTCTTCAGTGACGTCAGGACTCCTGCCTAGTAACGAGGGACACCTCAGGAATCTCTTCGAGGCTTGGCAGGGCAAAAGGGACGCTTCTCAAGGTGAGGCTGGGCACCCAAGGACCCTTTCCAGTAGCCACAGGGATTTTGAGATTCCTATCAGTATTCAAGAGGAGTCAGGCATCGTCACCTTTGAAGCAATGAACTCCGCGTGCCTCTCGAGGTGTCAGCGGGATGTGAGGCATTCCGTCAAAATGAGGCAGGGACCTAGGGCTTTCTCTAAGGACTCCACAGGGGATTCAGACATCCCTTCATGTTGTGAGATGAAAGACAAGCCTGTATTCAAGCTACTGCAAGGAAATCTGGCCTCCTTTCAAGTTAGGGCTTCTCGATGTATATTCCTCTTGAGGCAGCAAACTCGGAGTCCCTCCCACATACCTATTGCTGAGAAGCCTCCTCCTGAGGTGCTTCTGGAAAGTTGGCATACGTCTTGAGCCTAAGCCAGGGAATCAGCTCTCATCTCGAGACGATTTGGGGTACACGGAGCATTCCTCGAGTTGCTTTGCTGAAGTTGGTGTTCCTCTAGACTTGGGAAAGTGTTCTCGGGGCATCTCTGGAGTTGCCTGAAGGAAGTCGAGCCACCGGTCTTGTTGAATGGGGAACGGGGAATGGCTCTGGAGTCAATGCAGGGGAATCGGGCCTCATCTCGAGTTGATTTGGGGCACATGGAGCAGCTTTGCGTTGCTGGGGTGACCTCAGGGTCCGTCTAGACTGGTGACAGTGTTCTTGGGGACTGTCTCGAGATCCATTAAGCAAGTCGAAGCTCCTGACTTGTTTGAATGGGATCACGGAATAGCTCTGCATGCACTGCAGGGGAATGGGGCCTCATCTCGCCTCTAGGGGGAAGTCTCATGGTTTTTCTCGAGTTGCGGCGGGGACCTGGGGTATGTTCTCCACTTACGGCGGGGATGGCCCTTCAAAACACGAGTTTCTCCAGTGACGTCAGGACTCCTGCCTAGTAACGAGGGCCACCTCAGGAATCTCTTCGAGGCTTGGCAGGGCAAAAGGGACGCTTCTCGAGGTGAGGCAGGGCACCCAAGGACCCTTTCCAGTAGCCACAGGGATTTTGGGATTCCTATCAGTATTCAAGAGGAGTCAGGCATCGTCACCTTTTGAAGCAATGAACTCCGCGTTCCTCTCGAGGTGTCAGCGGGATGTGAGGCATTCCGTCAAAATGAGGCAGGGACCTACGGCTTTCTCTAAGGTCTCCAAGGGGATTCAGACATCCCTTCATGTTGTGAGATGAAAGACAAGCCTGTATTCAAGCTACTGCAAGGAAATCTGGCCTCCTTTCAAGTTAGGGCTTCTCGATGTATATTCCTCTTGAGGCAGGAAACTCGGAGTCCCTCCCACATACCGATTGCTGAGAAGCCTCCTCCTGAGGTGCTTCTGGAAAGCTGGCATACGTCTTGAGCCTAAGCCAGGGAATCAGCTCTCATCTCGAGACGGTTTGGGGTACACGGAGCATTCCTCGAGTTGCTGTGCTGAAGTTCGTGTTCCTCTAGACTTGGGACAGTGTTCTCGGGGCATCTCTGGAGTTGCCTGAAGGAAGTCGAGCCACCGGTCGTGTTGAATGGGGAACGGGGAATGGCTCTGGAGTCAATGCAGGGGAATCCGGCCTCATCTCGAGTTGATTTGGGGCACATGGAGCTGCTTTGCATTGCTGGGTGACCTCAGGGTCCGCCTAGACTGGTGACAGTGTTCTTGGGGTCTGTCTCGAGATCCATTAAGCAAGTCGAAGCTCCTGACTTGTTTGAATGGGATCACGGAATAGCTCTGCATGCACTGCAGGGGAATGGGGCCTCATCTCGCCTCTAGGGGGAAGTCTCACGGTTTTTCTCGAGTTGCGGCGGGGACCTGGGGTATGTTCTCGACTTACGGCGGGGATGGCCCTTCAAAACACGAGTTTCTCCAGTGACGTCAGGACTCCTGCCTAGTAACGAGGGACACCTCAGGAATCTCTTCGAGGCTTGGCAGGGCAAAAGGGACGCTTCTCGAGGTGAGGCAGGGCACCCAAGGACCCTTTTCAGTAGCCACAGGGATTTTGGGATTCCTATCAGTATTCAAGAGGAGTCAGGCATCGTCACCTTTTGAAGCAATGAACTCCGCGTGCCTCTCGAGGTGTCAGCGGGATGTGAGGCATTCCGTCAAAATGAGGCAGGGACCTAGGGCTTTCTCTAAGGTCTCCACTGGGTTTCAGACATCCCTTCATGTTGTCAGATCAAAGACGAGCCTGTATTCAAGCCACTGCAAGGAAATCTGGCCTCCTTTCAAGTTAGGGCTTCTCGATGTATATTCCTCTTGAGGCAGCAAACTCGGAGTCCCTCCCACATACCTATTGCTGAGAAGCCTCCTCCTGAGGTGCTTCTGGAAAGTTGGCATACGTCTTGAGCCTAAGCCAGGGAATCAGCTCTCATCTCGAGACGATTTGGGGTACACGGAGCATTCCTCGAGTTGCTGTGCTGAAGTTGGTGTTCCTCTAGCCTTGGGACAGTGTTCTCGGGGAATCTGTGGAGTTGCCTGAAGGAAGTCGAGCCACCGGTCGTCTTGAATGAGGAAAGGGGAATGGCTCTGGAGTCAATGCAGGGGAATCGGGCCTCATCTCGTGTTGATTTGGGGCACATGGAGCAGATTTGCGTTGCTGGGGTGACCTCAGGGTCCGTCTAGACTGGTGACAGTGTTCTTGGGGACTGTCTCGAGATCCATTAAGCAAGTCGAAGCTCCTGATTCGTTTGAATGGGATCACGGAATAGCTCTGCATGCACTGCAGGGGAATGGGGCCTCATCTCGCCTCTAGGGGGAAGTCTCACGGTTTTTCTCGAGTTGCGGCGGGGACCTGGGGTATGTTCTCGACTTACGGCGGGGATGGCCCTTCAAAACACGAGTTTCTCCAGTGACGTCTGGACTCCTGCCTAGTAACGAGGGACACCTCAGCAATCTCTTCGAGGCTTGGCAGGGCAAAAGGAACGCTTCTCGAGGTGAGGCAGGGCACCCAAGGACCCTTTCCAGTAGCCACAGGGATTTTGGGATTCCTATCAGTATTCAAGAGGAGTCAGGCATCGTCACCTTTTGAAGCAATGAACTCCGCGTGCCTCTCGAGGTGTCAGCGGGATGTGAGGCATTCCGTCAAAATGAGGCAGGGACCTACGGCTTTCTCTAAGGTCTCCACAGGGGATTCAGACATCCCTTCACGTTGTGAGATGAAAGACAAGCCTGTATTCAAGCTACTGCAAGGAAATCTGGCCTCCTTTCAAGTTAGGGCTTCTCGATGTATATTCCCCTTGAGGCAGCAAACTCGGAGTCCCTCCCACATACCTATTGCTGAGAAGCCTCCTCCTGAGGTGCTTCTGGAAAGTTGGCATACGTCTTGTGCCTAAGCCAGGGAATCAGCTCTCAACTCGAGACGATTTGTGGTACACGGAGCATTCCTCGAGTTGCTGTGCTGAAGTTGGTGTTCCTCTAGACTTGGGAAACTGTTCTCTGGGCATCTCTGGAGTTGCCTGAAGGAAGTCGAGCCACTGGTCTTGTTGAATGGGGAACGGGGAATGGCTCTGGAGTCAATGCAGGGGAATCGGGCCTCATCTCGAGTTGATTTGGGGCACATGGAGCAGCTTTGCGTTGCTGGGGTGACCTCAGGATCCGTCTAGACTCGTGACAGTGTTCTTGGGGACTGTCTCGAGATCCATTAAGCAAGTCGAAGCTCCTGACTTGTTTGAATGGGATCACGGAATAGCTCTGCATGCACTGCAGGGGAATGGGGCCTCATCTCGCCTCTAGGGGGGAGTCTCTTGGTTTTTCTCGAGTTGCGGCGGGGACCTGGGGTATGTTCTCGACTTACGGCGGGGATGGCCCTTCAAAACACGAGTTTCTTCAGTGACGTCAGGACTCCTGCCTAGTAACGAGGGACACCTCAGGAATCTCTTCGAGGCTTGGCAGGGCAAAAGGGACGCTTCTCGAGGTGAGGCAGGGCACCCAAGGACCCTTTCCAGTAGCCACAGGGATTTTGGGATTCCTATCAGTATTCAAGAGGAGTCAGGCATCGTCACCTTTTGAAGCAATGAACTCAGCGTGCCTCTCGAGGTGTCAGCGGGATGTGAGGCATTCCGTCAAAATGAGGCAGGGACCTAGGGCTTTCTCTAAGGTCTCCACAGGGGATTCAGTCATCCCTTCAAGTTGTGAGATGAAAGACAAGCCTGTATTCAATCTATTGCATGGAAATCCGGACTCCTTTCAAGTTAGGGCTTCTCGCTGTATATTCCCCTTGAGGCAGCATACTCGGAGTCCCTCCCACATACCTATTGCTGAGAAGCCTCCTCCTGAGGTGCTTCTGGAAAGTTGGCATACGTCTTGAGCCTAAGCCAGGGAATCAGCTCTCATCTCGAGATAATTTGGGGTACACGGAGCATTCCTCGAGTTGCTGTGCTGAAGTTGGTGTTCCTCTAGACTTGGGACAGTGTTCTCGGGGCATCTCTGGAGTTGCCTGAAGGAAGGCGAGCCACCGGTCGTGTTGAACGGGGAACGGGGAATGGCTCTGGAGTCAATGCAGGGGAATCGGGCCTCATCTCCTGTTGATTTGGGGCACATGGAGCTGCTTTGCTTTGATGGGGTGACCTCAGGGTCCGTCTAGACTGGTGACAGTGTTCTTGGGGACTGTCTCGAGATCCATTAAGCAAGTCGAAGCTCCTGACTTGTTTGAATGGGATCACAGAATAGCTCTGCATGCACTGCAGGGGAATGGGGCCTCATCTCGCCTCTAGGGGGAAGTCTCATGGTTTTTCTCGAGTTGCGGCGGGGACCTGGGGTATGTTCTCGACTTACGGCGGGGATGGCCCTTCAAAACACGAGTTTCTCCAGTGACGTCAGGACTCCTGCCTAGTAACGAAGGACACCTCAGGAATCTCTTCGAGGCTTGGCAGGGCAAAAGGGACGCTTCTCGAGGTGAGTCAGGGCACCCAAGGACCCTTTTCAGTAGCCACAGGGATTTTGGGATTCCTATCAGTATTCAAGAGGAGTCAGGCATCGTCACCTTTTGAAGCAATGAACTCCGCGTGCCTCGGGAGGTGTCAGGGGGATGTGAGGTATTCCGTCAAAATGACGCAGGGACCTAGGGCTTCCTCTAAGGTCTCCACAGGGGATTAAGACATCCCTTCATGTTTTCAGATCAAAGACGAGCCTGTATTCAACCCACCGCAAGGAAATCTGGCCTCCGTTCACATTAGGGCTTCTCCCTGTGTATTCCCCTTGAGGCAGCAAACTCGGGGTCCCTCCCACATACCTATTGCTCAGAGAAGCCTCCTCCTGAGGTGCTTCTGGAAAGTTGGCATACGTCTTGAGCCTAAGCCAGGGAATCAGCTCTCATCTCGAGATGATTTGGGGTACACGGAGCATTCCTCGAGTTGCTGTGCTGAAGTTGGTGTTCCTCTAGACTTGGGACAGTGTTCTCGGGGCATCTCTGGAGTTGACTGAAGGAAGTCGAGCCACCGGTCGTGTTGAATGGGGAACGGGGAATGTCTCTGGAGTCAATGCAGGGGAATCGGGCCTCATCTCGAGTTGATTTGGGGCACATGGAGCAGCTTTGCGTTGTTGGGGTGACCTCAGGGTCCGTCTACACTGGTGACAGTGTTCTTGGGGACTGTCTCGAGATCCATTAAGCAAGTCGAAGCTCCTGACTTGTTTGAATGGGATCACGGAATAGCTCTGCATGCACTGCAGGGGAATGGGGCCTCATCTCGCCTCTAGGGGGAAGTCTCACGGTTTTTCTCGAGTTGCGGCGGGGACCTGGGGTATGTTCTCGACTTACGGCGGGGATGGCCCTTCAAAACACGAGTTTCTCCAGTGACGTCAGGACTCCTGCCTAGTAACGAGGGACACCTCAGGAATCTCTTCGAGGCTTGGCAGGGCAAAAGGGACGCTTCTCGAGGTGAGGCAGGGCACCCAAGGACCCTTTTCAGTAGCCACAGGGATTTTGGGATTCCTATCAGTATTCAAGAGGAGTCAGGCATCGTCACCTTTTGAAGCAATGAACTCCGCGTGCCTCTCGAGGTGTCAGCGGGATGTGAGGCATTCCGTCAAAATGAGGCAGGGACCTAGGGCTTTCTCTAAGGTCTCCACTGGGTTTCAGACATCCCTTCATGTTGTCAGATCAAAGACGAGCCTGTATTCAAGCCACTGCAAGGAAATCTGGCCTCCTTTCAAGTTAGGGCTTCTCGATGTATATTCCTCTTGAGGCAGCAAACTCGGAGTCCCTCCCACATACCTATTGCTGAGAAGCCTCCTCCTGAGGTGCTTCTGGAAAGTTGGCATACGTCTTGAGCCTAAGCCAGGGAATCAGCTCTCATCTCGAGACGATTTGGGGTACACGGAGCATTCCTCGAGTTGCTGTGCTGAAGTTGGTGTTCCTCTAGCCTTGGGACAGTGTTCTCGGGGAATCTGTGGAGTTGCCTGAAGGAAGTCGAGCCACCGGTCGTCTTGAATGAGGAAAGGGGAATGGCTCTGGAGTCAATGCAGGGGAATCGGGCCTCATCTCGTGTTGATTTGGGGCACATGGAGCAGATTTGCGTTGCTGGGGTGACCTCAGGGTCCGTCTAGACTGGTGACAGTGTTCTTGGGGACTGTCTCGAGATCCATTAAGCAAGTCGAAGCTCCTGATTCGTTTGAATGGGATCACGGAATAGCTCTGCATGCACTGCAGGGGAATGGGGCCTCATCTCGCCTCTAGGGGGAAGTCTCACGGTTTTTCTCGAGTTGCGGCGGGGACCTGGGGTATGTTCTCGACTTACGGCGGGGATGGCCCTTCAAAACACGAGTTTCTCCAGTGACGTCTGGACTCCTGCCTAGTAACGAGGGACACCTCAGCAATCTCTTCGAGGCTTGGCAGGGCAAAAGGAACGCTTCTCGAGGTGAGGCAGGGCACCCAAGGACCCTTTCCAGTAGCCACAGGGATTTGGGGATTCCTATCAGTATTCAAGAGGAGTCAGGCATCGTCACCTTTTGAAGCAATGAACTCCGCGTGCCTCTCGAGGTGTCAGCGGGATGTGAGGCATTCCGTCAAAATGAGGCAGGGACCTACGGCTTTCTCTAAGGTCTCCACAGGGGATTCAGACATCCCTTCACGTTGTGAGATGAAAGACAAGCCTGTATTCAAGCTACTGCAAGGAAATCTGGCCTCCTTTCAAGTTAGGGCTTCTCGATGTATATTCCCCTTGAGGCAGCAAACTCGGAGTCCCTCCCACATACCTATTGCTGAGAAGCCTCCTCCTGAGGTGCTTCTGGAAAGTTGGCATACGTCTTGAGCCTAAGCCAGGGAATCAGCTCTCAACTCGAGACGATTTGTGGTACACGGAGCATTCCTCGAGTTGCTGTGCTGAAGTTGGTGTTCCTCTAGACTTGGGAAACTGTTCTCTGGGCATCTCTGGAGTTGCCTGAAGGAAGTCGAGCCACTGGTCTTGTTGAATGGGGAACGGGGAATGGCTCTGGAGTCAATGCAGGGGAATCGGGCCTCATCTCGAGTTGATTTGGGGCACATGGAGCAGCTTTGCGTTGCTGGGGTGACCTCAGGATCCGTCTAGACTCGTGACAGTGTTCTTGGGGACTGTCTCGAGATCCATTAAGCAAGTCGAAGCTCCTGACTTGTTTGAATGGGATCACGGAATAGCTCTGCATGCACTGCAGGGGAATGGGGCCTCATCTCGCCTCTAGGGGGGAGTCTCTTGGTTTTTCTCGAGTTGCGGCGGGGACCTGGGGTATGTTCTCGACTTACGGCGGGGATGGCCCTTCAAAACACGAGTTTCTTCAGTGACGTCAGGACTCCTGCCTAGTAACGAGGGACACCTCAGGAATCTCTTCGAGGCTTGGCAGGGCAAAAGGGACGCTTCTCGAGGTGAGGCAGGGCACCCAAGGACCCTTTCCAGTAGCCACAGGGATTTTGGGATTCCTATCAGTATTCAAGAGGAGTCAGGCATCGTCACCTTTTGAAGCAATGAACTCAGCGTGCCTCTCGAGGTGTCAGCGGGATGTGAGGCATTCCGTCAAAATGAGGCAGGGACCTAGGGCTTTCTCTAAGGTCTCCACAGGGGATTCAGTCATCCCTTCAAGTTGTGAGATGAAAGACAAGCCTGTATTCAATCTATTGCATGGAAATCCGGACTCCTTTCAAGTTAGGGCTTCTCGCTGTATATTCCCCTTGAGGCAGCATACTCGGAGTCCCTCCCACATACCTATTGCTGAGAAGCCTCCTCCTGAGGTGCTTCTGGAAAGTTGGCATACGTCTTGAGCCTAAGCCAGGGAATCAGCTCTCATCTCGAGATAATTTGGGGTACACGGAGCATTCCTCGAGTTGCTGTGCTGAAGTTGGTGTTCCTCTAGACTTGGGACAGTGTTTCGGGGCATCTCTGGAGTTGCCTGAAGGAAGGCGAGCCACCGGTCGTGTTGAACGGGGAACGGGGAATGGCTCTGGAGTCAATGCAGGGGAATCGGGCCTCATCTCCTGTTGATTTGGGGCACATGGAGCTGCTTTGCTTTGATGGGGTGACCTCAGGGTCCGTCTAGACTGGTGACAGTGTTCTTGGGGACTGTCTCGAGATCCATTAAGCAAGTCGAAGCTCCTGACTTGTTTGAATGGGATCACAGAATAGCTCTGCATGCACTGCAGGGGAATGGGGCCTCATCTCGCCTCTAGGGGGAAGTCTCATGGTTTTTCTCGAGTTGCGGCGGGGACCTGGGGTATGTTCTCGACTTACGGCGGGGATGGCCCTTCAAAACACGAGTTTCTCCAGTGACGTCAGGACTCCTGCCTAGTAACGAAGGACACCTCAGGAATCTCTTCGAGGCTTGGCAGGGCAAAAGGGACGCTTCTCGAGGTGAGTCAGGGCACCCAAGGACCCTTTTCAGTAGCCACAGGGATTTTGGGATTCCTATCAGTATTCAAGAGGAGTCAGGCATCGTCACCTTTTGAAGCAATGAACTCCGCGTGCCTCGGGAGGTGTCAGGGGGATGTGAGGTATTCCGTCAAAATGACGCAGGGACCTAGGGCTTCCTCTAAGGTCTCCACAGGGGATTCAGACATCCCTTCATGTTTTCAGATCAAAGACGAGCCTGTATTCAACCCACCGCAAGGAAATCTGGCCTCCGTTCACATTAGGGCTTCTCCCTGTGTATTCCCCTTGAGGCAGCAAACTCGGGGTCCCTCCCACATACCTATTGCTCAGAGAAGCCTCCTCCTGAGGTGCTTCTGGAAAGTTGGCATACGTCTTGAGCCTAAGCCAGGGAATCAGCTCTCATCTCGAGATGATTTGGGGTACACGGAGCATTCCTCGAGTTGCTGTGCTGAAGTTGGTGTTCCTCTAGACTTGGGACAGTGTTCTCGGGGCATCTCTGGAGTTGACTGAAGGAAGTCGAGCCACCGGTCGTGTTGAATGGGGAACGGGGAATGTCTCTAGAGTCAATGCAGGGGAATCGGGCCTCATCTCGAGTTGATTTGGGGCACATGGAGCAGCTTTGCGTTGTTGGGGTGACCTCAGGGTCCGTCTACACTGGTGACAGTGTTCTTGGGGACTGTCTCGAGATCCATTAAGCAAGTCGAAGCTCCTGACTTGTTTGAATGGGATCACGGAATAGCTCTGCATGCACTGCAGGGGAATGGGGCCTCATCTCGCCTCTAGGGGGAAGTCTCACGGTTTTTCTCGAGTTGCGGCGGGGACCTGGGGTATGTTCTCGACTTACGGCAGGGATGGCCCTTCAAAACACGAGTTTCTCCAGTGACGTCAGAACTCCTGCCTAGTAACGAGGGACACCTCAGCAATCTCTTCGAGGCTTGGCAGGGCAAAAGGGACGCTTCTCGAGGTGAGGCAGGGCACCCAAGGACACTTTCCAGTAGCCACAGGGATTTTGGGATTCCTATCAGTATTCAAGAGGAGTCAGGCATGGTCACCTTTTGAAGCAATGAACTCCGCGTGCCTCTCGAGGTGTCAGCGGGATGTGAGGCATTCCGTCAAAATGAGGCAGGGACCTAGGGCTTTCTCTAAGGTCTCCACAGGGGATTCAGACATCCCTTCATGTTGTGAGATGAAAGACAAGCCTGTATTCAAGCTACTGCCAGGAAATCTGGCCTCCTTTCAAGTTAGGGCTTCTCGATGTATATTCCTCTTGAGGCAGCAAACTCAGAGTCCCTCCCACATACCTATTGCTGAGAAGCCTCCTCCTGAGGTGCTTCTGGAAGGTTGGCATACGTCTTGAGCCTAAGCCAGGGAATCAGCTCTCATCTCGAGACAATTTGGGGTACATGGAGCATTCCTCGAGTTGCTGTGCTGAAGTTGGTGTTCCTCTAGACATGGGACAGTGTTCTCAGGGCATCTCTGGAGTTCCCTGAAGGAAGTCGAGCCACCGGTCGTGTTGAATGGGGAACAGGGAATGGCTCTGGAGTCAATGCAGGGGAATCCGGCCTCATCTCGAGTTGATTTGGGGCACATGGAGCTGCTTTGCATTGCTGGGTGACCTCAGGGTCCGTCTAGACTGGTGACAGTGTTCTTGGGGACCCTCTCGAGATCCATTAAGCAAGTCGAAGCTCCTGACTTGTTTGAATGGGATCACGGAATAGCTCTGCATGCACTGCAGGGGAATGGGGCCTCATCTCGCCTCTAGGGGGAAGTCTCACGGTTTTTCTCGAGTTGCGGCGGGGACCTGGGGTATGTTCTCGACTTACGGCGGGGATGGCCCTTCAAAACACGAGTTTCTCCAGTGACGTCAGGACTCCTGCCTAGTAACGAGGGACACCTCAGGAATCTCTTCGAGGCTTGGCAGGGCAAAAGGGACGCTTCTCGAGGTGAGGCAGGGCACCCAAGGACCCTTTCCAGTAGCCACAGGGATTTTGGGATTCCTATCAGTATTCAAGAGGAGTCAGGCATCGTCACCTTTTGAAGCAATGAACTCCGCGTGCCTCTCGAGGTGTCAGCGGGATGTGAGGCATTCCGTCAAAATGAGGCAGGGACCTAGGGCTTTCTCTAAGGTCTCCACAGGGGATTCAGACATCCCTTCAAGTTGTGAGATGAAAGACAAGCCTGTATTCAATCTATTGCATGGAAATCCGGACTCCTTTCAAGTTAGGGCTTCTCGCTGTATATTCCCCTTGAGGCAGCAAACTCGGAGTCCCTCCCACATACCTATTGCTGAGAAGCCTCCTCCTGAGGTGCTTCTGGAAAGTTGGCATACGTCTTGAGCCTAAGCCAGGGAATCAGCTCTCATCTCGAGACGATTTGTGGTACACGGAGCATTCCTCGAGTTGCTGTGCTGAAGTTGGTGTTCCTCTAGACTTGGGAAAGTGTTCTCTGGGCATCTCTGGAGTTGCCTGAAGGAAGTCGAGCCACCGGTCTTGTTGAATGGGGAACGGGGAATGGCTCTGTAGTCAATGCAGGGGAATCGGGCCTCATCTCCAGTTGATTTGGGGCACATGGAGCAGCTTTGCGTTGCTGGGGTGACCTCAGGATCCGTCTAGACTCGTGACAGTGTTCTTGGGGACTGTCTCGAGATCCATTAAGCAAGTCGAAGCTCCTGACTTGTTTGAATGGGATCACGGAATAGCTCTGCATGCACTGCAGGGGAATGGGGCCTCATCTCGCCTCTAGGGGGGAGTCTCACGGTTTTTCTCGAGTTGCGGCGGGGACCTGGGGTATGTTCTCGACTTACGGCGGGGATGGCCCTTCAAAACACGAGTTTCTCCAGTGACGTCAGAACTCCTGCCTAGTAACGAGGGACACCTCAGCAATCTCTTCGAGGCTTGGCAGGGCAAAAGGGACGCTTCTCGAGGTGAGGCAGGGCACCCAAGGACACTTTCCAGTAGCCACAGGGATTTTGGGATTCCTATCAGTATTCAAGAGGAGTCAGGCATGGTCACCTTTTGAAGCAATGAACTCCGCGTGCCTCTCGAGGTGTCAGCGGGATGTGAGGCATTCCGTCAAAATGAGGCAGGGACCTAGGGCTTTCTCTAAGGTCTCCACAGGGGATTCAGACATCCCTTCATGTTGTGAGATGAAAGACAAGCCTGTATTCAAGCTACTGCCAGGAAATCTGGCCTCCTTTCAAGTTAGGGCTTCTCGATGTATATTCCTCTTGAGGCAGCAAACTCAGAGTCCCTCCCACATACCTATTGCTGAGAAGCCTCCTCCTGAGGTGCTTCTGGAAGGTTGGCATACGTCTTGAGCCTAAGCCAGGGAATCAGCTCTCATCTCGAGACAATTTGGGGTACATGGAGCATTCCTCGAGTTGCTGTGCTGAAGTTGGTGTTCCTCTAGACATGGGACAGTGTTCTCAGGGCATCTCTGGAGTTGCCTGAAGGAAGTCGAGCCACCGGTCGTGTTGAATGGGGAACAGGGAATGGCTCTGGAGTCAATGCAGGGGAATCCGGCCTCATCTCGAGTTGATTTGGGGCACATGGAGCTGCTTTGCATTGCTGGGTGACCTCAGGGTCCGTCTAGACTGGTGACAGTGTTCTTGGGGACCCTCTCGAGATCCATTAAGCAAGTCGAAGCTCCTGACTTGTTTGAATGGGATCACGGAATAGCTCTGCATGCACTGCAGGGGAATGGGGCCTCATCTCGCCTCTAGGGGGAAGTCTCACGGTTTTTCTCGAGTTGCGGCGGGGACCTGGGGTATGTTCTCGACTTACGGCGGGGATGGCCCTTCAAAACACGAGTTTCTCCAGTGACGTCAGGACTCCTGCCTAGTAACGAGGGACACCTCAGGAATCTCTTCGAGGCTTGGCAGGGCAAAAGGGACGCTTCTCGAGGTGAGGCAGGGCACCCAAGGACCCTTTCCAGTAGCCACAGGGATTTTGGGATTCCTATCAGTATTCAAGAGGAGTCAGGCATCGTCACCTTTTGAAGCAATGAACTCCGCGTGCCTCTCGAGGTGTCAGCGGGATGTGAGGCATTCCGTCAAAATGAGGCAGGGACCTAGGGCTTTCTCTAAGGTCTCCACAGGGGATTCAGACATCCCTTCAAGTTGTGAGATGAAAGACAAGCCTGTATTCAATCTATTGCATGGAAATCCGGACTCCTTTCAAGTTAGGGCTTCTCGCTGTATATTCCCCTTGAGGCAGCAAACTCGGAGTCCCTCCCACATACCTATTGCTGAGAAGCCTCCTCCTGAGGTGCTTCTGGAAAGTTGGCATACGTCTTGAGCCTAAGCCAGGGAATCAGCTCTCATCTCGAGACGATTTGTGGTACACGGAGCATTCCTCGAGTTGCTGTGCTGAAGTTGGTGTTCCTCTAGACTTGGGAAAGTGTTCTCTGGGCATCTCTGGAGTTGCCTGAAGGAAGTCGAGCCACCGGTCTTGTTGAATGGGGAACGGGGAATGGCTCTGTAGTCAATGCAGGGGAATCGGGCCTCATCTCCAGTTGATTTGGGGCACATGGAGCAGCTTTGCGTTGCTGGGGTGACCTCAGGATCCGTCTAGACTCGTGACAGTGTTCTTGGGGACTGTCTCGAGATCCATTAAGCAAGTCGAAGCTCCTGACTTGTTTGAATGGGATCACGGAATAGCTCTGCATGCACTGCAGGGGAATGGGGCCTCATCTCGCCTCTAGGGGGGAGTCTCACGGTTTTTCTCGAGTTGCGGCGGGGACCTGGGGTATGTTCTCGACTTACGGCGGGGATGGCCCTTCAAAACACGAGTTTCTTCAGTGACGTCAGGACTCCTGCCTAGTAACGAGGGACACCTCAGGAATCTCTTCGAGGCTTGGCAGGGCAAAAGGGACGCTTCTCGAGGTGAGGCAGGGCACCCAAGGACCCTTTCCAGTAGCCACAGGGATTTTGGGATTCCTATCAGTATTCAAGAGGAGTCAGGCATCGTCACCTTTTGAAGCAATGAACTCAGCGTGCCTCTCGAGGTGTCAGCGGGATGTGAGGCATTCCGTCAAAATGAGGCAGGGACCTAGGGCTTTCTCTAAGGTCTCCACAGGGGATTCAGACATCCCTTCAAGTTGTGAGATGAAAGACAAGCCTGTATTCAATCTATTGCATGGAAATCCGGACTCCTTTCAAGTTAGGGCTTCTCGCTGTATATTCCCCTTGAGGCAGCATACTCGGAGTCCCTCCCACATACCTATTGCTGAGAAGCCTCCTCCTGAGGTGCTTCTGGAAAGTTGGCATACGTCTTGAGCCTAAGCCAGGGAATCAGCTCTCATCGCGACATGATTTGGGGTACACGGAGCATTCCTCGAGTTGCTGTGCTGAAGTTGGTGTTACTCTAGACTTGGGACAGTGTTCTCGGGGTATCTCTGGAGTTGCCTGAAGGAAGGCGAGCCACCGGTCGTGTTGAACGGGGAACGGGGAATGGCTCTGGAGTCAATGCAGGGGAATCGGGCCTCATCTCGTGTTGATTTGGGGCACATGGAGCTGCTTTGCTTTGATGAGGTGACCTCAGGGTCCGTCTAGACTGGTGACAGTGTTCTTGGGGACTGTCTCGAGATCCATTAAGCAAGTCGAAGCTCCTGACTTGTTTGAATGGGATCACAGAATAGCTCTGCATGCACTGCAGGGGAATGGGGCCTCATCTCGCCTCTAGGGGGAAGTCTCACGGTTTTTCTCGAGTTGCGGCGGGGACCTGGGGTATGTTCTCGACTTACGGCGGGGATGGCCCTTCAAAACACGAGTTTCTCCAGTGACGTCAGGCCTCCTGCCTAGTAACGAGGGACACCTCAGGAATCTCTTCGAGGCTTCGCAGGGCAAAAGGGACGCTTCTCGAGGTGAGGCAGGGCACCCAAGGACCCTTTTCAGTAGCCACAGGGATTTTGGGATTCCTATCAGTATTCAAGAGGAGTCAGGCATCGTCACCTTCTGAAGCAATGAACTCCGCGTGCCTCTGGAGGTGTCAGGGGGATGTGAGGTATTCCGTCAAAATGAGGCAGGGACCTAGGGCTTCCTCTAAGGTCTCCACAGGGGATTCAGACATCCCTTCATGTTTTCAGATCAAAGACGAGCCTGTATTCAACCCACTGCAAGGAAATCTGGCCTCCGTTCACATTAGGGCTTCTCCCTGTGTATTCCCCTTGAGGCAGCAATCTCGGGGTCCCTCCCACATACCTATTGCTGAGAGAAGCCTCCTCCTGAGGTGCTTCTGGAAAGTTGGCATACGTCTTGAGCCTAAGCCAGGGAATCAGCTCTCATCTCGAGATGATTTGGGGTACACGGAGCATTCCTCGAGTTGCTGTGCTGAAGTTGGTGTTCCTCTAGACTTGGGACAGTGTTCTCGGGGCATCTCTGGAGTTGCCTGAAGGAAGTCGAGCCACCGGTCGTGTTGAATGGGGAACGGGGAATGGCTCTGGAGTCAATGCAGGGGAATCCGGCCTCATCTCGAGTTGATTTGGGGCACATGGAGCAGCTTTGCGTTGCTGGGTGACCTCAGGGTCCGTCTAGACTGGTGACAGTGTTCTTGGGGACTCTCTCGAGATCCATTAAGCAAGTCGAAGCTCCTGACTTGTTTGAATGGGATCACGGAATAGCTCTGCATGCACTGCAGGGGAATGGGGCCTCATCTCGCCTCTAGGGGGAAGTCTCATGGTTTTTCTCGAGTTGCGGCGGGGACCTGGGGTATGTTCTCGACTTACGGCGGGGATGGCCCTTCAAAACACGAGTTTCTCCAGTGACGTCAGGACTCCTGCCTAGTAACGAGGGACACCTCAGGAATCTCTTCAAGGCTTGGCAGGGCAAAAGGAACGCTTCTCGAAGTGCGGCAGGGCACCCAAGGACCCTTTCCAGTAGCCACAGGGATTTTGGGATTCCTATCAGTATTCAAGAGGAGTCAGGCATCGTCACCTTTTGAAGCAATGAACTCCGCGTGCCTCTCGAGGTGTCAGCGGGATGTGAGGCATTCCGTCAAAATGAGGCAGGGACCTAGGGCTTTCTCTAAGGTCTCCACAGGGGATTCAGACATCCCTTCATGTTGTCAGATCAAAGACGAGCCTGTATTCAAGCCACTGCAAGGAAATCCGGCCTCCTTTCAAGTTAGGGCTTCTCGCTGTATATTCCACTTGAGGCAGCATACTCGGGGTCCCTCCCACATACCTATTGCTGAGAGAAGCCTCCTCCTGAGGTGCTTCTGGAAAGTTGGCATACGTCTTGAGCCTAAGCCAGGGAATCAGCTCTCATCTCGAGATGATTTGGGGTACACAGAGCATTCCTCGAGTTGCTGTGCTGAAGTTGGTGTTCCTCTAGACTTGGGACAGTGTTCTCGGGGCATCTCTGGAGTTGCCTGAAGGAAGTCGAGCCACCGGTCGTGTTGAATGGGGAACGGGGAATGGCTCTGGAGTCAATGCAGGGGAATCGGGCCTCATCTCGAGTTGATTTGGGGCACATGGAGCAGCTTTGCGTTGCTGGGGTGACCTCAGGGTCCGTCTAGACTGGTGACAGTGTTCTTGGGGACTGTCTCGAGATCCATTAAGCATGTCGAAGCTCCTGACTTGTTTGAATGGGATCACGGAATAGCTCTGCATGCACTGCAGGGGTATGGGGCATCATCTCGCCTCTAGGGGGAAGTCTCATGGTTTTTCTCGAGTTGCGGCGGGGACCTGGTGTATGTTCTCGACTTACGGCGGGGATGGCCCTTCAAAACACGAGTTTCTCCAGTGACGTCAGGACTCCTGCCTAGTAACGAGGGACACCTCAGGAATCTCTTCGAGGCTTGGCAGGGCAAAAGGGACGCTTTTCGAGGTGAGGCAGGGCACCCAAGGACCCTTTCCAGTAGCCACAGGGATTTTGGGATTCCTATCAGTATTCAAGAGGAGTCAGGCATCGTCACCTTTTGAAGCAATGAACTCCGCGTGCCTCTCGAGGTGTCAGCGGGATGTGAGGCATTCCGTCAAAATGAGGCAGGGACCTAGGGCTTTCTCTAAGGACTCCACAGGGGATTCAGACATCCCTTCATGTTGTGAGATGAAAGACAAGCCTGTATTCAAGCTACTGCAAGGAATTCTGGCCTCCTTTCAAGTTAGGGCTTCTCGATGTATATTCCTCTTGAGGCAGCAAACTCGGAGTCCCTCCCACATACCTATTGCTGAGAAGCCTCCTCCTGAGGTGCTTCTGGAAAGTTGGCATACGTCTTGAGCCTAAGCCAGGGAATCAGCTCTCATCTCGAGACGATTTGGGGTACACGGAGCATTCCTCGAGTTGCTGTGCTGAAGTTGGTGTTCCTCTAGACTTGGGACAGTGTTCTCGGGGCATCTCTGGAGTTGCCTGAAGGAAGTCGAGCCACCGGTCGTGTTGAATGGGGAACGGGGAATGGCTCTGGAGTCAATGCAGGGGAATCCGGCCTCATCTCGAGTTGATTTGGGGCACATGGAGCTGCTTTGCATTGCTGGGTGACCTCAGGGTCCGTCTAGACTGGTGACAGTGTTCCTGGGGACTGTCTCGAGATCCATTAAGCAAGTCGAAGCTCCTGACTTGTTTGAATGGGATCACGGAATAGCTCTGCATGCACTGCAGGGGAATGGGGCCTCATCTCGCCTCTAGGGGGAAGTCTCACGGTTTCTCTCGAGTTGCGGCGAGCACCTGGGGTATGTTCTCGACTTACGGCGGGGATGGCCCTTCAAAACACGAGTTTCTCCAGTGACGTCAGGACTCCTGCCTAGTAACGAGGGACACCTCAGGAATCTCTTCGAGGCTTGGCAGGGCAAAAGGGACGCTTCTCGAGGTAAGGCAGGGCACCCAAGGACCCTTTCCAGTAGCCACAGGGATTTTGGGATTCCTATCAGTATTCAAGAGGAGTCAGGCATCGTCACCTTTTGAAGCAATGAACTCCGCGTGCCTCTCGAGGTGTCAGCGGGATGTGAGGCATTCCGTCAAAATGAGGCAGGGACCTAGGGCTTTCTCTAAGGTCTCCACAGGGGATTCAGACATCCCTTCATGTTGTGAGATGAAAGACAAGCCTGTATTCAAGCTACTGCAAGGAAATCCGGCCTATTTTCAAGTTAGGGCTTCTCGATGTATATTCCCCTTGAAGCAGCAAACTCGGAGTCCCTCCCACATACCTATTGCTGTGAAGCCTCCTCCTGAGGTGCTTCTGGAAAGTTGGCATACGTCTTGAGCCTAAGCCAGGGAATCAGCTCTCATCTCGAGACGATTTGGGGTACACAGAGCATTCCTCGAGTTGCTGTGCTGAAGTTGGTGTTCCTGTAGACTTGGGAAAGTGTTCTCTGGGCATCTCTGGAGTTGCCTGAAGGAAGTCGAGCCACCGGTCTTGTTGAATGGGGAACGGGGAATGGCTCTGGAGTCAATGCAGGGGTATCGGGCCTCATCTCGAGTTGATTTGGGGCACATGGAGCAGCTTTGCGTTGCTGGGGTGACCTCAGGGTCCGTCTAGACTGGTGACAGTGTTCTTGGGGACTGTCTCGAGATCCATTAAGCAAGTCGAAGCTCCTGACTTGTTTGAATGGGATCACGGAATAGCTCTGCATGCACTGCAGGGGAATGGGGCCTCATCTCGCCTCTAGGGGGAAGTCTCACGGTTTCTCTCGAGTTGCGGCGAGCACCTGGGGTATGTTCTCGACTTACGGCGGGGATGGCCCTTCAAAACACGAGTTTCTCCAGTGACGTCAGGACTCCTGCCTAGTAACGAGGGACACCTCAGGAATCTCTTCGAGGCTTGGCAGGGCAAAAGGGACGCTTCTCGAGGTGAGGCAGGGCACCCAAGGACCCTTTTCAGTAGCCACAGTGATTTTGGGATTCCTATCAGTATTCAAGAGGAGTCAGGCATCGTCACCTTTTGAAGCAATGAACTCCGCGTGCCTCTCGAGGTGTCAGCGGGATGTGAGGCATTCCGTCAAAATGAGGCAGGGACCTAGGGCTTTCTCTAAGGTCTCCACAGGGGATTCAGACATCCCTTCCTGTTGTCAGATCAAAGACGAGCCTGTATTCAAGCCACTGCAAGGAATTCTGGCCTCCTTTCAAGTTAGGGCTTCTCGATGTATATTCCTCTTGAGGCAGCAAACTCGGGGTCCCTCCCACATACCTATTGCTGAGAAGCCTCCTCCTGAGGTGCTTCTGGAAAGTTGGCATACGTCTTGAGCCTAAGCCAGGGAATCAGCTCTCATCTCGAGACGATTTGGGGTACACGGAGCATTCCTCGAGTTGCTGTGCTGAAGTTGGTGTTCCTCTAGACTTGGGACAGTGTTCTCGGGGCATCTCTGGAGTTGCCTGAAGGAAGTCGAGCCACCGGTCGTGTTGAATGGGGAACGGGGAATGGCTCTGGAGTCAATGCAGGGGAATCCGGCCTCATCTCGAGTTGATTTGGGGCACATGGAGCTGCTTTGCATTGCTGGGTGACCTCAGGGTCCGTCTAGACTGGTGACAGTGTTCCTGGGGACTGTCTCGAGATCCATTAAGCAAGTCGAAGCTCCTGACTTGTTTGAATGGGATCACGGAATAGCTCTGCATGCACTGCAGGGGAATGGGGCCTCATCTCGCCTCTAGGGGGAAGTCTCACGGTTTCTCTCGAGTTGCGGCGAGCACCTGGGGTATGTTCTCGACTTAGGCGGGGATGGCCCTTCAAAACACGAGTTTCTCCAGTGACGTCAGGACTCCTGCCTAGTAACGAGGGACACCTCAGGAATCTCTTCGAGGCTTGGCAGGGCAAAAGGGACGCTTCTCGAGGTAAGGCAGGGCACCCAAGGACCCTTTCCAGTAGCCACAGGGATTTTGGGATTCCTATCAGTATTCAAGAGGAGTCAGGCATCGTCACCTTTTGAAGCAATGAACTCCGCGTGCCTCTCGAGGTGTCAGCGGGATGTGAGGCATTCCGTCAAAATGAGGCAGGGACCTAGGGCTTTCTCTAAGGTCTCCACAGGGGATTCAGACATCCCTTCATGTTGTGAGATGAAAGACAAGCCTGTATTCAAGCTACTGCAAGGAAATCCGGCCTATTTTCAAGTTAGGGCTTCTCGATGTATATTCCCCTTGAAGCAGCAAACTCGGAGTCCCTCCCACATACCTATTGCTGTGAAGCCTCCTCCTGAGGTGCTTCTGGAAAGTTGGCATACGTCTTGAGCCTAAGCCAGGGAATCAGCTCTCATCTCGAGACGATTTGGGGTACACAGAGCATTCCTCGAGTTGCTGTGCTGAAGTTGGTGTTCCTGTAGACTTGGGAAAGTGTTCTCTGGGCATCTCTGGAGTTGCCTGAAGGAAGTCGAGCCACCGGTCTTGTTGAATGGGGAACGGGGAATGGCTCTGGAGTCAATGCAGGGGAATCGGGCCTCATCTCGAGTTGATTTGGGGCACATGGAGCAGCTTTGCGTTGCTGGGGTGACCTCAGGGTCCGTCTAGACTGGTGACAGTGTTCTTGGGGACTGTCTCGAGATCCATTAAGCAAGTCGAAGCTCCTGACTTGTTTGAATGGGATCACGGAATAGCTCTGCATGCACTGCAGGGGAATGGGGCCTCATCTCGCCTCTAGGGGGAAGTCTCATGGTTTTTCTCGAGTTGCGGCGGGGACCTGGGGTATGTTCTCGACTTACGGCGGGGATGGCCCTTCAAAACACGAGTTTCTCCAGTGACGTCTGGACTCCTGCCTAGTAACGAGGGACACCTCAGCAATCTCTTCGAGGCTTGGCAGGGCAAAAGGAATGCTTCTCGAGGTGAGGGAGGGCACCCAAGGACCCTTTCCAGTAGCCACAGGGATTTTGGGATTCCTATCAGTATTCAAGAGGAGTCAGGCATCGTCACCTTTTGAAGCAATGAACTCCGCGTGCCTCTCGAGGTGTCAGCGGGATGTGAGGCATTCCGTCAAAATGAGGCAGGGACCTACGGCTTTCTCTAAGGTCTCCACAGAGGATTCAGACATCCCTTCACGTTGTGAGATGAAAGACAAGCCTGTATTCAAGCTACTGCAAGGAAATCTGGCCTCCTTTCAAGTTAGGGCTTCTCAATGTATATTCCTCTTGAGGCAGCAAACTCGGAGTCCCTCCCACATACCTATTGCTGAGAAGCCTCCTCCTGAGGTGCTTCTGGAAAGTTGCCATACGTCTTGAGCCTAAGCCAGGGAATCAGCTCTCATCTCGAGACGATTTGGGGTACACGGAGCATTCCTCGAGTTGCTGTGCTGAAGTTGGTGTTCCTCTAGATTTGGGAAAGTGTTCTCTGGGCATCTCTGGAGTTGCCTGAAGGAAGTCGAACCACGGGTCGTGTTGAATGGGGAACGGGGAATGGCTCTGGAGTCAATGCAGGGGAATCGGGCCTCATCTCGAGTTGATTTGGGGCACATGGAGCAGCTTTGCGTTGCTGGGGTGACCTCAGGGTCCGTCTAGACTGGTGACAGTGTTCTTGGGGACTGTCTCGAGATCCATTAAGCAAGTCGAAGCTCCTGACTTGTTTGAATGGGATCACGGAATAGCTCTGCATGCACTGCAGGGGAATGGGGCCTCATCTCGCCTCTAGGGGGAAGTCTCATGGTTTTTCTCGAGTTGCGGCGGGGACCTGGGGTATGTTGTCGACTTACGGCGGGGATGGCCCTTCAAAACACGAGTTTCTCCAGTGAAGTCAGGACTCCTGCCTAATAAAGAGGCACACCTCAGGAATCTCTTCGTGGCTTGGCAGGGCAAAAGGGACGCTTCTCAAGGTGAGGCTGGGCACCCAAGGACCCTTTCCAGTAGCCACAGGGATTTTGGGATTCCTATCAGTATTCAAGAGGAGTCAGGCATCGTCACCTTTTGAAGCAATGAACTCCGCGTGCCTCTCGAGGTGTCAGCGGGATGTGAGGCATTCCGTCAAAATGAGGCAGGGACCTAGGGCTTTCTCTAAGGACTCCACAGGGGATTCAGACATCCCTTCATGTTGTGAGATGAAAGACAAGCCTGTATTCAAGCTACTGCAAGGAAATCTGGCCTCCTTTCAAGTTAGGGCTTCTCGATGTATATTCCTCTTGAGGCAGCAAACTCGGAGTCCCTCCCACATACCTATTGCTGAGAAGCCTCCTCCTGAGGTGCTTCTGGAAAGTTGGCATACGTCTTGAGCCTAAGCCAGGGAATAAGCTCTCATCTCGAGACGATTTGGGGTACACGGAGCATTCCTCGAGTTGCTGTGCTGAAGTTGGTGTTCCTCTAGACTTGGGACAGTGTTCTCGGGGCATCTCTGGAGTTGCCTGAAGGAAGTCGAGCCACCGGTCGTGTTGAATGGGGAACGGGGAATGGCTCTGGAGTCAATGCAGGGGAATCGGGCCTCATCTCGAGTTGATTTGGGGCACATGGAGCAGCTTTGCGTTGCTGGGGTGACCTCAGGGTCCGTCTAGACTGGTGACAGTGTTCTTGGGGACTGTCTCGAGATCCATTAAGCAAGTCGAAGCTCCTGACTTGTTTGAATGGGATCACGGAATAGCTCTGCATGCACTGCAGGGGAATGGGGCCTCATCTCGCCTCTAGGGGGGAGTCTCATGGTTTTTCTCGAGTTGCGGCGGGGACCTGGGGTATGTTCTCGACTTACGGCGGGGATGGCCCTTCAAAACACGAGTTTCTTCAGTGACGTCAGGACTCCTGCCTAGTAACGAGGGACACCTCAGGAATCTCTTCGAGGCTTGGCAGGGCAAAAGGGACGCTTCTCGAGGTGAGGGAGGGCACCCAAGGACCCTTTCCAGTAGCCACAGGGATTTTGGGATTCCTATCAGTATTCAAGAGGAGTCAGGCATCGTCACCTTTTGAAGCAATGAACTCCGCGTGCCTCTCGAGGTGTCAGCGGGATGTGAGGCATTCCGTCAAAATGAGGCAGGGACCTAGGGCTTTCTCTAAGGTCTCCACAGGGGATTCAGACATCCCTTCAAGTTGTGAGATGAAAGACAAGCCTGTATTCAATCTATTGCATGGAAATCCGGACTCCTTTCAAGTTAGGGCTTCTCGCTGTATATTCCCCTTGAGGCAGCAAACTCGGAGTCCCTCCCACATACCTATTGCTGAGAAGCCTCCTCCTGAGGTGCTTCTGGAAAGTAGGCATACGTCTTGAGCCTAAGCCAGGGAATCAGCTCTCATCTCCAGACGATTTGTGGTACACGGAACATTCCTCGAGTTGCTGTGCTGAAGTTGGTGTTCCTCTAGACTTGGGAAAGTGTTCTCTGGGCATCTCTGGAGTTGCCTGAAGGAAGTCGAGCCACCGGTCTTGTTGAATGGGGAACGGGGAATGGCTCTGGAGTCAATGCAGGGGAATCGGGCCTCATCTCGAGTTGATTTGGGGCACATGGAGCAGCTTTGCGTTGCTGGGGTGACCTCAGGATCCGTCTAGACTGGTGACAGTGTTCTTGGGGACTGTCTCGAGATCCATTAAGCAAGTCGAAGCTCCTGACTTGTTTGAATGGGATCACGGAATAGCTCTGCATGCACTGCAGGGGAATGGGGCCTCATCTCGCCTCTAGGGGGGAGTCTCACGGTTTTTCTCGAGTTGCGGCGGGGACCTGGGGTATGTTCTCGACTTACGACGGGGATGGCCCTTCAAAACACGAGTTTCTTCAGTGACGTCAGGACTCCTGCCTAGTAACGAGGGACACCTCAGGAATCTCTTCGAGGCTTGGCAGGGCAAAAGGGACGCTTCTCGAGGTGAGGCAGGGCACCCAAGGACCCTTTCCAGTAGCCACAGGGATTTTGGGATTCCTATCAGTATTCAAGAGGAGTCAGGCATCGTCACCTTTTGAAGCAATGAACTCAGCGTGCCTCTCGAGGTGTCAGCGGGATGTGAGGCATTCCGTCAAAATGAGGCAGGGACCTAGGGTTTTCTCTAAGGTCTCCACAGGGGATTCAGACATCCCTTCAAGTTGTGAGATGAAAGACAAGCCTGTATTCAATCTATTGCATGGAAATCCGGACTCCTTTCAAGTTAGGGCTTCTCGCTGTATATTCCCCTTGAGGCAGCATACTCGGAGTCCCTCCCACATACCTATTGCTGAGAAGCCTCCTCCAGAGGTGCTTCTGGAATGTTGGCATACGTCTTGAGCCTAAGCCAGGGAATCAACTCTCATCTCGAGATGATTTGGGGTGCACGGAGCATTCCTCGAGTTGCTGTGCTGAAGTTGGTGTTCCTCTAGACTTGGGACAGTGTTCTCGGGGCATCTCTGGAGTTGCCTGAAGGAAGGCGAGCCACCGGTCGTGTTGAACGGGGAACGGGGAATGGCTCTGGAGTCAATGCAGGGGAATCGGGCCTCATCTCGTGTTGATTTGGGGCACATGGAGCTGCTTTGCTTTGATGGGGTGACCTCAGGGTCCCTCTAGACTGGTGACAGTGTTCTTGGGGACTGTCTCGAGATCCATTAAGCAAGTCGAAGCTCCTGACTTGTTTGAATGGGATCACAGAATAGCTCTGCATGCACTGCAGGGGAATGGGGCCTCATCTCGCCTCTAGGGGGAAGTCTCATGGTTTTTCTCGAGTTGCGGCGGGAACGTGGGGTATGTTCTCGACTTACGGCGGGGATGGCCCTTCAAAACACGAGTTTCTTCAGTGACGTCAGGACTCCTGTCTAGTAATGAGGGACACCTCAGCAATCTCTTCGAGGCTTGGCAGGGCAAAAGGGACGCTTCTCGAGGTGAGCCAGGGCACCCAAGTACCCTTTCCAGTAGCCACAGTGATTTTGGGATTCCTATAAGTATTCAAGAGGAGTCAGGCATCGTCACCTTTTGAAGCAATGAACTCCGCGTGCCTCTCGAGATGTCAGCGGGATGTGAGGCATTCCGTCAAAATGATGCAGGGATCTAGGGCTTTCTCTAAGGTCTCCACAGGGGATTCAGACATCCCTTCATGTTGTGAGATGAAAGACAATCCTGTATTCAAGCTACTGCAAGGAAATCTGGCCTCCTTTCAAGTTAGGGCTTCTCGATGTATATTCCTCTTGAGGCAGCAAACTCGGAGTCCCTCCCACATACCTATTGCTGAGAAGCCTCCTCCTGAGGTGCTTCTGGAAAGTTGGCATACGTCTTGAGCCTAAGCCAGGGAATCAGCTCTCATCTCGAGACGATTTGGGGTACACGGAGCATTCCTCGAGTTGCTTTGCTGAAGTTGGTGTTCCTCTAGACTTGGGACAGTGTTCTCGGGGCATCTCTGGAGTTGCCTGAAGGAAGTCAGGCACCGGTCATGTTGAATGGGGAACAGGGAATGGCTCTGGAGTCAATGCAGGGGAATCCGGCCTCATCTCGAGTTGATTTGGGGCACATGGAGCTGCTTTGCATTGCTGGGTGACCTCAGGGTCCGTCTAGACTGGTGACAGTGTTCTTGGGGACTGTCTCGAGACCCATTAAGCAAGTCGAAGCTCCTGACTTGTTTGAAGGGGATCACGGAATAGCTCTGCATGCACTGCAGGGGAATGGGGCCTCATCTCGCCTCTAGGGGGAAGTCTCACGGTTTTTCTCGAGTTGCGGCGGGGACCTGGGGTATGTTCTCGACTTACGGCGGGGATGGCCCTTCAAAACACGAGTTTCTTCAGTGACGTCAGGACTCCTGTCTAGTAACGAGGGACACCTCAGGAATCTCTTCGAGGCTTGGCAGGGCAAAAGGGACGCTTCTCGAGGTGAGGCAGGACACCCAAGGACCCTTTTCAGTAGCCACAGGGATTTTGGGATTCCTATCAGTATTCAAGAGGAGTCAGGCATCGTCACCTTTTGAAGCAATGAACTCCGCGTGCCTCTCGAGGTGTCAGCGGGATGTGAGGCATTCCGTCAAAATGAGGCAGGGACCTACGGCTGTCTCTAAGGTCTCCACAGGGGATTCAGACATCCCTTCCTGTTGTCAGATCAAAGACGAGCCTGTATTCAAGCCACTGCAAGGAAATCCGGCCTCCTTTCAAGTTAGGGCTTCTCACTGTATATTCCCCTTGAGGCAGCAAACTCGGGGTCCCTCCCACATACCTATTGCTGAGAGAAGCCTCCTCCTGAGGTGCTTCTGGAAGGTTGGCATACGTCTTGAGCCTAAGCCAGGGAATCAGCTCACATCTCGAGATGATTTGGGGTACACGGAGCATTCCTCGAGTTGCTTTGCTGAAGTTGGTGTTCCTCTAGACTTGGGAAAGTGTTCTCTGGGCATCTCTGGAGTTGCCTGAAGGAAGTCGAGCCACCGGTCTTGTTGAATGGGGAACGGGGAATGGCTCTGGAGTCAATGCAGGAGAATCGGGCCTCATCTCGAGTTGATTTGGGGCACATGGAGCAGCTTTGCGTTGCTGGGGTGACCTCAGGGTCCGTCTAGACTGGTGACAGTGTTCTTGGGGACTGTCTCGAGATCCATTAAGCAAGTCGAAGCTCCTGACTTGTTTGAATGGGATCACGGAATAGCTCTGCATGCACTGCAGGTTAATGGGGCCTCATCTCGCCTCTAGGGGGAAGTCTCATGGTTTTTCTCGAGTTGCGGCGGGGACCTGGGGTATGTTCTCGACTTACGGCGGGGATGGCCCTTCAACACACGAGTTTCTTCAGTGACGTCAGGACTCCTGCCTAGTAACGAGGGACACCTCAGGAATCTCTTCGAGGCTTGGCAGGGCAAAAGGGACGCTTCTCGAGGTGAGGCAGGGCACCCAAGGACCCTTTCCATTAGCCACAGGGATTTTGGGATTCCTATCAGTATTCAAGAGGAGTCAGGCATCGTCACCTTTTGAAGCAATGAACTCCGCGTGCCTCTCGAGGTGTCAGCGGGATGTGAGGCATTCCGTCAAAATGAGGCAGGGACCTAGGTCTTTCTCTAAGGTCTCCACAGGGGATTCAGACATCCCTTCATGTTGTGAGATGAAAGACAAGCCTGTATTCAAGCTACTGCAAGGAAATCTGGCCTCCTTTCAAGTTAGGGCTTCTCGATGTATATTCCTCTTGAGGCAGCAAACTCGGAGTCCCTCCCACATACCTATTGCTGAGAAGCCTCCTCCTGAGGTGCTTCTGGAAAGTTGGCATACGTCTTGAGCCTAAGCCAGGGAATCAGCTCTCATCTCGAGACGACTTGGGGTACACGGAGCATTCCTCGAGTTGCTGTGCTGAAGTTCGTGTTCCTCTAGACTTGGGACAGTGTTCTCTGGGCATCTCTGGAGTTGCCTGAAGGAAGTCGAGCCACCGGTCGTGTTGAATGGGGAACGGGGAATGGCTCTGGAGTCAATGCAGGGGAATCCGGCCTCATCTCGAGTTGATTTGGGGCACATGGAGCTGCTTTGCATTGCTGGGTGACCTCAGGGTCCGTCTAGACTGGTGACAGTGTTCTTGGGGACTGTCTCGAGATCCATTAAGCAAGTCGAATCTCCTGACTTGTTTGAATGGGATCACGGAATAGCTCTGCATGCACTGCAGGGGAATGGGGCCTCATCTCGCCTCTAGGGGGAAGTCTCACGGTTTTTCTCGAGTTGCGGCGGGGACCTGGGGTATGTTCTCGACTTACGGCGGGGATGGCCCTTCAAAACACGAGTTTCTCCAGTGACGTCAGGACTCCTGCCTAGTAACGAGGGACACCTCAGGAATCTCTTCGAGGCTTGGCAGGGCAAAAGGGACGCTTCTCGAGGTGAGGCAGGGCACCCAAGGACCCTTTTCAGTAGCCACAGGGATTTTGGGATTCCTATCAGTATTCAAGAGGAGTCAGGCATCGTCACCTTTTGAAGCAATGAACTCCGCGTGCCTCTCGAGGTGTCAGCGGGATGTGAGGCATTCCGTCAAAATGAGGCACGGACCTAGGGCTTTCTCTAAGGTCTCCACTGGGTTTCAGACATCCCTTCATGTTGTCAGATCAAAGACGAGCCTGTATTCAAGCCACTGCAAGGAAATCCGGCCTCCTTTCAAGTTAGGGCTTCTCGCTGTATATTCCCCTTGAGGCAGCAAACTCGGGGTCCCTCCCACATACCTATTGCTGAGAAGCCTCCTCCTGAGGTGCTTCTGGAAAGTTGGCATACGTCTTGAGCCTAAGCCAGGGAATCAGCTCTCATCTCGAGATGATTTGGGGTACACAGAGCATTCCTCGAGTTGCTGTGCTGAAGCTGGTGTTCCTCTAGACTTGGGACAGTGTTCTCTGGGCATCTCTGGAGTTGCCTGAAGGAAGTCGAGCCACCGGTCTTGTTGAATGGGGAACGGGGAATGGCTCTGGAGTCAATGCAGGGGAATCGGGCCTCATCTCGAGTTGATTTCGGGCACATGGAGCAGCGTTGCGTTGCTGGGGTGACCTCAGGGTCCGTCTAGACTGGTGACAGTGTTCTTGGGGACTGTCTCGAGATCCATTAAGCAAGTCGAAGCTCCTGACTTGTTTGAATGGGATCACGGAATAGCTCTGCATGCACTGCAGGGGAATGGGGCCTCATCTCGCCTCTAGGGGGAAGTCTCATGGTTTTCTCGAGTTGCGGCGGGGACCTGGGGTATGTTCTCGACTTATGGCGGGGATGGCCCTTCAAAACACGAGTTTCTTCACTGACGTCAGGACTCCTGCCTAGTAACGAGGGACACCTCAGGAATCTCTTCGAGGCTTGGCAGGGCAAAAGGGACGCTTCTCGAGGTGAGGCAGGGCACCCAAGGACCCTTTCCAGTAGCCACAGGGATTTTGGGATTCCTATCAGTATTCAAGAGGAGTCAGGCATCGTCACCTTTTGAAGCAATGAACTCCGCGTTCCTCTGGATGTGTCAGCGGGATGTGAGGCATTCCGTCAAAATGAGGCAGGGACCCAGGGCTTTCTCTTAGGTCTCCACAGGGGATTCAGTCATCCCTTCAAGTTGTGAGATGAAAGACGAGCCTAGTATTCAACCACTGCAAAGAAATCCGGCTTCCTTTCAAGTTAGGGCTTCTCGCTGTATATTCTCCTTGAGGCAACAAACTCGGGGTCCCTCTCACATACCTATTGCTGAGAGAAGCCTCCTCCTGAGGTGCTTCTGGAAAGTTGGCATACGTCTTGAGCCTAAGCCAGGGAATCAGCTCTCAACTCGAGACGATTTGGGGTACACGGAGCATTCCTCGAGTTGCTGTGCTGAAGTTGGTGTTCCTCTAGACTTGGGACAGTGTTCTCGGGGCATCTCTGGAGTTGCCTGAAGGAAGTCGAGCCACCGGTCGTGTTGAATGGGGAAAGGGGAATTGCTCTGGAGTCAATGCAGGGGAATCGGGCCTAATCTCCAGTTGATGTGGGGCACATGGAGCTGCTTTGCGTTGCTAGGTTGACCTCAGGGTCCGTCTAGACTGGTGACAGTGTTCTTGGGGACAGTCTCGAGATCCATTAAGCAAGTCGAAGCTCCTGACTTGTTTGAATGGGATCACGGAATAGCTCTGCATGCACTGCAGGGGAATGGGGCCTCATCTCGCCTCTAGGGGGAAGTCTCATGGTGTTTCTCGAGTTGCAGCGGGGACCTGAGGTATGTTCTCGACTTACAGAGGGGACGGCCCTTCAAAACACGATTTTCTTCAGTGACGTAAGGACTCCTGTCTAGTAACGAGGGACAACTCAGGAATCACTTCGAGGCTTGGCAGGGCAAAAGGGACGCTTCTCGAGGTGAGGTAGGGCACCCAAGGTCACTTTCCAGTAGCCACAGGGATTTTGGGATTCCTATCAGTATTCAAGAGGAGTCAGGCATCCTCACCTTTTGAAGCAATGAACTCCGCATTCAAGCACTCTGGCCGGGTGTTCCCGCAAGGCTCGCACTCTGGTCTCAAAGCCGGGAGAAAAGCGCTTTGGGGTGGTCCTCTCTCGGGGCCCATGGCCCTGAGCCTGGGGACCAGCTAGGGTGTCCACACTCCCAGGCCAGGGCAGAACCACATGCACACGTCTGTTCCCGCCCCCTGCCCCTTCAGAGAGCTCGGCTGAGCCGCAGTCTCTCAGGCAGTTCCCTGGCAGCCCCGGCAGCACTGCCTGGGTGGGAAGGGGGAGAGCCGACCTAGGGGCACTGTGGGCCTCTTGCTCTCCCTGCTGCCCTGAGGCTGCTGGGCCAAAGAGGGCTTGGCTACCTACCCCCTTTCTCCCCTCTTCCCTCTGCCAGAAGGCTCTGGCCCCGGGGCTGTTGCAGTGTGGAGACAGCCCCTGCGAGCACCTCCACTCCCAGTAGGCCTCAGCAGAGGCCTAGGCCCAGGGAACCGCCCAGGCAGGGCTGCGTTGAGGGAGGCGCAAGGGCATGTCTGGACACACTCCCCACAGCCTGTTCCTTCATGGGGCAGTTACACTGGAGGCCAGGAAGGCCTGGGCAGGGCTGGCCAAGAGCAGGGGCATTGCTGGGTTCTGCCTCTGGCCTGTGGGGCCTCTGAGCAGGACCTGCCCTCTCCCTCTGGAAGACCTCCCCGCCTGCGTGCAAATCCCCGTTTGCAAGCACTCTGGCCGGGTGTTCCCGCAAGGCTCGCACTCTGGTCTCAAAGCCGGGAGAAAAGCGCTTTGGGGTGGGCCTCTCTCAGGGCCCATGGCCCTGAGCCTGGGGACCAGCTAGGGGGTCCACACTCCCAGGCCAAGGCAGAACCACATTCACACGTCTGTTCCCGCCCCCTGCCCCTTCAGAGAGCTCGGCTGAGCCGCAGTCTCTCAGGCAGTTCCCTGGCAGCCCCGGCAGCACTGCCTGGGTGGGAAGGGGGAGAGCCGACCTAGGGGCACTGTGGGCCTCTTGCTCTCCCTGCTGCCCTGAGGCTGCTGGGCCAAAGAGGGCTTGGCTACCTACCCCCTTTCTCCCCTCTTCCCTCTGCCAGAAGGCTCTGCCCCCGGGGCTGTTGCAGTGTGGAGACAGCCCCTGCCAGCACCTCCACTCCCAGTAGGCCTCAGCAGAGGCCTAGGCCCAGGGAACGGCCCAGGCAGGCGCTGCGTTGAGGGAGGCGCAAGGGCATGTCTGGACACACTCCCCACAGCCTGTTCCTTCATGGGGCAGTTACACTGGAGGCCAGGAAGGCCTGGGCAGGGCTGGCCAAGAGCAGGGGCATTGCTGGGTTCTGCCTCTGGCCTGTGGGGCCTCTGAGCAGGACCTGCCCTCTCCCTCTGGAAGACCTCCCCGCCTGCGTGCAAATCCCCGTTTGCAAGCACTCTGGCCGGGTGTTCCCGCAAGGCTCGCACTCTGGTCTCAAAGCCGGGAGAAAAGCGCTTTGGGGTGGGCCTCTCTCAGGGCCCATGGCCCTGAGCCTGGGGACCAGCTAGGGGGTCCACACTCCCAGGCCAGGGCAGAACCACATGCACACGTCTGTTCCCGCCCCCTGCCCCTTCAGAGAGCTCGGCTGAGCTGCAGTCTCTCAGGCAGTTCCCTGGCAGCCCCGGCAGCACTGCCTGGGTGGGAAGGGGGAGAGCCGACCTAGGGGCACTGTGGGCCTCTTGCTCTCCCTGCTGCCCTGAGGCTGCTGGGCCAAAGAGGGCTTGGCTACCTACCCCCTTTCTCCCCTCTTCCCTCTGCCAGAAGGCTCTGCCCCCGGGGCTGTTGCAGTGTGGAGACAGCCCCTGCCAGCACCTCCACTCCCAGTAGGCCTCAGCAGAGGCCTAGGCCCAGGGAACGGCCCAGGCAGGGGCTGCGTTTAGGGAGGCGCAAGGGCATGTCTGGACACACTCCCCACAGCCTGTTCCTTCATGGGGCAGTTACACTGGAGGCCAGGAAGGCCTGGGCAGTGCTGGCCAAGAGCAGGGGCATTGCTGGGTTCTGCCTCTGGCCTGTGGGGCCTCTGAGCAGGACCTGCCCTCTCCCTCTGGAAGACCTCCCCGCCTGCGTGCAAATCCCCGTTTGCAAGCACTCTGGCCGGGTGTTCCCGCAAGGCTCGCACTCTGGTCTCAAAGCCGGGAGAAAAGCGCTTTGGGGTGGGCCTCTCTCAGGGCCCATGGCCCTGAGCCTGGGGACCAGCTAGGGGGTCCACACTCCCAGGCCAGGGCAGAACCACATGCACACGTCTGTTCCCGCCCCCTGCCCCTTCAGAGAGCTCGGCTGAGCCGCAGTCTCTCAGGCAGTTCCCTGGCAGCGCCGGCAGCACTGCCTGGGTGGGAAGGGGGAGAGCCGACCTAGGGGCACTGTGGGCCTCTTGCTCTCCCTGCTGCCCTGAGGCTGCTGGGCCAAAGAGGGCTTGGCTACCTACCCCCTTTCTCCCCTCTTCCCTCTGCCAGAAGGCTCTGCCCCCGGGGCTGTTGCAGTGTGGAGACAGCCCCTGCCAGCACCTCCACTCCCAGTAGGCCTCAGCAGAGGCCTAGTCCCAGGGAACGGCCCAGGCAGGGGCTGCGTTTAGGGAGGCGCAAGGGCATGTCGGGACACACTCCCCACAGCCTGTTCCTTCATGGGGCAGTTACACTGGAGGCCAGGAAGGCCTGGGCAGGGCTGGCCAAGAGCAGGGGCATTGCTGGGTTCTGCCTCTGGCCTGTGGGGCCTCTGAGCAGGACCTGCCCTCTCCCTCTGGAAGACCTCCCCGCCTGCGTGCAAATCCCCGTTTGCAAGCACTCTGGCCGGGTGTTCCCGCAAGGCTCGCACTCTGGTCTCAAAGCCGGGAGAAAAGCGCTTTGGGGTGGGCCTCTCTCAGGGCCCATGGCCCTGAGCCTGGGGACCAGCTAGGGGGTCCACACTCCCAGGCCAGGGCAGAACCACATGCACACGTCTGTTCCCGCCCCCTGCCCCTTCAGAGAGCTCGGCTGAGCCGCAGTCTCTCAGGCAGTTCCCTGGCAGCCCCGGCAGCACTGCCTGGGTGGGAAGGGGGAGAGCCGACCTAGGGGCACTGTGGGCCTCTTGCTCTCCCTGCTGCCCTGAGGCTGCTGGGCCAAAGAGGGCTTGGCTACCTACCCCCTTTCTCCCCTCTTCCCTCTGCCAGAAGGCTCTGCCCCCGGGGCTGTTGCAGTGTGGAGACAGCCCCTGCCAGCACCTCCACTCCCAGTAGGCCTCAGCAGAGGCCTAGGCCCAGGGAACGGCCCAGGCAGGGGCTGCGTTTAGGGAGGCGCAAGGGCATGTCTGGACACACTCCCCACAGCCTGTTCCTTCATGGGGCAGTTACACCGGAGGCCAGGAAGGCCTGGGCAGGGCTGGCCAAGAGCAGGGGCATTGCTGGGTTCTGCCTCTGGCCTGTGGGGCCTCTGAGCAGGACCTGCCCTCTCCCTCTGGAAGACCTCCCCGCCTGCGTGCAAATCCCCGTTTGCAAGCACTCTGGCCGGGTGTTCCCGCAAGGCTCGCACTCTGGTCTCAAAGCCGGGAGAAAAGCGCTTTGGGGTGGGCCTCTCTCAGGGCCCATGGCCCTGAGCCTGGGGACCAGCTAGGGGGTCCACACTCCCAGGCCAGGGCAGAACCACATGCACACGTCTGTTCCCGCCCCCTGCCCCTTCAGAGAGCTCGGCTGAGCTGCAGTCTCTCAGGCAGTTCCCTGGCAGCCCCGGCAGCACTGCCTGGGTGGGAAGGGGGAGAGCCGACCTAGGGGCACTGTGGGCCTCTTGCTCTCCCTGCTGCCCTGAGGCTGCTGGGCCAAAGAGGGCTTGGCTACCTACCCCCTTTCTCCCCTCTTCCCTCTGCCAGAAGGCTCTGCCCCCGGGGCTGTTGCAGTGTGGAGACAGCCCCTGCCAGCACCTCCACTCCCAGTAGGCCTCAGCAGAGGCCTAGGCCCAGGGAACGGCCCAGGCAGGGGCTGCGTTTAGGGAGGCGCAAGGGCATGTCTGGACACACTCCCCACAGCCTGTTCCTTCATGGGGCAGTTACACTGGAGGCCAGGAATTCCTGGGCAGGGCTGGCCAAGAGCAGGGGCATTGCTGGCTTCTGCCTCTGGCCTGTGGGGCCTCTGAGCAGGACCTGCCCTCTCCCTCTGGAAGACCTCCCCGCCTGCGTGCAAATCCCCGTTTGCAAGCACTCTGGCCGGGTGTTCCCGCAAGGCTCGCACTCTGGTCTCAAAGCCGGGAGAAAAGCGCTTTGGGGTGGGCCTCTCTCAGGGCCCATGGCCCTGAGCCTGGGGACCAGCTAGGGGGTCCACACTCCCAGGCCAGGGCAGAACCACATGCACACGTCTGTTCCCGCCCCCTGCCCCTTCAGAGAGCTCGGCTGAGCCGCAGTATCTCAGGCAGTTCCCTGGCAGCCCCGGCAGCACTGCCTGGGTGGGAAGGGGGAGAGCCGACCTAGGGGCACTGTGGGCCTCTTGCTCTCCCTGCTGCCCTGAGGCTGCTGGGCCAAAGAGGGCTTGGCTACCTACCCCCTTTCTCCCCTCTTCCCTCTGCCAGAAGGCTCTGCCCCCGGGGCTGTTGCAGTGTGGAGACAGCCCCTGCCAGCACCTCCACTCCCAGTAGGCCTCAGCAGAGGCCTAGGCCCAGGGAACGGCCCAGGCAGGCGCTGCGTTGAGGGAGGCGCAAGGGCATGTCTGGACACACTCCCCACAGCCTGTTCCTTCATGGGGCAGTTACACTGGAGGCCAGGAAGGCCTGGGCAGGGCTGGCCAAGAGCAGGGGCATTGCTGGCTTCTGCCTCTGGCCTGTGGGGCCTCTGAGCAGGACCTGCCCTCTCCCTCTGGAAGACCTCCCCGCCTGCGTGCAAATCCCCGTTTGCAAGCACTCTGGCCGGGTGTTCCCGCAAGGCTCGCACTCTGGTCTCAAAGCCGGGAGAAAAGCGCTTTGGGGTGGGCCTCTCTCAGGGCCCATGGCCCTGAGCCTGGGGAGCAGCTAGGGGGTCCACACTCCCAGGCCAGGGCAGAACCACATGCACACGTCTGTTCCCGCCCCCTGCCCCTTCAGAGAGCTCGGCTGAGCCGCAGTCTCTCAGGCAGTTCCCTGGCAGCCCCGGCAGCACTGCCTGGGTGGGAAGGGGGAGAGCCGACCTAGGGGCACTGTGGGCCTCTTGCTCTCCCTGCTGCCCTGAGGGTGCTGGGCCAAAGAGGGCTTGGCTACCTACCCCCTTTCTCCCCTCTTCCCTCTGCCAGAAGGCTCTGCCCCCGGGGCTGTTGCAGTGT